CCAGTCCAGAAGTTCTCCCCTGCCTCAGCAGCCCACACTTAATAGCCCCACCTGGCTCCTCCCCAGCCCTTTGTCCTCCAGCTGGACACAGGGACACACACAAACAGGGCCTCTGTCTACGGTCATTTGTTGCTAGGTGCCAAATGTCCGGGCAATTGCAATGGTCATTGTCTTCTGGGACTGTCCAGGGGTGTGGGCCCCAGGCAGCCTGGCCCTCTGGGGCTCTGCAAAGAGTAAACAACCCTTTCCCCCACCCAGTTACCCAAGTACCACATAGGGGAAACTGAGGCACGCACACTATTCATACATTCTGAGCAATTCCCACTCCGCCACAGGCGGCAGGGCTGCAAGGCTGCCCCATGCCGTTCCCTGCAGCCAGTGGTCTGTGCAGGCTTTGGTGTGAGAGCCGGGCAGTGGGTGCTGGCCTCCCCTGGCTCTGCTCACCATTACAGCTGGCCCCGACAGCCCTGGGGATCGCCTCGCTGGGGAGAGGGTGTTTCGTGAGGGGCTCAGGGCTGGCGTGAGGGATGCTAGGGAGGGAGCAAGAGCCCCCCCAGGGCGAGTGGCGCCAGCCTGGCCTCTAGAGAAGGGGCAGGAGGCTGAATTTGTGTGTCCCTGGGGGGGTCGGTGCATCGGGGGGGGGGTCGGTGCACAGGGGGAGCTCGGGGCTGAAGGGGCCCAGGCTGGCTTCCCCCTGCCCTCGGGGAGCCCCGGTCTGAGCATGGAGCCCGGGTTCCCTCCCCTCCCACGGTCAGTAGGGAAGCACGCTGGACAGGGAGATGAATCCCCCACTGCAGGTCACATCTGGCTTGTGGGCGGTGCCCGCCCGGCCCTCGGCTGCCCCTCCCCGGCTGCCGGCGGCTGATGCGGCGCTGTGTGTGGGCAGGTGCGACGCCGGGGGGGACTGCGAGTGTCTGTGCACAGGCCATCGCCGCCTACGCCGAGGAGTGTAACAAGCGCGGGGTGTACGTCCGCTGGAGGAGCCAGGAGCTGTGCCGTAAGTGCCCCCCCGCCCCCAGGGCCCCGCAGCAACAGCCCTGGGCTGAGCCTGGAGAGGGGCTGGGGCTGGGGCTGGCAGTCGTGGGCAGAGCTCCTGTGTGGGCCAGGAGGCCTCCTTGGGCCGGGGGCTCCCCCTAGGGCTGTCTGCGCCCCTGCCACAGCTGCGGGGTCCATCGCAGAGCGTGACCAGCCGCGGGAATCCGGCTAGCTGTCCGGGGCTGGAGGGGCGGGACGGAGTTGGAGGGGGGCAGGACACAGAGCCCAGGCCCTGTGGGTTTGCCCTCTCCCCCCCCATCCCTGCCCCAGCTGGCGGCAGCTGCAGGTTTCCAGGCCAGGCTGGAGGCGGGAGGGCTCTGTTTCCCCGGGCTGGGGCCGTTAGCGGCGTGTAGCCCCAACACCTGGCTCCCAGGCCTCCTCAGCCCCCGGAGAGCCAGCGCCTGGCCGGTGGCAGTGACCCCCGCTTCCCTGCCTCCCTGCCAGCCATGCAGTGCGATAACGGGCTGGAGTACGAAGCCTGCGGCCCCGCCTGCCCCCAGACCTGCAAGAACTTCGGCCTGGAGCACGCCGAGCACTGTGATGCTATCTCCTGCGTGGAGGGCTGCTTCTGCCCCGACGGCAGGGTCCTGCATGGTGAGCTGCTGGGGGCTGGGCGGTGACGGGGGCGCTGGGGTGACTGGAGGCTGGGGGCAGGGCGGTGACGCTGGGGTCAGGGACAGGGGGCGCTGGGGGGGCGGGACGGGGGCGCTAGGGCCAGGACGGGGGCGCTGGGGGCAGGGCGGGGACTGGGCGCTGGGGGCAGGGCAGTGAAGGGGGTGCTGGGGGCAGGGACAGGGGGCGCTGGGGTGCGGGGCCGGGGCGCTGGGGGGCGGGACGGGAATGCTGCGGGCGGGACGGGGGCACTGAGGGAAGGACAGGGGCGCTGGGGACGGGGCGCTGGGGGCAGGGCGGGGACAGGGGCGCTGGGGGCAGGACGGGGGTGCTGGGGGCTGGGACGAGACACTGGGGCCGGGACGGGGGCGCTGGGGGCGGGAAGGGGGTGCCACGGCTGCCTCCGTTTCCAGCAGGTCTCCGGCCCCTGCGCCCCGTGCTGGAGTGTGGGGAGACGGAGCCTGTCCCAGGTGTGACTCGGGGCCTGGGATGGGCCACACTGAGCATGCCCCACTCAGGGCAGGCTGCCAGAAATGGGGAGACAACCCCCAAAAGTGGTGGTTTATTCCGGGGTTAGAGTCACCGGGCCAGTAACAAAAAGCAACTCGCTCTTGTGTCACCACGTTGGTTCACAAGCAGCCCAAACCACAGTCCCCCTTCAGCGTCCCAGCCCCTGGCTCCCTGCCAGGCTTTTGCAAGTGCCCAGAGCAGGAAGGGCCCAGCTGCGATGTCACAGCCCAATGCAGGGGAAGTCACTGGCCCGCGATGGAGTCCAGGGTCGCGTGAGCACGGACAGTTACTGGTAAAAGATGGAGTCTTAGGTCACATGTCCTTGTGTGGTTTGCTGGCTGACGGGCGCTCGCTGACCCCAGGCTGTCTGAGGCATCCACAGGAAAGGCCAGCGGGGCGGGATGAGTTTCTCCGATGGCCCGTTGTGAGGGTGGAGTGTCCTTAATGGGCCATCAACACCTCGCTGGCTAGCCCCATGTCAGTCTCTCTGGGGGTGTCGCCCAGGAACAAACAGGGGTTTGCAATATCCATGCACGGCCAATAGTCCTGCCTTCCCTGACACCCCCGATACATGCAGCGCTCAGCAAATCGTAACTTTTCATAGACTCAGAGAAGATCGGGGTGGAAGGGACCTCAGGAGGTTCTAGTCCAACCCCCTGCTCAAAGCAGGACCGATCCCCGACTGAATCCGGTGATGCCTTATGTAATACACTTTGTACAAGATCTGAGTGACAGAGTGTCACGGAGTCCCTGGAACTCTGGAACGGCTCCCCATGAAGCCAGGCAGGACTCTGGGGAAGTCTCCTCTCTGCGAGCAGCCTGTCTGCAGGACACACAGCTCACACAGCTTCCACCTTCCTGGGTCTGACCTCGGAGCCTTCAGCCTCCTCTGCCATTCCACGCGCTTCCCACAGCGAGTCCCCCCAGGCGGGGTCCTGGGGAAGCCAGGGGGTCCTGCCCCCCAGCTCCGCAGTCAGACGGGACTCTCAGCCAGCCAGGAAAACAGAAGGTTTATTAGACGACAGGAACATGGTCTAACACAGAGCTTGTAGGTACAGAGAACAGGACCCCTCAGCCGGGTCCATTTTGGGGGGCAGTGAGCCAGACAACCATGTCTGCACTTCACTCTATGACCCAGCCAGCCCCAAACTGCCTCTGGCTCCAGCCCCTCCTCCTCTGGGCTTTGTCCCTTTCCGGGGCCAGGAGGTCACCTGATTCCTTTGTTCTCCAGTCCTTCAGCTCTCACCTTGCAGGGGGGAAGGGCCCAGGCCATCAGTTGCCAGGAAACAGGGTGTCGGCCATTCTCTGTGTCCAGACCCCTGCACACACCTGCCCTCTAGGGCTCTGCAATGATCATACACCCTTACCCCACCACTTAGATACGTAAGAACTGCCTACGGGAAACTGCTCCCCACAATATTCAGAGGAAACATTAAGAACAGTCCCGCTTCCTGCAGACAGTCTGCTCACAGAAAGGAGACTTCCCCAGAGTCCTGACTGGCTTCGTAGGCAGCAGTTCCAGACCATGGCCCGGGACTCCGTGACATAGAGGTGGTCACCTTTCTCATACACAGCATCCCGGCAGGTCTGAGGGATGCTGCCTCTCACCACCGGTGCCCCTCGGTGCCACACTGTGCCGGCCCTGGAGCCAGGATGCCCCTCACTCCACCCTAGTTCAGAAGCAGGCTGTGGGTGAGAGCGTGGAGACACCGCTGCTCGCTCGAAGTGCGCTGGGGATAGGCTGTCACCCGCCAGAACTGGCTGCTCGGGAACAGGGTGGGGGGAAGGCTGTCCCTCCCAGTGCTCCCCTGCAGCCCTCCCGGCTGGGTGTGGGGCCCTGAGTCCCCGAGGCCCTGGGGTAAAGTGGGGGATCTCCAGGGCCTGGACAGCATCGCTCTCCCGCTTGCCCCGGCAGATGGCAGCTGCATCGACCCCGCCGAGTGCCCCTGTTACTGGGAGGGCATCTCGTTCCCGGCGGGCGCTGTGGTGAAGCAGGAGTGCAAGAACTGGTGAGTTCAGGCTAGTGCCCTGCGAGCTGTCTCCCCTGTGCTAGCTCCCTCCCACCCATCTTCCGGCCCTGCCTCCGCCGAGCGCCCTCGGAGCTCCCCTCGAGGCGCGTGCTCTGCCCAGCCGGGGGGCTTTCCCACAGCCCAGGGGGCTCCCTGCCAGCCCCATGCCCTGAGGTGACAGCCAGGAGAGGCTAAGGGCAGCTTGCCCAGGGGTAGGTGAAGGGCGGCCATACCCTCCTGCCAGCTGGGAGCTGTGCCCTGTGTCGAGTCGCCCCCGCCGGTGGAGCTGCGGCGCGGGGATGGCCAGGTCCCAGCAGATCCCAAAGAGCCCTCCCCGGGCTAGAGTGGACTCTCTGGGCGCTGCCTTCCCCAACCCGCGGCATCCCCCCTCCCGGGGAGGCAGCTCCCCCAACAGACAGACGGGCAGACAGACATTTTCAGGAGCTTTGCTTTGCTTCCGCTCCGTGGCGTCCCTGCCCGGCGAGGCCCTGACGCCCGCTCTCCCGTGGCCCGCAGCACGTGCGAGGCGGGGCTGTGGCAGTGTGATGCCCCCGCAGAACCCTGCGTGGCCCCGGCCCGCTGCCCCGAGGCGCAGTTCGCCTGCCGCACGGGCGGGCGCTGCGTGCCCAGCGCCTGGGTCTGCGACAACGAGGACGACTGCGGGGACGGCTCGGACGAGTTCTGCGCGCCCAGCTGTGCCCCGCACCAGTTCCAGTGCACCAGCGGGCAGTGCGTGGCCTGGGGGTACCGCTGCGACGGCACCGACGACTGCCTGGACCACTCGGACGAGCGCGACTGCCCGGCGCCCGGCTGCGCCCAGCAGGAGTTCCGCTGCGCCAATGGGCGCTGCATCCCCCGGGCGCACGTCTGCGATGGGGAGCTGGACTGTGGCTTCGCCGACGAGTCCGATGAGGCTGGTGAGTGACGGGCCATGGGCGGCAGGGCTAGCGAGGGGCCGGGCAGGGCCACCCACCTGGCCAGTGGGCTACCGAGCCAGCCCTAGAGCCTGTGTGATGGCGCCGGCCGTGTACTGGGGCCTACGAGGTGAGGTGACGCCCCGGCTGAGCCCCTCTGGAGATCCCCAGGCAGAGATCCCAGCCCTGCCCCCTATGCACGCGTGGCTCAGAGTACGGGGCCCTGGCGGGCGATTCACTGTGGGGCTCCCGGAGGCGGAAGGCGGAGCAGGCCCTGCATGCTGAGTGACGGGATGATCCCGCGGCAGAGCGTGGGGCCTGCACCCTCCTGTCGGTGCCACCGGCTCCTGGTAGCTGAGTGCCCGCTCCCTGTGGAGACCCCCCGGGGGAGCTTGGGCCCTTCTCCCGGTAGCCGAGTGCCAGGTTGCTGGACATGGGCCGTTCCCCGAGGAGCCTGGGGGGGATGTGGACCATGCCTCGCCCACGCTGCCGGGGCTGCCCGGTGGGAGGAGAGTCTGACCCCGGCTGGCCCCGGCAGGCTGCGGCCCCTCCTGCGGGGCCGGGGAGTTCAGCTGTGCAGCAGGGCGGTGCCTACCCTACCTGCATCGCTGCGATGGGCACGACGACTGCGGGGACTTCAGCGACGAGCGGGAGTGCGTGTGCCCCCCCGGCGACTTCCAGTGCCCGGACGCGCTGTGCCTCCCGCCGGCCCTGGTGTGCGATGGGAAGAGGGACTGCCCGGCTGGCACCGATGAGGCCTTCTGCCCAGGTGAGCTGCTGGTCCACCACCCCGCGTGGCTCCTCTCCCCCCACGCTGGCTTCCCCCTCTGCTGTGCTGGGGCCACCCACCACCCAGGGGCGACCACCCCCTTGCCAGGCCTGGCCTCGCCCCGCCACCCCGCCAGGACCGTCCTCCACGGCCAGCCACCCCTTCGCCACAGCCGGGATGGCCACCCGCCTCCTCCCCTCAGAGCCCCGCCATGCCGCCGGACAGGCCCTGGAACGAATGCCGTGCTCCTGAGGGGGCCAGGCTGACGGCCCGGGAGCCTGGATGCCCCTGGGGAGCCGAGCGCGGGCAGCAGCGAGAGCTGCCAACCCGCCCACCAATGCGCCTCCCCCTGCCCTGGGGCCTGAGCTGGGAGCTGCCCTCGGCTGGGTGGCAGCGTGTGGCCGGGCAGCCCATCTCTGAATTCTCCCCCTTCAGGCCGGGTGACCTGTGCCCCGGGGCAGCTGCCATGCCCGGACGGTTCCTGCGTCAGCCGGATGCGGGTGTGCGACGGAGCCTGGGACTGCAGGGACGGCTCTGACGAGAGCCCAGCTCGGTGCCCCCTGCCCGTCACCCTGCCCACGGCGCTGCCCGCGACTCGCCTGCCGCCGGCCAACCGCACCGCCGGTGAGTGGCCAGGGGCCGCTGCGGGGGGGCTGCGGCTTCCACACTCTGGCCAGACAGCAGCAGCGGGGCACAGCTCCTCCCCGCTCCCCACTGTGCCCCCTGCCGGGAGCCCCCCCACAGCCGGCACCCCACCCTGCTCCCCACAGCGCCCCCTGCCGGGAGCCCCCCCACAGCCGGCACCCCACCCTGCTCCCCACAGCGCCCCCTGCCGGGAGCCCCCCCACAGCCGGCACCCCACCCTGCTCCCCACAGCGCCCCCTGCCGGGAGCCCCCCCACAGCCGGCACCCCACCCTGCTCCCCACAGCGCCCCCTGCCGGGAGCCCCCCCACAGCCGGCACCCCACCCTGCTCCCCACAGCGCCCCCTGCCGGGAGCCCCCCCCACAGCCGGCACCCCACCCTGCTCCCCACAGCGCCCCCTGCCGGGAGTCCCCCCACAGCCGGCACCCCACCCTGCTCCCCACAGCGCCCCCTGCCGGGAGGGGCCAAGACTGGAATAACTGGGAGCCCCTCACCAACCAGCGCCCCCTGCTGGGAGCTCCCCCCACAGCCGGCACCCCGCCCCCTCCCCACAGCGCCCCCTGCTGGGATCGAGGCGTTGGAGCTGTCGTGTGCAGCGAGCAGGGGACGAGGCTGCCGCTGGGTCCTCTCCCCCGGGGCTCCCTGTAGGAAGCCCCCCCCCCCGCAGGACCGAGCCCTGAGGGCTCCCTCGGTCTCCCCTCACAGCGCCCCCGTGTGGCCGCTACGAGTTCCGCTGCGGCAGCGGGGAGTGCACGCCGCGCGGCTGGGTGTGCGACGACGAGGCCGACTGCCTGGACGGCAGCGACGAGCTGGTGTGCAACCGGACCTGCGGCCTGGACCAGCACACGTGCGCCGTCAGCGCCGAGTGCATCCCCTACGGGCAGCTGTGCGACGGCATCCCCCAGTGCCGGGACCGGTCCGACGAGAGCACCGACAACTGCGGTGAGCCCAGCGCCGGCTCCAGCCCCGCCCGACCCAGCCCGCGCCTCCCGGGGCCTTTCCTCCTCTGCTCCTTGTCCCTACTAGCCTCCCCGCCCTGGGGCCCCTGTGACCCCCTGCAGGATTGCTCCCCCTGTCCAGCCCCCGACCCCAGCTGCACAGCTCCCCCGTTCGGTCCCTCAGGTGAGTGGCCAGGGTGTGGCCGGGAGTGTGCTGTGGCTTTCGCACCCTGGCCAGTCAGCGCCAGTGGGGCAGGACGTTTCAGTCCCTCTGCTCTGAGCCCCTCCGTCAGGGGTGACAGGGCCCCACGGAGCCGGCGCAAAGTGCCCTGCTCTGTGCTGGCTGCTGACCCATGCCCAGCCCGGTGCCGGCTACTCAGAGCTGCACTCGGAGACGGTGGGGCTCTCCGGGGCAGACGAGGCCGCGGGGGGTCCCCTCTGCCAGAGCCCCGCTGACCACGGACCCCGCGCCTGGCGAACGTGCAGAGTGAGCTGAGGGCACGTGGTGAGTCCTCAGTGCGGGCCAGCCACACCTATGCCTTGGGGTCCCTGATGTAACCCTCCAGAACCAGCCGGCTTTGGGCCCCTCCCGCCCCCCTCCCTGAGCCGGGCTCCGATTCGGGCACAGAGCCAAGCCCGCTGAGTGGGCAAAAGGCTCTGTTCGCTGCCCTGGGCCCTGCCCAGCCCACTCGCCTTTCCACTCTGGCCGCGGGGCCCCACACGGTGACATCGACAGGCCCTGGCTTCGGTTCCCACTGACGACCCAGCCAGGGGCTGGTCATGCAGGCAACCCCCCCCCCAGCCCCAGGCAGGAGCAGACACCGCACCCGCCTGCACCCTTGGTGCCGCCTTCCCCCCCGTGCCCCAGAGCAGGGTCACTGATCTCCCTTCCTTCCCTGGCAGGATCCACCGAGATCCCACCCTGCCCAGGGCTCTTCGTCTGCAACAACCGCATGTGCGTGAACGTCTCCCGGGTGTGCGACGGCTTGCAGGACTGCCCCCAGAGCGAGGACGAGCTGGCCTGCGGTGAGGGTGGCCGCGGGGGGCGGGGGGCATCGCACAGGCCTGGGGCGCTCCCAGCAGCACATCTGTTGGGATGGGGGGCTGCTCCAAGCCCTGCACAGGCTGAACACATGGGGGGGTGAATGGCAGGGTGACCGGACGATTGGTCTGAGCCAGCACAGGGGGGCCATGGGGCTACATAGGCACATTGATCAGAGCTTGTACTGCAGGGAGGCAACGATGCCAAACTACAGGGGCCCATGGTTGTGACGGGCACAGGGGGAGCGGGCGGAGGGCCGAGGCCGTGATGGGCACGGGGGGAGCGGGCGGAGGGCCGAGGCCGTGGTGGGCACGGGGGGAGCGGGCGGAGGGCTGTGGCCATCATGGGCACGGGGGGAGCGGGCATGGGTCTGTGGCCATGACGGGCACAGGGGGGAGGGCCGAGGCCGTGATGGGCACGGGGGGAGCAGGCAGAGGGCTGTGGCCATCATGGGCACGGGGGGAGCAGGCATGGGGCTGTGGCCATGACGGGCACGGGGGGGAGCGGGCAGAGGGCCGTGGCTTTGATGGGCAGATCCCCTGGACCTCTCACTGCCCCCCATCGGCCCCCCTGCAGACCATCACGTCCCACCCGGCGAGAGGAACCAGACGGTGGGGCCCTGCACCGAGTACTCGTGTGCTGAAGGCAAATGCATCCCCTTTAAGCAGGTATGGCTGGGGCTGGGGGCTGAGGGGGGCAGTGCCCCTGTTGGGGGCTCCAAGACGTTGTTGTGTGTGGCTGCTGGCCCAGCCCTGCCCCGGCTCCACTCCCCTGCCTGCGGGGCTGAGAGGTGCTGGCCAATCGGGTCTGGACAGGTCTGCATGGCAGAGCTCCCCTCTGGCTAGCGTCCAGGGAGGAGGAAGGGGCAGTGCCCCTGGGTGAGCTGGGCCCAGTGTGCATAGACTCCCCGCTTCAGCCCTGTGCCCTAGCCCGAGACATGCGAGCTCCCTGGAAGCACTGCTTAGGCTGCCCCCTCCTGTCCCCTATGCCTGCCTCAGTGCTCCCCCCCGCCTCTGTCTCCACCGCCCTCCCCTGGCCAAGGGTCGTCTCTCTGCCCCCTCTCGCCATGCTCCCCTCGCCGATGCATCACACCCCTGGCACCCGGCAGCCTCATCCTCAACCACTGAGAGAGCCTGGGGGCTGCTGCGCCAACCTCCTCTGCCCCCCGCCAGCCTGCCAGGCATGCCTAGCCCTCATCTCCCTTCCCGGCTCTTCCTTCCCTGCCTGCCACTCCCCGGCAGGGCAGAGCCGGCTGGATCCTAACAGCATCGGACAGCTGCGCCACCCAGCCCTTGCCTCCTGGTGCCAGTCCAGAGTGCCCCCTCGCGCCCGCTGCTCTGTCCTGTCTGCACTCGGCTCATAGGGTCCTTCTTACACCGGCTGGTCTCTGCTTCCCTCACCTGCCCATACTGCCTGCCCTGCCCTCCCCCTGTCCCCTGTCCCCTTCCCTGGTCTCTACTTCCCTCACCTGCCCATACTACTTGCCCTTCCCTGCCTTCCCCTGCCCTGCCCTGTCCCCTTCCTTCCCCTGCCCTGTCCCCTGCTGTCACAGAGTGTGGGGGAGTCAGGGCCCTGCACCCCCCACTTCCTGCGATTCCCCGGGACTCTCAGCCAGCCAGTAACACAGAGGTTTATTAGATGACAGGAACACGGTCCAAACCAGAGCTTGTAGGTACAGAGAACACAACCCCTCAGTCAGGTCCATCTTGGGGGGTGGGGAGCCCAGACCTCGGTTCTGGGCCTCCCTCCATTTCCCCAGCCAGCTCCAAATAGAAACCCCCTCCAGCCGTCTCCCCCAGCCACAGCCCCCAGCTCCTCCTCTAGCCTTTGTCTAGTCTCGGGGCAGAAGGTGTCACCTGGCCCCAGCCCCCTCCTGGGCTCAGGTTACAGGCTCAGGTATCGTTCCTCAGTCAAGTCACCCCCTTATTTCCCAGCACTATCTAGTATCAATGCAGACAGTAAACTAGTAAAACTCCCATGCAACATTCCCAGGTAAATACTCCCTGCTCCGCTTCCCTGCCCGCCCTCTCCCTCCCCTCCCCTTCCTCATCTCTCTTCCCTCACCCACCCATACTCCTCCTTCCCCTCCCTCTCCTCCCTCTCCCTTCCCTCATCTCTCTTCCCTCACCCCCCATACTCCTCCTTCCCCTGCCTCCTCCCCCCCCCCCCCTCCCCCCCCCCCCCCCCCCATACCCCCCCCCGCCCGCCCCCCCCCCCACTCTCTGCTTCCCTCACCCACCCAGACTGCCTGCCTTCCCCTGCCCTGCCCTCTCCCTGTCCCCTGCTCCCTTCCCTCATCTCTGCTTCCCTCTCCCACCCATACTGCCTGCCTTCCCCTGCCCTGCCCTCTCCCTGTCCCCTGCTCCCTTCCCTCATCTCTGCTTCCCTCACCCACCCATACTGCCTGCCTTCCCCTGCCCTGCCCTGCCCTCTCCCTGTCCCCTGCTCCCTTCCCTCATCTCTGCTTCCCTCACCCACCCATACTGCCTGCCTTCCCCTGCCCTGCCCTCTCCCTGTCCCCTGCTCCCTTCCCTCATCTCTGCTTCCCTCATCCACCCATACTGCCTGCCCTGCCCTGCCCTCTCCCTGTCCCCTGCTCCCTTCCCTCATCTCTGCTTCCCTCACCCACCCATACTGCCTGCCTTCCCCTGCCCTGCCCTCTCCCTGTCCCCTGCTCCCTTCCCTCATCTCTGCTTCCCTCTCCCACCCATACTGCCTGCCTTCCCCTGCCCTGCCCTCTCCCTGTCCCCTGCTCCCTTCGCTGGTCTCTGCCTCCCCTCGGCCTTTCCTGGCCCCGTCACTGTCGCCCCCCATCTCTGTGCGTCTCTGCCTCTCCCAGGGCGGCTCAGTGTGTCTCCCTGCAGGTGTGTAACGGGCTGGCGGATTGCGCTGATGGCAGCGAGGCCTCGGGATGGCTGCCCTCCGACGAGCGGGACTGCGGGCTCTGGAGCCCCTGGGCCCCGTGGAGCACCTGCAGCCGGTCCTGTGGGACGGGCTTGCAGATCCGCAGGCGGGTCTGCACCAGGCGGGCCAACGACGTTCTACGCCAATGCCACGGCGAGGAGACGCAGGCCCAGCAGTGCTTCGCCGTGGCCTGCCCAGGTGAGACGGGCTGGGGGGGTGTACAGCCGGGCGCTGGGCAGACAGAGGGGTGTGTACAGCCGGGCGCTGGGCAGACAGAGGGGTGTGTGTACAGCCGGGCGCTGGGCAGACAGAGGGGTGTGTACAGCCGGGCGCTGGGCAGACAGAGGGGTGTGTACAGCCGGGCGCGGAGCAGACAGAGGGGTGTGTACAGCCGGGCGCGGGGCAGACAGAGGGGTGTGCACAGCCGGGCGCGGGGCAGACAGAGGGGTGTGCACAGCCGGGCGCGGGGCAGACAGAGGGGGGTGTGTACAGCCGGCCGCGGGGCAGACAGAGGGGTGTGCACAGCCGGGCGCAGGCAGACAGAGGGGTTTGTGTACAGCCAGGCACGGGGCAGACAGAGGGGTGTGTGTACAGCCGGGCGCTGGGCAGACAGAGGGGTGTGTGTACAGCCGGGCGCGGGGCAGACAGAGGGGTGTGTGTACAGCCGGGCGCTGGGCAGACAGAGGGGTGTGTGTACAGCCGGGCACGGGGCAGACAGAGGGGTGTGTGTACAGCCGGGCACGGGGCAGACAGAGGGGTGTGTGCACAGCCGGACGCGGGACAGACAGAGGGGTGTGTACAGCCGGGCGCTGGGCAGACAGAGGGGTGTGTGCACAGCCGGGCGCAGGCAGACCGAGGGGTGTGTACAGCCGGGCACTGGGCAGACCGAGGGGTGTGTACAGCCGGGCGCGGGGCAGACAGAGGGGTGTGTGTACAGCCGGGCGCGGGGCAGACAGAGGGGTGTGTACAGCCGGGCACTGGGCAGACCGAGGGGTGTGTACAGCCGGGCGCGGGGCAGACAGAGGGGTGTGTGTACAGCCGGGCGCGGGGCAGACAGAGGGGTGTGTGTACAGCCGGGCGCGGGGCAGACAGAGGGGGGTGTGCACAGCCGGGCGCGGGGCAGACAGAGGGGGGTGTACAGCCGGGCGCTGGGCAGACAGAGGGTGTGTACAGCCGGGCGCGGGGCAGACAGAGGGGTGTGTACAGCCGGGCACTGGGCAGACAGAGGGGTGTGTGCACAGCCGGGCGCGGGGCAGACAGAGGGGTGTGTGCACAGCCGGGCGCGGGGCAGACAGAGGGTTGTGTACAGCCGGGCGCGGGGCAGACAGAGGGTTGTGTACAGCCGGGCGCGGGGCAGACAGAGGGGTGTGTGTACAGCCGGGCGCTGGGCAGACAGAGGGGTGTGTACAGCCGGGCGCTGGGCAGACAGAGGGGTGTGTACAGCCGGGCGCTGGGCAGACAGAGGGGTGTGTACAGCCGGGCGCTGGGCAGACAGAGGGGTGTGTGCACAGCCGGGCGCGGGGCAGACAGAGGGGTGTGTACAGCCGGGCGCTGGGCAGACAGAGGGGTGTGTGCACAGCCGGGCGCGGGGCAGACAGAGGGGTGTGTACAGCCGGGCGCGGGGCAGACAGAGGGGTGTGTACAGCCGGGCACTGGGCAGACAGAGGGGTGTGTGCACAGCCGGGCGCGGGGCAGACAGAGGGGTGTGCACAGCCGGGCGCTGGGCAGACAGAGGGGTGTGTACAGCTGGGCGCTGGGCAGACAGAGGGGTGTGTGTACAGCCGGGCGCGGGGAAGACAGAGGGGGGTGTGCACAGCCGGGCGCGGGGCAGACAGAGGGGTGTGTGTACAGCCGGGCGCAGGGCAGACAGAGGGGTGTGTACAGCCGGGCGCGGGGCAGACAGAGGGGTGTGTGTACAGCCCCATGTGAGGCAGACAGAGGGGTGTCCGTACAGCTGGCTGTGGGGCAGAGGAGTGTCCATACATCAGGGCATGGGGTGGACAGAGGGGTGTCCGTGCGGCCCCGTGTGAGGCAGACAGAGGGGTGTCCGTATGGCTGGGCGTGGGGCAGACAGGGGTGTCCGTATGGCTGGGCGTGGGGCAGACAGGGGTGTCCATACAGCCGGGTGCTGTATGGACCGAAGGGGATGTGTCAGGAATCACTGCAGCCCCACATAGGCGATGGGGTCGCTGCAGCCCCACGCGGGCGATAGGGGGGGTACTCCAGCCTGGTGCAGTGCGTGGGTGGGGCCGGTCCCACCAGCCCTCTCCCCTCTCTGCCCTGCAGTGGACGGTGCCTGGAGCGAGTGGGCAACGTGGGCGAACTGCACCCAGGACTGCCGCGGGGTGGTGGTGCGGCATCGGGAGTGCATCGCGCCCCGGAACGGGGGCCGGCACTGCACCGAGCTGCCCGGAGCCTCGCCCAGCACGCTGGAGATCAGTGAGTCCGTGGGGCTGCGGCTGGGGTTCCCTGCTCTGGGCACGGCCGGCATCCACACTGGGGAGCAGCTCTATGGGGCAGAGCAGCTCCCCGTTCTTCCCCGCTGCCTGGCACTCGGCTGAGCCCACAGATGCCGTCTGTCTTAGATCCTGCTGGCCAGGCTACCCTGCCCATGAGTGGGGATCAGGGGCCCTCGGCCCCCCAGAGCCGCTGTGCGTTGCTGTTGGCCCCGGAGCTCCCTCTGCTGGGGGGGTTGCTACGATGCTGCCACCATGGCCCAGAACAGCTGCTCCTGGCGGCCGGCTCCCGAGAGGGTCGAGCCCAGCCTGGCACCTCTGCCTCATCCCTGGAGCTCCCAGGGCTGGGCCGCGGGTGGTGGGGGCTGGTGGGCCTGGGCTTGGTGCTGGGGCAGCCCTGAGTGAACTAACCGCACTCCCTGGTCTCTCTCTGCAGAGGCCTGCCAGCTGGAAGGCTGCCTCAACGCCACCGCCTGCCCCGCAGGCCTGGTGCGCAGGCCATGCGCCCCGTGCCCCATGGCCTGCGCCGATCTGGCCAGCAAGGGCAAGTGCAAGAGGGACAGGCCCTGCAGCCCAGGTAGGGCCATGTGGGGGACTAGGTGGGAGGGCCAAGAGGGGCGGGAGCCAGGTTGGAGGTGTCACGGAGTCCCCAGGCAATGCTCTGGAACTGCTCCCTACGAAGCCAGTCAGGACTCTGGGGAAGTCTCCGCTTTGGGAGCAGCCTGTCTGCAGGACACACAGCTCACACAGCTTCCACCTTCCTGGGTCTGACCTCGGAGCATTCAGCATCCTCTGCCCCTCCGTGCGCTTCCCACAGCGAGTCCGCCCAGGCGGGGTCCTGGGGAAGCCAGAGGGTCCTGCCCCCCAGCTCCGCAGTCAGACGTGACTCTCAGCCAGCCAGTAACACAGAAGGTTTATTAGACAGGAACATGGTCTAACACAGAGCTTGTAGGTGCAGAGAACAGGACCCCTCAGCTAGGCCCATTTTGGGGGACAGTGAGCCAGACAACCCCGTCTGCCCTTCACTCCATGTCCCAGCCAGCCCCAAACTGAAACTCCCTCCAGCCCCTCATCCTCCTCTGGGCTTTGTCCCTTTCCCGGGCCAGGAGGTCACCTGATTCCTTTGTTCTCCAACCCTTTAGCTCTCACCTTGCAGAGGGGAAGGGCCCAGGCCATCAGTGGCCAGGAAACAGGGTGTCGGCCATTCTCTGTGTCCAGACCCCTGCACACACCTGCCCTCTAGGGCTCTGCAATGATCATACACCCTTACCCCACCACCCAGACACTGAAGAACTGTATAGGGGAAACTGAGGCACTCCCGCACTATTCAGAGGAAACATTAAGAACAGTCCCGCTTCGTCACAGGCTGAGGGAGCGTGTGCCCTCACCCGCCCTCTGTGCTGCCCCCCGCAGGCTGCTGGTGCCCGGAGGGGCTGGTGCTGGACAGTGAGCAGCAGTGCGTGCGCCCCCGGGAGTGCCCGTGCCTGGTGGAGGGCGTGCGCCACTGGCCCGGCCAGCTGGTGAAGGTGAACTGCCGCATCTGCGCCTGCCAGGACGGGCAGATGAAGCGGTGCCGGCAGAACCCCGAGTGCACTGGTAGGTGGGGCTGGGCCCCGGGCTCCCCGCCCCCCCCATTCCTGAGCCTGCGGGTGCTGGTTCCTGGCTGCCTGCTTCCCGCTGCCTCTGGCTGCCGGGGCTGGGCGGGGTCAGCAGCGCGGGAGGCTGTGGGGGCTCATCTCACGCCCCCTCCTTGTGTCTGTCTCTAGTTAACTGCGGCTGGTCGGCCTGGTCTCCCTGGGGCGAGTGCCTGGGCCCCTGCGGCGTGCAGAGCATCCAGTGGTCCTTCCGCAGCCCCAACAACCCCAGCAAACATGGCAACGGGCACCAGTGCCGGGGCATCTACCGCAAGGCCCGCCGGTGAGCGGAGGGCGGCTCCTGCCCCCTGCACGGGGGCTTCGGCGGGGGCGGGGAGGAGTTTTGCCATTTTGAGGGGCTCCACCAGGGCAGCTGCCATGTCAGGTCCAGCCCCTCTCTGGAGGGTCTCGGCCTGGGCTGGGTTAGTTCAAAGGAGCCTCTGAGCATCAACCCTGGGCGGTGGGCATGGGACAGGGGCCCGGCAGTGGGTAAGTGTTACCCGCACACTCCAGGGCACCCCCTTGGGTTCCTAGGGCTCAGGGCGCAACCCGGCTGATTTAGGCACCCCCACCCTGACCCAGTTCCTGGGGCTCCGGGCGAACTCCTCTGCGGGTTTGCAGGGCCTTTTACCAGAGAAAGAGCCTTACACAGTAATATCCTTCTCCGTCACGGGTCCCTGCGATGCTTGAACTCTCCCCATGAGTCGTCAGACTCTGGGGTGTGCCTTCTGTGAGCAACCTGTCTTCAGGACACACACTCACACAGCTTCCACCTTCCTGGGTCTGACCTCGAGCATTCAGCATCCTCTGCCTCTCCGTCCTTCCCACAGCGAGTCCGCTCAGCGTGCTCCTGGGGAAGCCAGAGGGTCCTCACCCCAACTTCGCAGTCAGACGTGACTCTCAGCCAGCCAGTAAAACAGAAGGTTTATTAGACGACAGGAACATGGTCTAAAACAGAGTTGCAGGTGCAGAGACGGACCCCTCAGCTGGGTCCATTCTGGGGGCAGTGAGCCAGACAACCACGTCTGCACTTCACTCCATGTCCCAGCCAGCCCCAAACTGAAAACCCTCCAGCCCCTCCTCCTCTGGCTTTGTTCCTTTCCCGGGCCAGTAGGTCACCTGATTCCTTTGTTCTCCAACCCTTCACTCTCACCTTGCAGGGGGAAAGCACCATCAGTTGCCAGGAAACAGGGTGTGCCATTCTTGTGTCCAGACTCCTGCACACACTGCCCTCTAGGCACTCAATGATCATACACCCTTACCCCACCACCTAGATACTTAAGAACTGCCTAGGGAAACTGAGGCCCCCCACACTATTCAGAGGAAACTTAAGAACATCCCACTTCGTCACATCTCTCCCCCTTCGAGATCGAACTGAGCGGGGTCACTTTGCGTGACTGGGAGTTCGCCCCAACATTCCCATGATGCCCCAGCATCTCTCCCATTCCTTGGTAGGAGCACCACCCTTCCAGTTTCACGCCCTCCCTTAGTCAGGGGTGGTCGTGCATCGCAGGCCATGTGGGAAGGTTTTCAGCCCATGCCCTTTGGCCACCCCAAGAATGTCTCCCCATTGACCATCACCTTCTGCTCCCACTGGAGCCGGGGCCTGGCCCCGGAAACTCCACACAGACATATAGGTTGGGGTCAGGGGGGTGTCCACATCCCCAACCATCTGGCTGGGGTCTGTGGCCTTGGGACCCAGCAAGGGAGCTAGACACCGGGCTTTTCGCAGGGTCCCCTTGGTTCAAATCGCCACCTGCTCAAAGGCAGGAGGTGCCACACACCCCCCTCCTTAACCAGGCACAATTTAGTCTCGAGGTTCCCTGTGGACTGGCCCCCCGATCTATCCCCACTCACCCCGGGAGGTCCCCTAGGCCTCTCCGCTCCCCCACCGCCAGTTCATCCTGCTGCTGCTTCTGCAGCTCTTTCTCTCCTGTCTCCCAGGTCCTCTTGCTCTCTCAGACTCAGCCCAATCCCGTCCGTCTTGATCCCCGATGGGGACCCGATCTGAGACCCTCGTCTGGTGGGGCGGTCTTGGCGTGCTGGCTCCCGCTTCAGCTGCTCCCAGATCCTGCTATGCCCCAGTTGGGGTCAGGAATCTGTTCCTTGAGCATCCTCCTCCAGCTGCACGTTAGCTCTGCTTTGGTGAACTTTCCAATGCTCAACCCTCTCTTTTTGCACAGGGTTACAATGTCCTTCTTAAGGAGACGGGACCATCACTCCGCTCCTCCCAAGTTGTTGTGACTCACCCCTGTGTTCTCACTCCCCACGGTTTCCAGGGAGAACCCCTGTGTGCCGCCCTTCTCGGGTCACCACCTCTTTGCCAGGTCGGCGCTCCTCCGCCCCTGAGACTCTCCTGCGTCCCCAGGGGCCCCTTCTCACGTACTTCTCCTGGTCCACACTCCCAGGGTACCGCCCCCGAAACCGCTCCTTTCTGAGCCTTCGCACCTGTCCTCGCAATCCCCCTTCGTGTTCTGCTCCCCAGTCACTTCTGCAGGAACCCATCCACGGCGTACATCCCACCGCTGCCACCAGTTGTCACGAGTCCCTGCGTGTTGAACTGCTCCCCATGAAGTCGTCGGACTCTGGGGGGCCTTTCTGTGAGCAACCTGTCTTCAGGACACACACTCACACACTTCCACCTTCCTGGGTCTGACCTCGACTCCATCCTCTGCCTCTCCGTCGCTTCCCACACGTCCCGGTCTGGGGAGCCAGAGGGTCCTCCCCCAACCTCCAGTCAGACGTGACTCTCACCCCGTAAAACAGAAGGTTTTTGACGACAGGAACATGTCTAAAACAGAGCTTGCAGGAGAGAACGGCCCCCAGCTGGGTCCATTCTGGGGGCGGGCGACCCACGTCTGCACTTCACTCCATGTCCCACCACCCCAAACTGAAAACCCTCCACCCCTCCTCCTCTGCTTTGTTCCTTTCCCCCAGTAGTCCCTGATTCCTTTGTTCTCCAACCCTTCACTCTCACCTTGCAGGGGGAAAGCCCGCCACGTTCCAGAAACAGCCTCTCTGTGTCCGACTCCTCCACCATCCCTCTCCATTTACCCCTTACCCCCCCCCCCAAAAATTAAAAATCCTGGGAAAGGGCACCCCCACACTATTCGAGAAACAAAAACCCCCCTCCCCTCTCCCGCTCCACCAGCCAGAATGCACACACTGCACACACAGTGCCATGCTTGCCCGGCCCCATCAGGCAGGGGGACTTTCCCAGCTGGCCAGGCAAGGTCAGTCTCGTCTGGGTCGTGCCGAGGATTCTTAGGCTGTGTCTGGGGGGTGAATTTCTTCTTCCAGGTCTTTCCTTCTTCTTCTCCTTCTCTTCCCTTTGCCTTTCTTTTTCCTTCCCAGCTCGTCTCCTTCTTGGACCCCAGTTTATATAGTGAGACTTGAGTCCTGCTTCGCTGCACCTTCACCAATCATTTCACTAAAGTACTGCAAAATCATTCTCTGACCAATCCTAACATACAGCAAAATCATTCGTTACCCCATCAGACCCCACCCCCTTGATTGATTTAAATCTTGTAAAATTAATTATGCAACAGACAGAAACAATCAAAGAACCAGATACAGACCAGACAGATAAACCATAGAGAAGTGGGGACCATAAAGGCAAAACAATAAAGAAGCAGGGATTTCGCACTGCAACTGTTGATAAGTGATTCCTTGCCAGACAGACTGCTGCCACAGGAAGTTTTCTTGAACCATCATAAGAGGCTCCTTGCTTATCTGGTGGTGGTGGGTGCTGTTAGGAGGCACCTTCTTCACAGCCCGCCATGACATGGGTTTGGTACAATTCAGATGGAATGTGGGGCTGTGACTTTCTGCTTCTTGGCTCATGGCAGCTTCTCTCCTAATATGGCTGCAGACAAAGGCCTCAGACCTTACATATGGGGACTGAGGGCTGGGTACTGTGCAGTGGGCTCTGGGTATGGGGCTGAGTTTGGGCACTGGGCTCTGGGCATGGGGGCTGGAGTGGGCACAGGGTGCTGAGTATGGAGTTGGGGGTGGGCAGTGGGCTCTGGGTAGGGGGCTGGAATGGGCACTAGGCAAGGGCTTCTGGGTAGGGGGCTGGGGTAGGAGCTGTGCAGTGGGCTCTGGGTAGGGGGCTGGGCACTGGGCAGTGCACTCTGGGTCAGGGGCTGTGGTGGGCAGTGGGATCTGGGTAGGGGGCTGGGGTGGGCACTGGGCAGTGGAATTTCGGGGTGGGAACTGGGCTGTGGGTAGGGGCTGGGGTGGGCACCGGGCAGTGGGCTCTGGTAGGGGGTTGGGGTGAGCTCTGGGGGTGGCCACCGGGCAGTGGACTCTGGTAGAGGGCTGAGGTGGGCTCTGGGGGTGGGCACCGGGCAGTGGGCTCTGGTAGAGGGCTGAGGTGGGCTCTGGGGGTGGGCACCGGGCAGTGGGCTCTGGGTGGGGGCTGGGGGAGGGCTTTGGGCTCTGGGTAGGGGTTGGGGTGGGCACCGGGCAGTGGGCTCTGGTAGAGGGCTGAGGTGGGCTCTGGGGGTGGGCACCAGGCAGTGGGCATTAGGTGCCAGGCGCTCTAATCAGGGGACTGGACTTTAAGCCTCAGTCCTTCCCCGCTGGTGCTGAGCCACAGCCAGCTCTAACCGTGCCCCTCTGCCTGCCCCTCCCCGCGCAGGTGCCAGACGGATCCGTGCGAGGAGTGTGAGCACCACGGCCGGTCGCACGCCATTGGCGACCGCTGGCGATCGGGGCAGTGCCAGGTGTGCCAATGCCTGCCCAGCCTGACGGTGCAGTGCTCCCAGTACTGCCCGTACAGCACCGTGGGGTGCCCAGAGGTGAGCCCGGCACCCAGCCCTGCCCTCTGAGCTGGGGGAGGGAGGCCCGGTCAGCCCCGGGGGTGCAGCCCCAGCCGGTGGGAGCTGGCGTTGCTGGAGAAGGGCCTCTGGCCCCGGCTAGGAACCCTTTGGCAGGGGATAGCACGGTGGGTTGGGGGGGCAGGGCGAGGCTGGGGGGTTCATGGGGATTTAATGGGTTGTCACGGAGTCCCCGGGCGATGCTCTGGAGCTGCTCCCCACGAAGCCAGGCAGGACTCTGGGGAAGTCTCCTCTCTGAGCAGCCTGTCTGCAGGACACACAGCTCCCCCGGCTCCACCTTCCTGGGTCTGACCTCGGAGCATTCAGCCTCCTCTGCCCCTCTGTGCACTTCCCACAGCGAGTCCCCCCAGGCGGGGTCCTGGGGAAGCCAGAGGGTCCTGCCCCCCAGCTCCGCAGTCAGACGGGGCTCTCAGCCAGCCAGTAAAACAGAAGGTTTAATAGACAAAAGGAACATGGTCTAACACAGAGCTTGTAGGTGCAGGGAACAGGACCCCTCAGCCAGGTACATTTTGGGGGGCAGGGATCCAGACAACCATGTCTGCCCTTCACTCCATGTCCCAGCCAGCCCCAAACTGAAACTCCCTCCAGCCCCTCCTCCTCTAGGCTTTGTCCCTTTCCCGGGCCAGGAGGTCACCGGATTCCTTTGTTCTCCAACCCTTTAGCTCTCACCTTGCAGGGGGGAAGGGCCCAGGCCATCAGGTGCCAGGAAACAGGGTGTTGGCCATTCTCTGTGTCCAGACCCCTGCCCACACCTGCCCTCTAGGGCTCTGCAATGATCATACACCCTTATCCCACCACCTAGATACTTAAGAACTGCCTAGGGGAAACTGAGGCACCCCCACACTATTCAGAGGTAACATTAAGAACAGTCCCACTTCATCACACGTGTCTGGGCGTGAACCTCCCATGACGTCTCCAGCTCAGTGCAGAGCTGGTTGGAGCCCACAAGTCTTTGTGCCCCACTGGGGGCTGGGAGACTCAGCAAGGGGCTGCCCAAACCCGCCCCCTCCCCTGCAGCTCCCCCCGCAGGGGCTGTCATGGAGCCCGGCTGGCCCTGCAGCATGGGCACTGGTCTGGCACCCCGGAGAGCTGCGGTTAGTCCCTGGCTCCGGGGCTCAGGCTGGTTCCAACCGTCTCTCTCCACAGGGGCGGGCGCTGGTGGAGGGCAGGGGTGCGTCCTGCTGCTACTGCACTGAAGCGGGTGAGTCCTGCGCTGGGGGGATCCGGGGGGTGCTTAGGCCATGGCGCGGGTCACAGGAGGGGAGGGACTCTCACAACACATGCCCCAGCCAGTCCTGGCAATGCCCCTCCATCCCAACCTGGAGCCCCCCCATGCCGATGCCCCTCAGACCTGACCCGCAGCCCCCCAGTAGCCTGTGCTGGTCCGGGCAGAGTGTGGGCTGTCCCCAGAGTGGGGCCGGCCATGGGGCGGGTTCTCCAGCCCCCCCGGGGCTCTCCTGGGATGTGCCGCCCCTTTCCCCTGGGATTGAAGGCAGCAGGGAGCCCAGCCCCTGGAGGGCAAAGGGAGGTACATGGGGGACTCCTGCCCCCAGGGCTGTGTGGGGACGGCCGGTGTGGGGGAGCTGGGAGGGGATCTCCTGAGCACGCACGGCTCCAGGGCAGGGCCCGCGGTGTGTCTGGCACAGAATCGAAGGGACCGAGGCAGAAATCCTGTCGCCCTGCTCAGGTGAGAACCGGACCAGCGCGCCTGCTGTCCAGACGGCCAGGCCCCCGGGCCCCACCCTGGCCAGCCCGGCTGCCTCCACCAGCCCTCCTCTCGTCACCTTCCCGCTGCCCCCTCTCGGAGGTAAGTCCTGACTCCATGGGCCCCCAGGAGCGCCCCCCGGGCAGTGTGGGGGGGTCACTTGGACAGAGGCCGGAAAGGCCCCTGGGATGGACTCGGTGTGGCCGGGTCAGTCTCTGATTCCCAGCACAGGGCAGGGGCATCTCCTGAGTCGGGCTCTGCTGCCAAGCCCCCTCTGCCCGGCCCGCCTGCCTCTGGCCCAGCGTGCACAGCGGCGCCCGTGACCCCCGTCTCTGTCCGCCAGACCGGTGCTACGGCCCCCTGGGTTTGGCCTCCTTACCGGACAGCTGCTTCACAGCCTCCTCCCAGCAGCCGGAGAACCCTGCCCACGCCGGGCGCCTCAACTACGTGCTGCCAGGCTCGGACCTGCAGGGCTGGGGGCCCCAGGCAGAGGTGTACCAGGAGCTGGTCTCCAAGCCGCCCTACCTGCAGGTGGATCTGCTGGAGCCCAGGAACCTCACAGGTAGGTGCCTGGCCTGGGCCGCTCGTGCAGTGAACATGCTCCAGCCCCCGGCCTTCCTTGGCTTCCGGGGGGTGCAGGAGACGCCAGAGCCCCAGGGCAGTGCTGGGGGGCGGGTGCCATGCTGCCCATCCTCCGCTGCTCGGTGCCCTGCGCTGGCTCTCCACACTCTGGGCTGGGCAAAGTGCGGTGCCTCTTCAGAGCCCTCAGCAGCCCAGGACCCGGTTACCTCCTGGGCCACCTGTATCCCTAAGAAGACATGGGTCACCCGGACCTTCCCGAGCCGGGGCATCATCCTCAGCCCTGGGCTGTTGGCTGTGGGACTCCCTGCCACTGGACAAGAGGCTGAGCCATATGGCAGGCCAGTCCAGGACTGGCAACGCTGGCTCATGCTCTTCAAGTGAGCGGGCTGGGGACGATCCTTGGAGCCGTCTCCACACGATCCTTAGCGATCCCGACAGACCGACCATGTGGCGCTCTGCAGCTGGGGTGCCAGGCCCTGCCGGGCTGGCGTCAAACCCGCCCCGCCACAGCCCTGCTGCCGAGGGGCAGCTCTCAGCTCACAGGCTGGTGCTGATTCCTGGGGCTCCCCGGCCCATACCCCGGAGAGCCCCGTGTCCCTGCAGGGGCCCTGAGCTGTGCTGTGTTCTCCTCCCCCAGGGGTGGTGGTGCAGGGGGCAGGCTCCTCGGACGCCTACGTTACCAGCTTCCTCCTGCAGTTCAGCATGGACGGGCTGAGGTGGCACGAGTACCGGGAGGTCTCTGCGGACGCCCAGCCGGAGCCCAAGGTACCTCCCCGAACCAGCCCCGCAGCAGCCGTGTGGTGGTATGCGGTGGGAGGTTGGTTTGGACGCTGTCACAGATCCACCGGCCCAGTGCTCCCGCGCGGCTCTGGAGCGGTGCCTGGGAGGACCCTGTTAGAGTGTTAGCCCCCTTAGGGTCATGCTCCCTCGCTGGCGTAAGCCCCTGGACACCCCCCTTCCCCCGCCTCCTGGAACCGCACTTCTGAGCCTTCAGCCCCCTGCTTCCCACCATGAGTGCACTCGAATCGCACCCCTGGGAGGCTTGCACCCCCACAGGGAGCAATGACCCTGACCTCTTCAGACTCTTGGCCAGCGGGGTAAGAGCAGGAAGCTTATTCGACGTCTGGACGCCACCTGTCCTAGACCTTTCGTGGTTAGCACAGAGAAGGGGAATGGTCCAGCAGGGTCCAGCGGGGTATGTCCAGAACCCAGGTGGGCTCAGACCCCTCTGTAGAGTCCCCAACCCCCAGTCCAGAAGTGTGTGTCTCCAGCTGCCCATAACCCAAGGTCACCCCCCCCATGTCCTCAGTCTTTGTTCCTCTTCTTCCCCGACAAGCAGGGCTACCCGGTCTCCTCCTGACTCACTCTTGTTCCCTGGCTTCCTGCAGAGGACCAGGGTCGTCAGTAGCTAGGTAACAAATTGATGGGCCATTGTCTGGATCCAGGCCCCACCTGGATCTCTGGATTCTTCTGCAAAGCAAACACCTATCACCCCTCTCCTCCCCACCTAGTTACTCATGCCGCGCATAGGGGAAACTGAGGCACGCACAATATGCATACAAAATATTCTGGAAAAATTCCCCTTCATCTCAGAGGTCTGCACCCCTGGGGGCGTATGTGAGGTGGTGGCTGTGTGAGCCCGTGGATACGCCGGAAGTTCTGTGCGTGCGTGCATTTGTGTGTGTGTGTGCTTGGGGTGTGCGCGTGTGTGTGTGTTTGGGGGGGGGTGCATCTCATAGAATCATAGGACTGGAAGGGACCTCGAGAGAGCATCTCGTCCAGTCCCCTGCACTCATGGCAGGACTAAGTGTTATCTAGACCATCCCTGACAGGGGTTTGTCCAACCTGCTCTTAAAAATCTCCAGTGAGAGGGACTCCACCACCTCCCTGGGCAATTTATTCCCGTGCCTAACCACCCTGACAGGTCGGAGGTTTTTCCTAATGTCCAACCTAAACCGCCCTGGCTGCAATTTAAGCCCATTGCATCTTGTCCTGTCCTCAGAGGTTAAGAAGAACAATTTTTCTCCCTCCTTTTTGTAACAACCTTTTATGTACTTGAAAACTGTTCTCATGTTCCCTCTCAGTCTTCTCTGCTGCAGACTAAACAAACCCAATTCTTTCAATCTTTCCTCATAGCTCATGTTTTCTAGACCTTTACTCAATTTTGTTGCTCTTTTCTGGACTTTCTCCACATGCATGTGCATATATTTGGCATGTGTGTGTGTTTGGGGCGTATGCATGTATGTTTGGGGCATGTGCATGTGTTTGGGGCATGTGCATGTGGTCGGAGGTGTGTAAGTGTGTGTTTGGGGCATGTGAATGTGTTGGGAGGTGTTTGGGGTGTGCGTGTGTGTTTGGTGTGTGTGTGTGTTTGGGGCATGTGCTTGTGTTCAGGGCGTGTGTGTGTGTGTGATCGGGGTGTGTGCGTGTGTGTTTGTGGCATATGCGTGTCTTGGGAGGTGTTTGGGGCATGTGCATGTGTGTGTTTCGGGTGTGTGCATGTGTTGGGAGGTGTTTGGGGTGTGCATGAGTGTGTTTTGGATGTGTGTGTCTACGTGTGTTTGGGGCGTGTGCATTTGGGTGTTCGGGGTGTGTGCATGTGTGTTTGGGGCATGTGCGTGTGTTTGGGATGTGTGTGTATGTGTGTGTTTGGGGCGTGTGTGTGTGTGTTTGGGGCGTGTGCGTGTGTTGGGAGGTGTTTGGGGTGTGTGTGTGTTTGGGGCATATGTATGTGTTGGGAAGTGTTTGGGACTTGGGCATGTGTGGGAGGTGTGGGAGGTGTTTGGGGCATGAGCGTGTGTGGGAGGTGTTTGGGGTGTGTGCGTGTGTGGGAGGTATTCTGAGGTGTTTATGCGTGTGTTTCGGGTATGTGCATGTGTTGGGAGGTGTTTGGGGTGTGTGTGTGTGTTTGGGGTGTGTGGGAGGTGTTTGCGGCATGAGCGTGGGCGTGTTTGGGGTGTGTGCGTGTGTGGGAGATGTTTGGGGCGTGGGCGTGTTTGGGGAGTGTTTGGGGGTGTGTGTGGGAGGTGTGTGGGACGTGGGCGTGTGTGGGGCGTGGGCGTGTGTGGGGTGTGGGTGTGTTTGGGAGGTCTTTGGGGCGTGGGCGTGGGCGTGTGTGGGGCATGGGCGTGTTTGGGGTGTGGGCGTGTGTGGGAGGTCTTGGGGCGTGGGTGTGGGCGTGTTTGGGGCGTCGGCGTGTGTGGGGCATGCGCGTGGGCGTGTGTGGGGCGTGGGCATGTTTGGGGCGTGCGCGTGGGCGTGTTTGGGGTGTTTGGGGCGTGGGCGTGTGGGGGGCGTGGGCATGTTTGGGGCGTGGGTGTGGGCGTGTTTGGGGCGTCGGCATGTTTGGGGCGTGCGCGTGGGCGTGTTTGGGGTGTGGGCGTGTGTGGGAGGTCTTTGGGGCGTGGGCGTGTGTGGGGCGTGGGCGTGGGGGCGTGGGCGTGTGTGGGGCGTGGGCGTGTTGTGGGCGTGGGCGTGTTTGGGGCGTTGGCGTGTTTGGGGCGTGCGTGTGGGCGTGTTTGGGGTGTGGGCGTGTGTGGGAGGTCCTTGGGGCGTGGGCGTGGCGTGTGTGGGGGCATGGGCGTGGGCGTGTGTGGGGCGTGGGCGTGTTTGGGGCGTGGGCGTGGGCGTGTGTGGGGCGTGTTTGGGGGTGTGGGCGTGTTTGGGAGGTGGCGTTTTGGGGCGTGCGTGTGGGCGTGTTTGGGGTGTGGGCGTGTGTGGGAGGTCTTTGGGGCGTGGGCGCGTGTGGGGCATGGGCGTGGGTGGGGCGTGGGCGTGTGTGGGAGGTGTGTGGGGCGTGCGCGTGGGCGGGGCGTGGGCGTGGCGTGGGCGTGGCGTGTGGGGCTGAGCCGGCCGGTCGCTGCCCCTGCAGCTGTTCCTGGGGAACGCCGACGACTCCACGCCGGTGGTGAGGACGTTCCAGCGCATGGTCCGTGCCCGGCACGTCCGCATCCTCCCCCACGACTTCCACCACGGGATCTTCCTGCGGGCCGAGCTGCTGGGCTGCGAGAGAGGTACCGCGCCCTGGCCCCTCGCGGGCGGCGGGGGCGGGGAGGTGGGGGGGGCAGGTGCGGTGAGGGCGCCCCCTGGGGTTGGGGGCTTGGTTTCTCAGGGCGGGCGCGTCTCCTGGGACTGACCTGGAATTGCCTCACCCCCCCGACCTGCTCTTCCGCCTTCCCTGCCCCCCAGTGCCCCCTGTGCCACCTGGGGCACCGACGGCACCAGCGGGCCGGAGGCCCTGCCGGGCCGGTGAGTTCCAATGCCGCAACGGACGCTGTGTCCCCGCCGGGCCCCGCGGCGCCGTGTGCAACGGAGTCGACGATTGTGGAGACTTCTCGGACGAGCTGCGCTGCGGTGAGCGGGGGGGCCCAGCCCGGGGGGCAGGGCGGGGCCGGGGCCAACCCTGCAGGGCTCAGGGAGTGTCCTGCCTGGGGACTCAGCCTCGGCAGTTGCACCGTCCCACGCTGGCTGGGCAGTGGCTGTGGCTGTTGAACAGCTGCTGCGGGCCTCCCCGGAGGGGGCAGCATCTTCGTGCTGGGGCAGCGAGCTTTGCAAACCACCCCCGAGGCAGCTCAGGTCTGGGCCTTCGAGTCCCGTCCGATCAGCCGCTGCCTCCCTGCCCAGAGGGGGCTGCCTTTCTGTGGTGGCAGAGCAGTGCCCACAGGCAGTTCGCACGGTCGGTTCAGACCAGGCGCTCGGAGCTGCAGCCACATGCTAGAGCGGGAGGGCCGGGGCTAGGGCTGCCAGGCACAGGAAATGTCTCCCCAGGCCTTGGTCTGGAGCCTGGGAAAGGCTGAGCCCGGCTGGGCTGTGCAGCCTCTGCTCCCGTGCCTCGGAGAGCTGCCCCGGCCTGCTTACCAGCCCTGCCTCCGTGCCCCCTCACAGGGACAGCCCCATCCGTGGGGCCCTCCGCCCCCTGGCGCTGCCCCCTCTCCCACTTCCACTGCGCGCTGTCTGACGGCTGCATCGACGCCTCCCGGCGGTGCGATGGCATCGCCGACTGTCCGGACGGCACCGACGAGGCCGGCTGCGGCGCCCTGCCCGGGAGCACAGTGCCCCCTGCCAGCACAGCCAGGTACCGCATGGGGCAGAGGTGGGGGGGTTGCCTGGACCCCTATGACGAGGCCTGTCGGAGACAGGGATGTGTCACGGAGACAGCTGGCGGGCGTACAGCGAGGGGAGCAGGGCAAGTCCTGTCGGCCCATCCTGGGGTCAGCGTGGGAGCGAACCCTGCTGCCTGCCCCCAGGCCTGGGCTGTGGGGCACCAGCCCTGCCGCTGGGAGGAGATTCTCCAACTGGATCCATCCCAATACCCCATCCAGGGACCCAGCCCCCCAGTTCCAGCCCCCGTGACCCCTGGTATACCCTACCACTCCCCAGGCCCTGCTGGCCAGCATGGGTGTGTTGCCCTGTGCATCCCTGGCTCTGCAGGGCTCTCCCTGCGGGGCTGGTCTGATGCCCCCTCCTGGGAGCCATGCCCTGGAGCTGAGCGGGCAGGCCTGGGGCGGGGGTTCCCCCAGTGCAGTGGAGAGGGGCTGCCCCATGACCTGGGATGGGAGGCCCCCGGCGGCAGCTTTCCAGCGGGGGCAACACTAATTCATCCCTTTGCTCTGGTTCTTTCAGCAGCTGGGCCCCCGGGCAGCCCTCGCCACCCACCCAGGAGGTGAGAGAGCCTGCAGCGGGGCAGGGAGGGGAGGGGGAATCTTGCAGCTGCCCTGTTAGTGTGTTAATGACCTGTCCCCATGTCCCCCCAAGCCCTGCCTGGCTGGGCTGCCACCGAGCTGGGGACCTGTGCAGAAGGGCAGGACCCTGTGTAACGATGCTGGTTCTGGCGGGACCCAACGGAGAGTGCCCATACAGGACAAATTGCTTCAAGCCGGGCAGTTGCAGCCCAAGGCTGGGGTTTCTGTGGACACCAAGGCAAACCAGCCAGCCAGAGAAGACTTCGGTCTCACCCCACTGGCTAACCACAAGTCACACAAGCGATTCCCTCAGACACTCCAGTTTCCCAGTTGTCACGGAGTGTGGGGGAGTCCAGGCCCTGCACCCCTCTTCCTGGGATTCACTGAAACTCTCAGCCAGCCAGTAGAACAGAAGGTTTATTGGACAACAGGAACACAGTCCAAAACAGAGCTTGTGGGTACAACCAGGACCCCTCAGTCAAGTTCTTCTGGGGGAGCAGGGAGCTTAGACCCCAGCCTTGGGGTTCCCTGTGTTCCTCCACCCAGCCCCAAACTGAAAACTAACACACACACACACACACACACCCCCGCCCCAGCAGCCTCACACCCCCGCCCCAGCAGCCTCTCTCCTGCAGCCTGTCTTCACATTCCTGGGCAGAGGTGTCACCTCCCCCTCCCCCTCCTGGCTCAGGTGACAGGCTCTCAGGTCTCCCATCCCCAGGGCACATTCCCAGGTCAACACTCCCCCCTCCCTGCTGAGTCACATCGTCACACCAGTATCACCACCAGGGCCACTCGTTATGGGGACGAATGGTTATGAAAACCAACACCCTAGTAAAAAAAAAAGGTTCCCTCCATCCCAAAGGACCAAGCCCCAGACCCAGGTCAATGTACAAATCAGATCTTACCCACAAATCACACTGTTGCTAATCCTTTGGAATCTAAAATCTAAAGGTTTATTCATAAAAGGGAAAAGATAGAGATGAGAGCTAGAATGGGTTCAATGGAATCAATGACACACAGCAATGGCAAAGTTCTTGGTTCAGGCTTGTAGCAGTCATGGAATAAACTGCGGGTTCAAATCAGGTCTCTGGAGAACATCCCCAGCTGGGATGGGTCTTTCAGTCCTTGGTTCAAAGCTTCAGCATAGCAAAGTCCCTCCAGAGGCAGGAAGCAGGACTGAAGACAAGATGGAGATGAGGCATCAGCCTTTTATAGACTTTTCCAGGAGTAAGAACCCCTCTGTGTTCTTACTGTGGAAAATTACAGCAGAATGGAGTTTGGAGTCACATGGGCAAGTCCCTGCACACTTTGCTGAATCGCAAGGCGTGTCTGCCTTCTCGCAATGGGTCAATGGTATCGCTGATGATTCTTAATGGGCCGTCCAGCAGGCTAGGCAGAGCTGACACCAACTTGTCTGGGGTGTCACCCAGAAGCACAGCACACATTTGAACTACAGACAGGATAGAGCCAATATTCATAACTTTAACTACAAACGATACACAAATATAGACAGCATCATCCTAACCAGCCCACCATCACCTTGTCTGAGACACCCCTTTATACGAGATTTGGTGCCACTACAGGACCTTGGTTGCAACAATGATCTATACGGTCCCAGATTACGTCAATTACGTCACAGCCCCAACGCAAAAGTGATGCAGGAAGGGATGGCACAAACATCCCAAGAGCTCCCCATCCTGGGTTCTGTCTTACTACAGCTAGTATTGGGTTCGAAGCCGTACCAGTGTAGAACAGAAATGGTTTGCCAAAGTCATGGTCAATAACATGATTGAATCTCTTTACAAACCCAAGGTAAAACTTGGTTAGAACAATAGTGGATTGGATCTGCTCTTGCATCGTGGTTCCTGTAGGTCTCGTGATCTTGCCAAGAGCTAAAGAACGTAGCTACTTTATCCATACAAGCTCTGGCAAATGTGTGGAACCCAATTAACATCAAGTCAATGTAGATATTAATGTTGTCCATAGTACAGGAACCTTGGCAGTTAGCCGTGAAAGCAATATGGTAATGTGCCTCAGTTTCCCCTTTTCATACAGCACATCAGGTCTGGAATGTCTTTTTCCCTGTGAAAAGTTCCAATACTGTTTACAGGCATTAACTGTGAAACGTCAGTATAACAAGGCCTTTTATCACAAAGTGTGTTCTCATGTATTCCTTTTAATATGTTCAAGGGTTTTTTCAAAAGATTAGGCACATTGGACATTTTTACAGTTCTTGGTAATAGCAACACATTAGTTACAAGAATTACCATGAGCAACAACAACAGATTTGTTGCACGTGTCCATTTACAATCAGTTTTGTCATGCCACACCTTTGGCTCAACACTATTGGGGTTTGGGCCTTTTAGAGTCAGCCTGTGGCTTCCCTTTGCAGAATTAAGGTCTCTCTCTTTCCTTCCCTTCCTGAAGGATCAAACCCAGATTTCTCTGGCGTAACCGAATTCACTGGCTGATTGAGCGTGCTCTCTGTGCTAACAGCTATTAGCGAGTCCTCCTTCTCCCTGCCAGCCAAGTAATTTGCATTACCACAGGCAGGAGCCAGTTCCCCAGTTCTCAGATCCTTAACTGCTACCAATTCCAAGGCTAGACTCTGTCTTAAAGAGAAACCATCCATTTTCACTGACAAGCCAGACTCAAAGCTCTGTTGTCCTTCCCTCACCAACCTCTGCTTCCACCTGGAATCAGATGTTAAGTTCACTGAGAGACTGCAAGTCATATCCAAAGTGTCCGGAGAGGAGAGTAAACCTGCCCTCCCCTGCATTCTCCAGAGATCAGCTGCCCAGCTGTTCTGCTCTGCAGACTCCGCTCCCCATCCTTCCCTCTGAACCTGGGACAGCTCATTTGACCCCCTTTGTACAAGATTTGGTGCCACTACAGGACCTTGGTTGCAACAATGATCTATATGGTCCCAGATTATGTCGATAACGTCACACCCTGTGCGGGGAGGGGGAGTGGATGGCTGCAGGGTTGGGGGAGGGGGAAATGAATGGCTGGAAGGGGAGGGGAGGGAAGTGGATGGCAGCAGGGCTGGGGGAGTGGCTGTCGGTGGGGAGGGTCCCAATCTCTTGGTGCCCAAGGCTGCAGGTGGGTCACAGGCTGGTACCTGACTGGCCAGACAGGGGGAGGAGCAGCCGGACAGAGGGGCTGGTGGCAGGAGGGGTAACGGCTCTTTCCCTGTGTTGCAGGTGTCCCAGGGCACAGAGGGCTGGCTATTCCCTGGAGACGTCCTCCCCACCCCCACAGGTACTGCCTTCCCCCACTCATGGGGGGCTGTCACGGAGTCCCGGGGCGATGCTCTGGAACTGCTCCCCATGAAGCCAGGCAGGACTCTGGGGCAGTCTCCTTTCTGGGAGCAGCCTGTCTGCAGGACACACAGCTCACCCGGCTTCCACCTTCCTGGGTCTGACCTCGGAGCATTCAGCCTCCTCTGCCCCTCCGTGCGTGTCCCACAGCGAGTCCCCCCAGGCGGGGTCCTGGGGAAGCCAGAGGGTCCTGCCCCCCAACTCCACAGTCAGACGTGACTCTCAGCCAGCCAGTAAAACAGAAGGTTTATTAGACGACAGGAACATGGTCTAACACAGAGCTTGTTGGTGCAGAGAACAGGACCCCTCAGCCGGGCCCATTTTGCGGGGCAGTGAGCCAGACAACCACTTCTGCCCTTCACTCCATGTCCCCAGCCAGCCCCAAACTGAAACTCCCTCCAGTCCCCCCTCCTCTGGGCTTTGTCCCTTTCCCGGGCCACGAGGGCACCTGATCCCTTTGTTCTCCAGTCCTTCAGCTCTCACCTGGCAGGGGGGAAGGGCCAGGCCATCAGTGGCCAGGAAACAGGGTGTCGGCCATTCTCTGTGTCCAGACCCCTGCCCACACCTGCTCTCTAGGGCTCTGCAATGATCATACACCCTTATCCCACCACCTAGAGACTTAAGAACTGTGTAGGGGAAACTGAGGCACCCCCACACTATTCAGAGGAAACATTAAGAACAGTCCCACTTTGTCACAGGGGCCCTCCTGGGGTTACCCGCTGCGGGGGAGGGGACACAGGGGCGCATGGGGGGGCACGGCTGCTCTGAGCTGCCCCATCTCCCTGCAGGTCCCTGCAGCGAGCCGCTGGGCCTGGACGACGGCAGGATCCGCTACCAGCAGCTGAGCGCCTCCTCCCACCGGGACAGCAACCCCCCGGATGCCGGGCGCCTCAACATGGTGCCCAACATGTGAGCAGCCCCCTGCCGCGTGACCAGCCCCTCCTGCCAGGGCCTGGGGGTGGGAATGGGGGGGAGGGCCCCTCCTGCCAGCGGACACAGGTCCCCCCCAGTGGCTGGAAGGAGATGGGCACGGTCAGGCTGGCAGGAGGGGAACTGACCCTGGGACGTGGTGGATTCTCCGTCCCCGAAAGGCTCTGCCCAGCCAGCGCCTGGACCAGCGGCAGGGGTTAGCTCAGGGTGGTCCGAGCCGATCGCAGGGGTCCATCTCAGGTGACGTCTGTGGCACGAGCGAGGGCTGGGGTCCCCGCTCGTCCAGCCGGGCTCACACCAGCCCGTGTCGAGCTCACGCCAGCCGGAACAGCTGTGCAGCCGCGGCAGCAGGGCGAGTGCATCCCACGGCTCCAGCTCGGCCCGGCTCTGCCAGGGCCCCCAGTCACACCCTGACCGGCGAGCAGGGACTCACCGCTGGGCGGGAACGGATGGGAGGGTCTCAGCCCCTGGGAGGAGGTTTCCAGGCTGCCTCGGGGCCAGTTTCCCTGCCTGTGGAGTGGGGCTCGGATCTGTGGGTTGGGGTCTGTCCCCGCAGCATCTAAGGCGAGGGGCCGGCGGGCGACCAAGGTCCCTGTGCTCTGGGTCACGTATGGGTTCCAGGAGCTGCGACCAGCCCCCTTTCCTGCTGGCGGGAGGGGAGCGGGTGCCCTGGGGGGGTCATGCCCCGTGGGAGCTGCTGAGCCCCCTGAGGGAGGGAGCTGTCAGGTGGCAGGGCCCTGGCACCGATGGATCTCGGTGGGCGACTCCCCACCCCAGGGTGCCTGGGCCCTCTCGGTCAGGGCTGGTGCTGGGCCTGCCCCATCGCTTCCCCTCTGCCCCTCCCAGACTGAACATCGAGCCAGGCTGGAGCCCCCTGGAGACCGACGGCAGCCCGTACTTCCAGGTGGACTTCCTGCAGCCCACCTTTGTGAGCGCACTGGTCACGCAGGGCGGGCCGACGGCCGGGGGCTACGTCACCAGGTATCGTCTGCAGTACAGCCACGACGGGGTGCACTACCGTGACTACACGGGGGCAGCACGCGGCGCTGTGCCCCCCCAGCCGGCTCAGGTACCTGGCCGTGCCCCCCGGGACTCGGCCCGCTCCCCCCACCCCAGGCCACTGGGCCGTATGCGCGGCACGGGTGGCCTGAGGCAGCCCACGAGCTCTGCAGCGTGCCCTCATCTCCAGTGCCCGGCATGCCACCGTGCGTGCCCTGCCCAGTCGGTGCCCAGGGCCAGGGCCCTGCGGGTCGGCATTCAGGGTCTCTCCGGCCAGGCTGCTCCGGTCACGATGGAGCACTGCGTGCTGGGAGCCGTGGTCTCCAGAGGCTGCTGTATGATGCCACAGAGGTGCCACCCTCAGGGGCCTGGCAAGTCACCAGCGTGGCCCTCGGCTGAAGCCTGAGATCTGGGTGCAGCTCAGACCCAGACCCCCGCCTCGGTCAGCCCCCGAGCCTGCCCCTCCCGTCCCACGCCAGCCGGCAGTGGGGACAGAGCCTCTCCCCTGCCCGCTCTCCAGCCCTGGGCTGACCGCTCCCTCCGGGTCCCTCGGCCAGGTACTGGAGGGAAACTTCGACAGTCACACGCCGGTGCAGAGGGAGCTGCGCCCCCTGATCCTCGCCCGCTACCTGCGGCTGGTGCCTGTGGAGTATCACCGGAGCATCCACCTGCGCATGGAGGCGCTGGGCTGCCCCTGGAGTGAGTGCTGCTCCCCCCGAGATTGGGGGTGGGGGGCTCTGTGACCCTGCGGGGCTGGGACAGGGGGGCCTGTGACCCTGCGGGGCTGGGACAGGGAGCAGGGGGGCCTGTGACCCTGTGGGGCCGGGCTGGGGAGCATGAGGGGGGCCTGTGACCCAGCAGGGTGGGGACAGGGAGCAGGGGGGCCTGTGACCTGGCAGGGCTGGAGAGCATGAGGGGGCCTGTGACCCTGCGGGGCGGGGACCTGGAGCGGGGTGTCTGTGACCCTGCAGGGCTGAGCTGGGTCCCTGGTACCCCCGGCCGTTGCTCTAGCCTCTCACCCTGGGCTGCTCTCCCCGTCCTCCGGAGCACCTTTCTCTGGATCCTGCACAGGCTGGTGCCCCCCACTCTGGGCTCTGGCCCCTGGGGGCACCTTGCAGGCCCTGCCAGGGGAGGGGTGGGTAGTGCCAGGCCTCGGCCTTGCCCTCCCCCATGGGGCAACAGAGCAGGCAGCCCAGCTCCACCTGGGCCCAGCCTTGCGCTGAGTTTATTTGGGGCTGAGCTGAGCTGCACCTGCTCCGTCCCCTGCTCGGGGGTCCCTCCCTGCATCTGCCCAGCCCCAACCGGTGCCAGGCTGCAGGGCAGAGTCCCGGGCTCTGGGGAGAAAAAGGCCCCGTGATTGCCTAGCCCGTCACTGCCAATGGCCTGAGCTGCTGGTGCTGGGCGAACCACGTGCAGGGAGGTGCCGGGCCTGGGGCAGGGGGCAAGTGCCCGGGGGTCAGTCAGGGCACCGCAGGAAGGGACAGTTGGGCCGAGTCCCCAGGGAAACATCCCATTAGTCAGGGAATCCTTGCCGGGGGGGCGGGGGGCCGGAGAGAGCCTGGAGCAGAGAGAGCCAGAACTGCCCTGGCGGCTGGGCATGGGCAGGCGAGGGGCCACCGGCGGCCTGCCCCGGGCTCTGCCCACGCAGGTGTGAGTGACTCAGACCCTGAGGAGAGGATCCCCCGCGGGAGGTTCCCCCATGGCCCAGCTCCGTCGCCCGTTCCCAGGCACGCCCTGATAGCCATTCCCTCGCCCCCGGGGGATGCGCCCTAGAGACCAGCAGGCACTTGTTCCCCCCACCCCCACCCTATGGAGGCTTCTCTGAGCCCTTTCCATCTCCCCAGCCCCCGCCATGTCTCCTGCTCTCCCCTGAGCCCCATTTCCCAGCACTGCCAGCTGCGGGCACCTCTCCCATAGGGCCAGGCACCCTGGGCACGACAGGTGGGGCCTGGAGCCTTCCCCGCTGAGCTGTCTCGTCTCTGCCCCCGAGTCCAGCCTCTGCCCTGGGGAGACCGGAGTGCACGACTCTGCCTGGGGTCGGGGTCCCCGGGACTGGGGCGTGCTGCTGGTGGGGGATGGTGGGGGCCTCGGGGGCGCTGTGTGAAGCCCCTGCGGCCCCCTGTGATGGCAGGGCCGGCTGCAGGGCCTTCCTGGGCGAGCAGGGATGTGCTAGGTGGGGGGGCAGGATGGGGAGGCTTAGGGGGCAGGACGTGGGAATCTAGGGGGCAGGAGGGGGGACCCAGAGCAGCTCAGCCAGCACCATGGCCCTCCCACTGATCAGTTCCTTCTCCCTCTCCCCAAGGTGCTGCTCCACTGGGGCCCAGGCCCACCTCTGAGCAGCCCCTGCTCCCCACGGCGACTCTGGTCCCAGGATCCAGGATTCCCAGCACAGTCAATGAGAGCCGTGAGGCCAAACCCACGGGCCAGCCAGTGAAGCCGCCGGGCACCATGGCAGCAGGTGAGACTGGGCCGGGAGCAGGGCAAAGAGACGTGGCACCGGGTGCTGGGTCCCCATTAGAGAGCAGGAGTGTGCGAGTCACTGGGAATGGACAGGCCCGTCCCTTCCTGCCAGCAGCCCCACAGTCCCCAAACCAGCCCTGCGCCTGCTGCCCCAGGGGGTGGTGTCACGGATCCCCAGCGTCGGGGCTACAGCTGTGTCCAGGAGGAGCCCCCTCGCAATGTCAGACCCCAAGGGGTCCTGGGGGAGCCTCTTCTGCTCCACAGGGACCGATAGGCCTGGCCCGGACCTGCAGCAACCCTCCGGCAGCCTGGGAAGCCCGGAGCTGAGCCCTGGATGGTCAGAGCACCCTCTCTCCTGGCCAGCCCAGAGCCCAGCTCTGCTGTCAGGACCCCCACTGATGATGCTGCCTGTCTCTGTCTGACCCCCTGGGTCAGACCCCAAGGTAGGGAGCCTCAACTCCTTCCCGCAGCCAGCTTCTCTCATCCCCCTGCACTTCCCAGCCCTTAGCTCTCCAGTCGGGTCTGTGCCCAGCTTCCCTGTGCCCAGGTCCAGGGGCTGGGGCTGCCATTGTCTGTTCGGGTTTTCCATTGATCTGGGGCAGCCTCAGCCAGTCCTTCCTGACGGCCTGTCCAGTTGGCTCAGCCAGCTTGGCGACCCCCACATACCTCCGTGTCTCAGGCGGGGAGGGGGGAGGCAGGCGGTGCTGAGGCAGGAGGAAGGTGGGGCTGCGGGGAGGAAGGTGGGGCCCGGTGGGAGGCTGGCGGGGCTGGGGGAGGAAGGTGGGGCTGGGTGGGAGGCTGGCGGGGCAAAGGCAGGGGGCTGGGGGAGGCAGGCAGGGCTGAGGTGAAGACAGGTGGGTCTGGGGGTAGGCAGGCAGGGATGCGGGGAGGAAGGTGGAGCTGGGTGGGAGGCTGGCAGGGCTGGGGCGAAGGCAGGCGGGGCTGGGGGAGGCAGGCGGGGCTGAGGTGAAGACAGGTGGGTCTGGGGGGAGGCAGGCGGGGCTGCGGGGAGGAAGGTGGGGCTGGGTGAGAGGCTGGCAGGGCTGGGGCGAAGGCAGGCGGGGCTGGGTGGGAGGCTGGCAGGGCTGGGGCGAAGGCAGGCGGGGCTGGGTGGGAGGCTGGCAGGGCTGGGGCGAAGGCAGGCGGGGCTGGGGGAGGCAGGCGGGGTTGGGCGAAGATAGGTGGGTCTGGGGGGAGGCAGGCGGGGCTGCAGGGAGGAAGATGGGGCTGGGTGGGAGGCTGGTGGGGTTGGGCGAAGACAGGTGGGTCTGGGCGGAGGCAGGTGGGGCTGGGGGAGGCAGGCGGGGCTGAGGTGAAGACAGGTGGGTCTGGGGGGAAGCAGGCGGGGCTGCAGGGAGGAAGGTGGGGCTGGGTGGGAGGCTGGCAGGGCTGGGGCGAAGGCAGGCGGGGCTGGATGGGAGGCAGGCGGGGCTGGGTGGGAGGCTGGCAGGGCTGGGGCGAAGGCAGGCGGGTCTGGGGGGAGGCAGGCGGGCCTGTGGGGAGGAAGGAGGGGCTGGGTGGGAGGCTGGTGGGGTTGGGCGAAGACAGGTGGGTCTGGGCGGAGGCAGGTGGGGCTGAGGTGAAGACAGGTGGGTCTGGGGGGAGGCAGGCGGGGCTGCAGGGAGGAAGGTGGAGCTGGGTGGGAGGCTGGCAGGGCTGGGGCGAAGGCAGGCGGGGCTGGGTGGGAGGCAGGCGGGGCTGGGTGGGAGGCTGGCAGGGCTGGGGCGAAGGCAGGCGGGGTTGGGCGAAGACAGGTGGGTCTGGGGGGAGGAAGGGGGGGCTGGGTGGGAGGCTGGTGGGGTTGGGCGAAGACAGGTGGGTCTGGGCGGAGGCAGGCGGGGCTGTGGGGGAGGCAGGTGGGTCTGGCCGAAGTCAGGGTGACTGGCCCAGCCTGTCACTGACACGTTTTCTCTTTCTGGCTCACCCAGGGAAGGAGCCGGGCACCATGCCAACGCTGGGGACGACAGGGCCTGCAGGGGACATGCGCAGCCCTGGAGCAGCTGGCCCCGAGGTGCCCCACCTGAGCACAGCTCGGCCTTGGTGGGGCACTGGGACGCCTGGCCTTGTGGAGGAATCCAGGCGCTCCAGAGCTCCCGGCGTGGCAAGCCCAGAGCCCGGGCGCCCGGGGGAGATGCCCACTGCCTGGTCCCCAGGGACTCCTGGGCTCTTCTGGGCAGGGACAACCTCTCCGGGGAGCCCACGCCTGCTGGGCCCCACCCTGCCGGGCATGGCGGCTGTGACTGTGTCGGCAGCCGGTCCTGGGCCTGGCACCACGGGGCTGCCTGGGCTGCACACTGGCCCCTCCCAGCCTGGCAGGCCTGGGCTGGCCACCACTCTGGCTGGTAAGCAGGGGGCCGGTGCTGGGGGGAGGGCAGGGCCGTGGATGGGCCGTGGCAGAGCCGTGGCCGGGAGCTTGCCAGCTGAGTAGGGATGGGCGCGGGGTGACCCCCAAGGAGAACCCAGCCATTGCAGGGAGCGGAACTGCTGACCCCTGTGGGGGAGCTGCCCTGCGAAACCCTGCCCATTAAACAGCTGCTGGCCTCTCTAAGGTGGGCCTTACCCATGTGCCCCGGCCTGGGCACCTTCTCCCACCGTTCCGAGTTCCCCTGGACCCTGCCTGGCTCCGCGACTCTGCAGATAGTCTGTGCCCTCCAGGGGAGCAGCCCTGGGCCTGCCAAGATCCAGCCCCGCGCAGTGGGGCAGAGCTGCGACCCTGTCCCCTAAGGATGCCACGCGTGAGGGGCTACTGGGGACAGGATAGCTCTGCGCTGGGCACCCGGCAGGGGGTTCAGTGCCAGCCCCCCAGCCCGTGTGTTCTTCCAGCAGGGCTGCCCTTCCCCCGGCTCCTCTGCACCCAGGGCCAGTTTGCCTGCGAGGTGCTGGGCTGCGTGGAGGCCGCCTTCGTGTGCGACGGGCAGGAGGACTGCCTGGACGGGTCGGACGAGTGGCACTGCGGTGAGTGGGGAGAGGGATGGGGCCAGACCCTCATAGCCACCCCACAATGGAGCTGGACACCCTGGATTTGACCTGGGGGCTCGCCTGGCGCCAGATCCTCCCAGCACCCTGGCCCCCGTCACAGACCCACAGGAGCGGGGCTATGGCCCCAGCTTTGGAACGGTCTTTGGGAGGCCCCTCAGTGTGCCAGACCTGGCTCCTGCTCCGTCCCCCACCCCTTTTTGTTTGTGTTCCCAGGCCTGGCCCTCAAGGCTCCTCCTCGCTATTTGTTCCCCAGCTGGTGGGCGGGGGTTAGTTGCTAGGTACCAAATGTCCCGGTGGTTGGCTTTGCCATTGTCTTCAGGGACCCTCCATTGACCTGGCCCCCAACCCCAGACAGCCAGGTGTGAGCCACATCTGCCTCCCTGGGCCTCTGGGAAGAGCCACCAGCCCTTTCCCTTTCCAACCGCCTGGGGGAAACTGAGGCACCCACCATGTTCATACAAAACGTTACAGAAAATTACCACCCCCTAAGGCCCTGCTTGGGGGCCTCTGTGGAGTAAGTGGGACTGTCAGCCCCGCTCCTGGGGCCTGTGGGGTTCAGCATTGAGCCCCCTTCGCGGACTGCCAGTGTGGGGCTAGGGCCCACTCCTGATGTGGGCAGGAATTAGACCAGGACCAGCCCAGCGGGTCACACATGGGCAAAGGCTGGCGAGGCTGGCCTAGGAGCTGCCAGGCTGGGCTCCCAGGGGCTGGAGGCGGGCGGCTCCTCGCTGAGCGAATGGGGCTTGGTGCCTGCGGGCTGGGGGCCGCTGGGCCAGGCCCACGGGTCGGTGTTAGCCCTGGCAGGTGGTAGCTGAGGGCCGGGCCAGACGCTCCCCTCACTTCTCTCCTGTGGGCGGCTGCCTGTCTCTGCAGGAGGCCCCACCGCCTCGGCCGTCCCCATCGCCACCCTGGCCTCCCCGACCGGGCGGCCCAGCGTCTGCTCTGCCAAGCAGCTGTCCTGTGGCAGCGGGGAGTGCCTGGCCCTGGAGAAGCGCTGTGACCTGCACCCGGACTGCCAGGACGGCTCTGACGAGAGCAGCTGTGGTACGTGCCGGGCTCCTGCTCCGGGCGCTCGGCCCTGGGCCTGTCCCCCTGGAACCTCCCAGCGACGCTTGGGGAGCTGCCTGAACCTCGGAGCAGGGAGCCAGGCCTGCCCAACCTCCAACAGCCGCCCCCTGCCCTCCCACTGGCTCCATCTCCAGCAGGCACAGCCATGGCCACTGCGGTCCAGGGGCCAGGCTCTGGAGCTGTCCGGTTCCGGCAGATCCTGGCCATGGGAGCCCTGGCGGCCCTGGGGCCAGCACCACGAGCCCCAGCCTGCATGGCCCCCGGCTGGGGCCCGGACTAGACAAGGCTAGGCTGGATCCCAGGGTGCTGGGTCCGGCTGGGGAACTGTCCCAGGGTGCGGCGGGGCTGGCCGGAGCCCTTGGCACCCCCATCTCTAAGGCCTGTCTCCTGCCCCGCCAGTGGACTGCATCCTGTCTCCCTGGAGCGGCTGGAGCGAGTGCAGCCGGTCGTGCGGGCTGGGCGTCACCTTCCGCCAGCGGGACCTGCTCCGGAACGCCCTGCCCGGGGGCCAGTGCGAACGCAACGAGTTCGACAGCCGCTCCTGCTTCCTCCGGGCCTGCCCAGGTGAGCCCCCAACCTGCCCCCTGGGGAGCAGAGACCCCTGCCCCGCCCGCCAAGACCCCCGCCCGCTGCGCCCCCTGGGGAGCAGAGACCCCTGCCCCGCCTGCCACGCCCCCCCTGGGGAGCAGAGACCCCTGCCCACCCGCTTTGCCCCTTGGGGAGCAGAGATCCCCACCCGCCATGCCCCCCTGGGAAGCAGAAACCCCTGCTGTGCCCACTGCGCCCCCTGGGGAGCAGGGACCCCGCCCCACCTGCCTGCTCCCTCTGCACAGCCCCTCATAGCTGGGGATGGAGGCTCAGCCCCCTCCTCAGCACATGGCCCCCATCTACTGAGCCCCATGGCCCAGCCCTGCCGCTCAGGCAAGGGCTGGGCTGCCAGGGTCTGGGCCCCACTCCTGCCCTGCTGGACCCAGCCAGCCGCCCTTCCCGGCCTCTGCACTTTGCCTAGCTGCTGTTGGAGGCATCCGGGGAACGTGGACCACCCCCCCCGGCAGTGGACCTCACTGTGTGGGACTGTCCCACGGGGAGCTGCCCCCAGCCTTGCGAGCATCGCTGGCGGCCGGTGGCAGGGCGCTGGGCCCTCGCCTGTCGCAAGGTCGGGCGGGGGGAAGGGGAATCCGGCGTGGCATGGGGCCAGGCCAGCGGGGCTGAGAGCAGGCCAGGGCTCTCCAGCTCTGTGCTCAGCCCGTCCCTGCCCCTTCTCTGGGTCAGTGAATGGCACCTGGGCCCCCTGGGGCGAGTGGTCGGACTGCGACGCCGAGTGCCGGGGCGGAGTGCGGAGCCGCACGAGGAGCTGCGCTGACCCCCCGCCCAAGAACGGGGGCCAGCCCTGCCCCGGCGACGCCGTGCAGACAGAGCCCTGTAACCTGCAGCCCTGCGGGGATGCCCGCGGTAAGCAAAGAGCGGCAAAGGCGGGGAAGGGCTATGGGGGGGATGAGGGCCCATGGGTCTGCGTGGGGAATGCTGGGGGAGGACGTGGAGTGACCGGGGGGAGGGATTGAGTGGGAATGGGGGGCACTGGGAGGGGTGGGGGGGGCAGCTGGAGGGTCTGGGCCTGAGTGCCGTGCGCCCCTCCAGACTGTGGCCCCGAGATGGTGCACGTGCAGGCAGGGGACTGCGAGAGGGGCCTGGTGGCGCCATGCCCCCAGTCTTGCCGGGAGCTGAACGCCGAGAGGAGCTGCCACAGCCGCTGTGTGGAGGGTGAGCGGCGCAGGGGGGCGCTGGGGGGCAGGGGAGGGGCGGCAGGGCATCAGCGAGAGCGCAGGGGCCCTGGCCAATGGCGCCGTCCTTCACATCCCCGGCTGTCGCCCGGCCTGGCCCCGGCGGCCCCCTCCCCATCCACCCCGGCCTCTCAGCCGGCCGGGACTGAGTCTCCCCCAGGCCTGGGAGGCGATGGCCTCGGGTGCCCTCCGTGTACCGGCGCCCAGCCCACGGCCCCGCTGCCTGGAGTCCTGGGGCTTCTCTCTGGCGGGTGACTCTGGGTCCCTGCTGGGTGACCCGATCCCTGGGCGCCGAGCGTCCACCAGGCCCGCGCCCCCCGGCCTCACTGCGTCCGGCTGGCGTTGGCAGGCTGCCGGTGCCCGCCGGGGCTCTACCTGCAGGAGGGCGGCTGCGTGAACGTCAGCCAGTGCCACTGTGACTTCAGCCAGGAGCGGCGCCTCCCCGGGGAGATGTTCCTGCATGACAACTGCAGCCAGTGGTGAGTGCCGGGGGGCTGGGCTCTGGGGCCCCCGGACGGCCCCTCGCGGGCGTCGGCCCTGCCTGCGCTGCCCCCCGCCTGCCCGTGCGCCCTGCTGCCCCCAGGCTCTGCCCGCCCTGACGGGGCCTGGGCTCCTCCCCCTCGGCTCGCTCCGCACGCCCTGCCCCTGGCCTGCCCTGGGCACTGTGCCCACAGCAGCCCTCCGGCCCCCAGCATGTTGCACCCACCAGACACACCCCTGGGTGCTCCCCGACAGCCCTGTGTGGCGCTCCCTGGCACTGTCCCCTGGGCTCTGGCTCAGCACGGGGCCGGCCCTGCCGAGTGCCGGGCAGCAGCATCTGTGCCCAGGGCTGCTGGAGTGCGGGTCAGTGCTAGGCCTCATGGCAGCCCCGGCCGGCCGATGGCCCTGCGGCCCCCACTGAGTGCGCCACACGTGCGGCAGGGAGCCCTGGGCCCAGGCCCCCTGACCCTGCGTCTCCTCTCCCCAGCGTGTGCCTGGACGGGGTGGTGACATGCGACGACCTGGCCTGCCCCGTTAACTGCGGCTGGTCGGCCTGGTCCCCGTGGACACCCTGCGACCGCAGCTGCGGAGTCGGCATGCGGGAGAGATTCAGGTGCAGAGGGGGAAGTGCCTGGACCCCGCCGCGTGGGCACCGCCCTGGGACCCTCCCACAGCAGGAGACCCCCAAGAAAACCAGACACTGCGGGGCTGGGAGTAGGGACTCAGTAGGGCCCACGCTGGGAGCGCTGGCCTGAGTGCCATGCTAGGGGTGCCGTCCTGCAGGGGCTCGGCAGGGGCTGTCTCCTGTCACAAGCAGTGCTGGGATGGGGGGCGCGAGGGAGCAGGGCGGGGGCTTGGTGGGGGCGCTGGGCAGCAGGGAGCGGGGCGGGGCTCAGTAGGGGGTGCTGTGTGTAGGGGGGGCTCAGTAGGGGGCGCTCTCCCCTCAGTCAGTGCTGACCCCAGTGCAGCACTAGGGGGCGCTGTGCTCTGGGGTGTGCCGGCTTTCAGGGGGGATTTCAAACTCAGCGGTGACCCCTCCGGTCTGCCCCGTCCGTGTCGCCCGAATTCTCTCGTTGGCCCCGTGTCCTGGCACGGGGGCAGCGATTCCTGCGGGCAGCACGGGGTCCTCGACATGCCCGCTCAGCCTCCCCGCTGCCAGGAAGCAGGATCCTGCAGGAGGAGAATCAGGGTCCCCCCTCGCTGTGGCGTTGCCGGGGGGCCGTGGGCTGCAGCGCCCTGGCACCCGTGGCAGGTGTTGCCGTGGTGCAGCACCCAGCTGTGCTGCCCCCTGGCGATCGCTCTCCCTAACTACCTGCCCCCGCCTCCCCAGATCCCCCACCAACCCGGCACCTGCCAACGGCGGAGCCCCGTGCGAGGGGGACGCACAGCAAGTCCGCGAGTGCCACACGGCCTGTGTCTCCGGTACGTACACCGCGCCTGGCCCCGGGGCAGCCTGCGGGGAGGGGACAGGGTCCCTCTGTCCTGGCACGTGTTGCCCTGGGTCGTAGGGCAGCACTCCTTCTGGGGTAGTGCAGAGCATCCTGGGCGTGGAACCCAGGCGTCCGGGCAGCTCTGCCAGCTGGCGTTGGAGATGACAACTGGCCCAATCCTCCCATTGTGCCACCAGCTGAGAACAGAACATGCCCCGCCTGGCCCCCCGCCCTGGCCTGGGGCACCGCTGCCCTCCCTGTCCTCGGGCGCCAGAGCCTGAGCCCGGGGGCCTGTCCCTGGGGTTTGTCCATAGCCCCCCTGATGTCACAGCCGGGCAGTGCTGATCAGCCCTGTCCCCCACCCCATCCCCCCGTGGTCCCCAGAGCCCACCGGCCCCTGGAGCGACTGGACGCCCTGGTCCCCCTGCTCCAAGACCTGCTTCTACGATGTGGACCATGTCGGCGTGAGGAAGCGGTTCCGTCACTGCAACGACACCGGGGAGGGTGCTGGGCGATGCCAGGGGGCACCCGTGCAGGAGGAGCAGTGTGACACGCCGCCCTGCCCCGGTGAGAGCCCAGCTGGAGGGAGGGACGGACGGGAGACAAAGGGCCATAGCAGTGTCTAAGGGGGCTTGTGGGGGCAGCCCTCGAGGAGGGTGGGGGATCCATGGTCGGGGTTCTAGGCTCTGAGGAAGGAGGGGGATCCATGGGCGGGGTTCTAGACCACAAGGATGGAGGGGCTGCTTTGGTGGGGGCAGCCCGTGAGGAGGGACGGGGATCCATGGGTGGGGTTCTAGTGTGTGTGATGAGGAGGGAGGGTTATGTCGGTGGGGGGGCACCCCCCAAGGATGGCCGGGGTTCCCCAGTTGCGGGTGGCATCCAGGCTGACTCCCACGAGGCCCCTGGCAGGGCTGGGGCAACAGGTGCCAGGACAGGGCTAGGAGCGGCAGCTGGGAGGTTCCCAGTGGGTTTGGCAGAGCCCCTCTTCTGGGGGAGCGGCATGGTGCTGAGGGGACCCCCCAGACCCGGCTCCTGGCCTGCTGAGCTCGTCAGGCCATGCCCTCTGATGTCCCCTGGCAGTGGGAGGCGTCTGGACCCCCTGGACGGCCTGGTCCCGATGCTCCGCTACCTGCGACTCCGGCGTCCAGACCCGCAGCCGCACCTGCTCCAACCCGGCCTACGGAGGGCCCGAGTGCACGGGGCCCCTTGTCCAGACCCGGGACTGCGACAGCCAGCCCTGCCGAGGTACGGGGGGGGCCTCCCCCAAGGGGCTGGGCACAGGGCCCTGCCGAGGTACGGGGGGGGCCTCACCCCAGGGGCTGGGCACGGGGCCCTGCCGAGGTACGGGGGGGGCCTCACCCCAGGGGCTGGGCACGGGGCTCTGCCGAGGTACGGGGGGGGCCTCACCCCAGGGGCTGGGCACGGGGCCCTGCCGAGGTACCGGGCATGGGGCTTATGCCAGTGGGCCAGGACACTAGGCTCTGAAAAGGGGCAGAGCGGGGGGCTCACTCTGATTGGTCCAGGGCATGGCGTGCTGCCGAGCGATGGGGTGCGAGAGCCCTGCCACGGGACAGGATGGTGATGGGGGGGGCTGATGTGACGAAGTGGGACTGTTCTTAATGTTTCCTCTGAATAGTGTGGGGGTGCCTCAGTTTCCCCTCTGCAGTTCTTAAGTATCTAGGGGGTGGGGTAAGGGTGTATGATCATTGTAGAGCCCTAGAGGGCAGGTGTGTGCAGGGGTCTGGAAACAGAGAATGGCCAACACCCCGTTTCCTGGCAAATGATGTCTTGGGCCCTTCCCCCCTGCAAGGTGAGAGCTAAAGGGCTGGAGAACAAAGGAATCAGGTGCCTTCCTGGCCCGGGAAAGGGACAAAGCCCAGAGGAGGAGGGGCTGGAGAGAGTTTCAGTTTGGGGCTGGCTGGGGACATGGAGTGAAGGGCAGACGTTATTGTCTGGCTCACTGCCCCCCAAAATGGACCCGGCTGAGGGGTCCGGTTCTCTACACCTACAAGCTCTGTGTTAGACCATGTTCCTGTCGTCTAATAAAACTTCTGTGTTACTGGCTGGCTGAGAGTCACGTCTGTCTGTGAAGTTGGGGGGCAGGACCCTCTGGCTTCCCCAGGACCCTGCCTGAGCGGACTCGCTGTGGGAAGCGCACGGAGGGGCAGAGGATGCTGAATGCTCCGAGGTCAGACCCAGGAAGGTGGGAGCCGGGTGAGCTGCGTGTCCTGCAGACAGGCTGCTCGCAGAAAGGAGACTTCCCCAGAGTCCTGCCTGGCTTCGTAGGGAGCAGTTCCAGAGCATCGCCCGGGGACTCCGTGACAGCTGACCCCAATGGGGCTGTTACCTGGGGGTCTCTCTCCTGCCCGCCACCCCGGCTGCCTGCCAGGGCCCACCACCTGCCACCCCGTGGCGAGAGCCCCTGGGGCCCCGCCACGGCTCTGTCTCACCCCCTCTCTCCTCGCAGCACTGTGCCCCGCGCCCATGATCTACCAGACGGCTGAGGAGTGCCGACGAGCAGGGGGCGCCTGCCCGCGGCTCTGCATGGACCAGGGTGCCGGTGTGGAGTGTGCCTCCCGCTGCTACCAGGGCTGTTACTGCCCCGACGGCCTCTTCCTGCAGAACGACAGCTGTGTGCCGCAGAGCCGGTGCCCGTGCTACCACCGGGGGGCGCTCTACCAGCCGGGCGACACCGCCCCCCGCGACGCCTGCAACAACTGGTACGGCGCCGGCGTCCGGGAGGCCAGGCCCTGCTGCTCAGGGCAGCCGCTCCCCACACTGGGCACAAGCCCTGCGCCTGCTCCGGGGTCCCTCCCGCAGCCAGCCTGCCAGGGGCGCCCCGGGGCCTGCTGCGGCTGGGTCTGGGGCGGGCTCTGCGGGTCGCCACCCTGAGCCTCTCCCTGTCTCCCTTGCAGCACCTGCGTGGCCGGGGAGATGGTGTGCGACACGGAGCCCTGCCCAGGTAACGCGGCCCCGCCAGGCCCTGCCCACGCTGGCTCTGCGAGCACCAGAGCCCGGCGGGACAGGGGCTGGGTGGGGCACAGGCTATGGCCAGGCCTGCCCGCAGCCCCGGGGAAAGGAGGGCGGGTCTCAGGCCCGTCCCCAGCAGGCAGGGCCCCTCACAGACCTGCCCCCAGGGTGGTCAGCGACTGAGACTGAGGGACGCTAGGGGCTCTGCGGGGTGGGCCGGGGCGGGAGGGTCCCCACCAGCCCGGGATAAGGGTAGGGATGGGGTCCCCAGGGCTTTGCGTGGGCAGGGCTGCGGTGCCCACGGGGGCCTAACCCTGCCGTCTCCCCAGTGCACTGCGGCTGGAGCGGCTGGACCGAGTGGAGCTCCTGCAGCCGCAGCTGCAACGTGGGCACCCGGCGGCGTTACCGCTCTGGTTCCGATCCGCCTGCCGCCTTCGGGGGCCGCGACTGCCAGGGCCCCGGCGTGGAGATCGAGTTCTGCAGCCTGCAGCCCTGCAGGGGTGAGTCGGCCAGTGGCTCCCCGCCCCCGGCCCGGGGCCGGAAGGGACTTCCCCAGGGCAGGGGGCTGGGGTGCTCCGCTGCAGCTGTCTGGGCACAGCCCTGCTCTGGGGGCCTGTGCCTGGGGGGGCCCCGGGGCTGGAGCCACAGCGAGGGCCGTGGCACAGGGTGGTGCCCACCCCGGAGCCTGGCAGCCCGCGAAGCCTCCCCACTTCGCCTGCCCTAGGAGGGCTCAGGGTCACTGGGGCCTGGGGGCTCCTGGGGTCGGTGACACTGTGGAGCCTGGGGGCACTCCTGGGTCATTGGGCCTGTGAGGTGGGGTCTCTCAGGCAGTCGGGAGTCTCCAGGGGTCTCTGGCCCTGTGGGGCTGGGTCTCTGGGACAGGGGATGTCTCCTAGGCCCTGGGAGATTGGGTCTCTGGGGCAGGGGATGGCTCCTGGGGTCTCTGGCCCTGGGAAATCGGGTCTCTGGGGCAGGGGATGGCTCCTGGGATCTCTGGCCCTGTGGGGCAGGGGGGTATCCCCTGGGGTCTCAGACCCTGTGGGATGGGGTCTCTGGGGCAGGGGATGGCTCCTGCAGTCTCTGTCCCTGTTGGTGGGGTCTCTGGGGCAGGGAATGGCTCCTGGGGTCTCTGTCCCTGTGGGATGGGGTCTCTGGAGCAGGGGATGGCTCCTGGGGTCTCAGGCCCTGTGGGGTGAGGTCTCTGCCGCTCCTGGGTCACTGGCCCTGGGGGGTGGGGTCTCTGGGGCAGGGGTTAGCTCCTGGGTCACTGGCCCTGTGGGGCGGGGTCTCTGAGGCAGGGGGTGGCTCCTGGGAGTCTCTAGCCCTGTGGGATGGGGTCTCTGGGGCAGGGGATGGCTCCTGGGGTCTCCGGCCCTCTGGGGCAGGGGATGGCTCCTGGGGTCTCTGGCCCTGTGGGGCGGGGTCTCTGGGGTCGGGAGGTCTCGGGTGTGTGTGCCTGAGCTGCCCCCTCTCTCCAGCAGGCTCCGGGGCAGAGTGGGGTCCCTGGTCGGAGTGCTCCGTGCCCTGCGGGGGCGGCTATCAGAACCGCACACGGGGCAGCACCGTCCTGCACCGGATCGAGTTCACCACCTGCAACCTCCACCCCTGCGCCGGTGAGACACTGTCCGTCCGGCCAGCCGGCCCGCAGGCTCCCTGGGCATGGGGCTGCAGCCTGAGCTAAGGAGGGCTGTCCAGCCCCGGGCCCACGTCCTCTGGGGCCGGGCTCCCCGCTCCCGCCCTGATGGCCGTACACAGAGCTGCAGCCAGAGCGCCCTGGGACCATACGGCTGGACAGACTGAGTCAGCCCGGGGGCCCCCCAGCCCCGCCCCGGCCCTGCCAGGGGCCAGAGGGAGGTGTAAGAACCCCCTGATAGCGGATGGGGATAATCGCACCCCTGTCTGTGATAGCTAGAGATTGGCTGCAGCGTGAAGCAGCAGGTTTCATTTCCCTTCCCCAAAGCGTGTTATCATTGCAATAACCCTGACTGTTTTTGTTATCCATCACAATGGCCAGCCCCTCCCGAATCTGGCTAAGCTCTCGGCCTCGGGGATTTCATGTGGCAATGAGTTCCACAGGCTAATCATGTGTTGCGGAAAAAAGCATTTCCTCTGATCAGTTCTGAATTTCATGTAATGGGATGTCCCCTGTTCCTGTGCTAGGAGTCAGGGGGAACAGACGCCCCCAGGCAGCCCTCCCTAGCTGAGCTGCTGTTTTATATGCAGTGTTGGGGTAGCCGGGTGAGTCCCAGGCTCTGAGAGAGACAAGGTGGGGCAGGTAACAGCTTTTACTGGCCCAGCTTCTGCTGGTGAGAGACAAGCTTTGGAGCCCCACCCAGAGCTGTGTGTGGCTGGAAGACTCTCCCCGACAGAAGCTGGTGCAGTAAGAGATCCTACCTCCCCGACCTTTTTGCTCTTCATTGTACAGATTTGTCTCATGGCCCCTCTGCTCCATCCCCTCCGCCGTCGCTCCAGTCTCCCCTCGCGGAGTTTTCCAGGCCCGTGAGCGTTCTCGTCGCCTTTCGCTGGTTCCTGCCAGCTGGGCCCTGGTCTCTGGGACGGGGTGCCCGGGGCGGCCCAGGGGCCAGACAAGGCAGTGCACCTCCCAGCCCTTGGCTCTGCCACGGGGCGGGGAATCCTCCTCGCTCTGGCCGCTGGGTGCCCACGTCCGGGGGCTGGGGCTGCCGTTGTCTGCTCGGGTTTTCCATTGGTCTGGGTCGGCCTCGGCCAGTCCTTTGTCAGGGCTCGTCCAGTCGGCTCTGCCTGTTCGGCGACCGCCCCCATCTCTTAGCCTGCCCTGTGTCACGGACTCCCAGGACTTGTGTTGTCTCTCGGCTCCGTACGGTCCTGGGGGGAGCCCCCTTCAGTGCGACAGCCCTTCTCAAAAGGCCACCCTCTCTCGCGGGTTAAGCTGCAGACCCCTCTGCCTCCTGGAACTGCACCTCTGAGCCTCCAGCCCACCCGTCTCTTGCCGTGGGCCCCCTCAGGGAGTCCACTCGCCCTGGACCCCCGGGGCCTCCCTCCCAGAGGGAGCAATCCCCCCGATCTCTAGACTGGAGAGACTCTCAGCCAGCGTAACACAGGAGGGTTTATTGAGCATCTGAACCCAGCCCAGGAAACTCTCTGGGCCTCAGGCCTGGCCTCCCTCAGCACAGCACATCTAGGTCTGTCCCTCATCCAGGGGGGCCCTAGCTGCTCTCCCCTCCCAGCCCAGAGCCCCCACTTCCAGATGGGCATCTGATATCACCTGCCCCCAAGCCCCACCTCGGTCCTTTGCCTTCTGTCCCAGGCCAACAGGCTGCCTGGGTCTCCTCTCTGCCTCTCCTCCCTCCGGCTGAAACCGGCTGGGCAGGTCACCAGGGGGCAGGTCACCAGGGTCCTCTCTCCGCAGCCCTTTGTCCCTGCACTGGCCAGACCCAGCTGTGACTCCTGAGCTGGGCCTCCCGGTCACCAGGTCACCAGTCGCTGGGCTACCCATTCTCCAGGCCATTCGCTGGCCCTCTGTAACCACAAACTCCCTCTCCCACCACCTCGTTAAACCAGTAACACCCAGGGAAACTGAGTCCCACCCCCTCTGCATGCAAACCACTGAAAACAAGAAAACCCCCTGCTTCGTCATACCCTGGCAGCAAACGTCGTCCTTTTCCCCCCGCTGGGCAGCCGGGCACAGTATAGGGGAAACCGAGGCACACATGGGATTAATATAAAATATTACAAAAAAATCCCGCTTCATCCCAGTGCTCTCTCTGGGTCAGACGAGATGCTCATAACAGTCCCTTCCGGCCACAGAGTTTATGATCCAGTGCAGCACAGGATGACAGGCTGGAAACGGGCAGGGGCGGCTCTGGTTAGTTCTGGGGTGGGAGACCTCCCACGGGCACCAGCTGCTACAGGGATGGGGGGCTGGTGGAGGGCACCAAGGAAACCAGCTGATGGGGGGGACCAAGGGACCTGGCTGATAGAAGGAGTCGGTAGGCGGCACCAAGGAACCAGCTGCTGCGGGGGGGTTCAGTGGGGGGTGCTCTCCCCTCAGGCAGTGCTGACCCCGGGGCCAGGGGCCGGTGGGCTCCCCGCTCTCCCTGCTGTGCCTCTCTGCCTCTACCTCCCGCTGTCGCCCTGTGCCCAGGTGAGGTGCCCGGCGTCTGCCCAGAGGGGAAGCTGTGGCAGGAATGCGCTGACGCGCCGGCCTCCTGCGCGGAGCTGGGCACGGAGCCCCCTGCTGACAGGCCCTGCCACGCTGGCTGTTACTGCCCCCCCCAGCACCGTCCTGCTGGTGAGTGAGAGCCCCCCGCACCCCAGCTCCGCCTCCCCAGGCCTGCCCAGCTGCGGGCACCTGGCCCTGCACAGAGCTGGGGGGGCCCGGACAGGCCGTGGACTCCTGCCCCAAGAGCGGCTCCCACGGGGCAAGGCAGGGTGAGGGGAAGCTGGCGCTCCCTGCTCCGTGGATAGGCCAGACACTGCCAGCGTGACACCTTCCCCTGCCAGGAAAGGCCCCTGGAGGGACCGGAGTGGAATGGAGCCGGGGAGGGGGGAGTGTTGGGACCAGGGTTACCTGTCAGGGCTGGGAGCTGTGGGGCCCCCGGCCCTGGCTGGCACTGGGGCTCTTCGAAGGAGCCTAGAAATGTCGGGCTGAAAGTAGGGGTGTGTGCCGAAATTTAACTGTGACGCCTTGTGGGGTTCGGGGGGCCATGTTCTGTGCCCTGTCCTGGCTCCGGCAGGAGCTCGCTCTCCTCCCCGCGGCCCTGGGGCTGCAGGAGTTCCATGCCTGACAATTATTGGGGGGCCCATGCCCAAGCTTGCCCACCCCTGCCTGGAAGGGACCTCAAGAGGTCACCACGTCCAGCCCCTTGCACTGGGGCAGGACCAAGTAAGCCCAGCCCAGCCCTGACGGGAGCGTCCAGCCTGTTCTTGAACACCTCCAGTGACGGGGATCCCACATCCTCCCTTGGGTGCCTGGTCCAGAGCCGAGCTCCCCTGAGAGCTAGAACGATTCGCCAGCGTGGAGCCCAACTCCCCCTTGCTGCAGATGGACCCATTGCTGCTTGTCCTGCCTCCAGCAGGCAGGGGAACCATCCTCTTTGTAACCAACCCCCCTTCCTGCCTCCCCCCGCCACCCCAGGCTCTGATCAGCTTCCCCCTCAGGCTTCTGTTCCCAGGACTTGACCCCTCACAGCTCAGGTTTGCTAAACCTTCAATCAGTGTTGTCCTCTCCTCTCAACTCTGCAATTTGGCCACATCTTTCCTGACCTGCGGTGTCTAGAATGGGACCCATGACCTCCCGTGTCACATACCACACTCCTGTGCATACACCCGGAGTGAGATTAGCCCGGTTCACACCTGGGTTGCACTGGTGAGCCACTCTAGCCCCCAGCTCCTCTCCAGCAGCATGGACACCCATGGGATAGCTGTGGATTTTAACTTTTCTTTCCTAGGTGCAGTAATTTGCACTTGTCTTTATTGAATTTCAGTTTGTTGATCTCAGACCAATTCTCTATTTGGTCAAGATCACTTTGAATTCTAACCCTGTCCTCCGGAGCGGCTGCGGCCCCTCCCAGCCGGGCGTCATCCGGACATGGTATAGCATCCTCTCCTCTCCCTTATCCAAGTCACTAATGAGAGTATTGTCTGGTCCTGGTCCCAGGACTGACCCCTGCGCCCTCCCTGTGTGACCCTGAACCTTTGCTAGCTGCTCTCAGGCCGGTCTCTCAACTAGCTGTGCGCCCGTCGTCCCAGCCGCGTGTCCCGTTTCGGTCTGAGCATGCCTGTGGGAGCTCTCACAAGCCGTACTGAAAGCAAGCTCTGTGCTGTGCCGTCTGCTTCCAGAATAACCTGTGCGTGGCGGAGTCGGAGTGCCCCTGTGCCGAGGGCGGAGTGCTCTACGCCCCGGGAGACGTGGTGCCCAAGGGCTGTGAGAACTGGTCAGTGCCCTTCTGCAACGCTGCCCCTTTCCCGGGCTGCTTCCTCGGTGCTTCGGCTCTAACCGCTTCCTCTCTCCCCTGCCCAGCTCCTGTGAGGCCGGCCGGATCTCCAACTGCTCCCGGGTGGCCTGTGGGGACGGTGAGAGCTGGCGCGAGGGCTGGGGAGCGCAGCGCTGGCCGCTGACCCGGCCCCTGGCCAGGGAAACCAGTCAAAGAGGCGGGAACCGGACCTGCCCCGTGAGGCCCCACCCCAGCGTCCAGCTGACAGCCTGAGCCATCTCCTGAGTGACACCAGAACGCCCCTTGCCCCGATCCTCCCGCGAGCCCTGCTGAGCCCCTGGCCTGCCGGTCCCTGCCGCGCTGAGGCCCACTGGGCTCCCGCATGGAGACCCTGACAGTCCCGGTGACAGTGGGGATGGGTGGCACGTTGCCTGTTGGCGTCTCACCCAGAGCCCCCAGCCCCTCCACGTCATGGAGCGGTGGGTGGCTGGAGCCCATAATGGCATGAGACCACCGAGGGGCTGGCCCCATTCCCAGCGCTGCTCCCCATGGCCGGCAGCTCAAGGCCAACCCCGCTGCGGGCTGCGTGTCCCTGGCTTCAGGCCAGGGCTTGGCCTCACGGGGGGGGGGGAGCAGTGGGGGGCTGGCAGTGTCCGGGGGCCTGTTGGCTTGGCACGCTCTGGGGCATGGGGCAGCCTCTGACAGCCCCTGTTTCCTCCCGGGCAGTGAGCGGCAGCTGGTCAGACTGGACGCCCTGGAGCGAGTGTTCAGCCTCCTGCGGGCTGGGGCTCCAGAACCGGTACCGGTTCTGCACGGCCCCCCCTCTGTCTGGGTCCGGACTGCCCTGCCGGGGGCCAGAGCGAGAGGAGCAGCCCTGCCACGTCCAGCCCTGCTCCAGTGAGTGTGCCCCCGCCCACCCCGGGAGAGCCCCCCCCTGCTCCAGTGAGTGTGCCCCCACCCACCCCAGGAGAGCCCCCCCTGCTCCAGTGAGTGTGTCCCTGCCCGCCCTGGGAGAGCCCACCCGCTCCAGTGAGTGTGTCCCTGCCCGCCCCGGGAGAGCCTCCCCCTGCTCCAGTGAGTGTGCCCCGCCCATCCCGGGAGAGCCCCCCCGCTCCAGTGAGTGTGCCCCGCCCGCCCCGGGAGAGCCCCCCGCCCCGCTCCAGTGAGTGTGCCCCGCCCGCCCCGGGAGAGCCCCCCCCTCCAGTGAGTGTGCCCCGCCCACCCCAGGAGAGCCCCCCGCCCTGCTCCAGTGAGTGTGCCCCCGCCCGCCCCGGGAGAGCCCCCCCCCACCCTGCAGCCAGGCCTGGCAGCACAAGACCCTGCTCCATCTGACCCCGCGGGCGTGTCCCGGTGCCAGGAGCGACCCCAGGGTCTCTGCGCTGCTCGCTCTGCCTTACCTGCTGCTGCCAGCCTGGAGGAGGGGCTGGGAATGGCCCTGGGGGGCTGCAAGCGGCCTGCACATCCCCAGCAGCCCCCTGGGGTGGGGCTGGGGGCTGGTGACACGTGCCCAGTGCTGGGGGGACCCTGGCCGGGGGGACGGAGGCTGGGTGAGGAGTGAGGCTTTCCCCAGACACAGAGGGGGGCCCCAGGCCAGGGGAGGGCAGGGGGCCTGACACCCCCGGCTCTGCCCCAGGGGACGGCGGCTGGAGCAAGTGGAGCCCCTGGACCGAGTGCACCAAGAGCTGCGGGGAAGGGCTGCGGAGCCGGGCCCGAGCCTGCGACAGCCCCGCCCCGCTGGGCCACGGCGACTACTGCGAGGGGCCCCCCGCCCAGGTGGAGGCCTGCCGCCCGGGGCAGTGCCCAGGTACGTGGGGGGCGGATCCGAGAGCAGGCAGCCCCACCGGAGCATGCCATGGGGGAGGGCAGCTATCCCTGTGGGGGAACCCCCGGACCCCTCCCATGGCTAAGGGGTGAGACAACAGGGGAAGCTCTATACAAGCACCACAGCCCCCTGGGGCTTCAGCAAATGGGGGTGCCTCACTAGGGGGCCCCAATGCCCTAGCATGGTGCTGTGGGGTGCTGGGCCGCGGGGAGCGGGGCGGGAGCTGCGGGGAGTGGGGTGGGGTATCAGCAGGGGATGGGGGCCGCAGGGAGGTGGACGGGGGCTCGGCAGGGGGTGGGGGCTGTGGAGAGCGGGGCGGGGGCTCGGCAGGGGGTGGGGGGCCGCGGGGAGCTGGACGGGGACTCAGCAGGGGGCGCTGGGCTGTGGGGAGCAGGGCGGGGGCTCGGCAGGGGGTGGGGGCTGCAGGGAGCTGGATGGGGGCTCGGCAGGGGGTGGGGGCTGCGGGGAGCGGGGCGGGGGCTCAGCAGGGGGCGGGGGCCGTGGGGAGCGGGATGTGGCTGGTGCCCCACAGCACGTCCCTGCTGACCTAGGTCTGTGCTGTGGGAGGTGCCCGGGCCGAGGTGCTGCCCGCTGGAGCGTGCCAGGCTCTTCGTGCCACATCCTCACCCCCGGCCTCTCCCCGTCTCCCCAGCTCTGGACTGCGCGACCGTGCAGGGCTCCATGGCCAGCCGCTGCGGCCCCTCCTGCCCCCGTTCCTGCGACGACATCGCGGTAAGGGAACGAACGCCCCTGGGCCCCGGAGCGAGGGGACCGCCCCACCCCGGCCCTGGTTTCCTGGGTGCCAGGTGCTGGGCTGGGCTGCTGTCCCGTAGGGCGGGGAGAGCTCCTGCTCCAGACCTGGCTCCTCTCCCCTGCCAAGCCGGGCTGCTCCGCTTTGCCAGGGCACTGTGCTCCCTCCATTCCCCCCGCACTCCCCACAGGGCCCTGCCCCCCAGTGGGTGAGGCTGAGGGGCGGACTGGGCAGCGATAGGGGTGTTGCCACCTGCTCCGGCCAAGGGGGCTGGGAATCCAGCCTGTGTGTATCCTCGTCCCCCTCCCTGTCACGGAGTCCCCGGGCGATGCTCTGGAACTGCTCCCCACGAAGCCAGGCAGGACTCTGGGGAAGTCTCCTCTCTGAGCAGCCTGTCTGCAGGTGTCACGGAGTCCCTGGGCGATGCTCTGGAACTGCTCCCCATGAAGTCAGTCAGGACTCTGGGGTAGTCGCCTTTCTGTGAGCAGCCTGTCTTCAGGACACACAGCTCACACAGCTTCCACCTTCCTGGGTCTGACCTCAGAGCATTCAGCATCCTCTGCCCCTCCGTGCGCTTTCCCCCAGCGAGTCCGCTCAGGCGGGGCTCCTGGGGAAGCCAGAGGGTCCTGCACCCCAACTTCGCAGTCAGACGTGACTCTCAGCCAGCCAGTAAAACAGAAGGTTTATTAGACTACAGGAACATGGTCTAAAACAGAGCTTGCAGGTGCAGAGAACGGGGCCCCTCAGCTGGGTCCATTCTGGGGGGCAGTGAGCCAGACAACCACGTCTACACTTCACTCCATGTCCCAGCCAGCCCCAAACTGAAAACCCCCTCCAGCCCCTCCTCCTCTGGGCTTTGTCCCTTTCCCGGGCCAGGTGGTCACCTGATTCCTTTGTTCTCCAACCCTTTAGCTCTCACCTTGCAGGGGGGGAAGGGCCCAGGCCATCAGTTGCCAGGAAACAGGGTGTCGGCCATTCTCTGTGTCCAGACTCCTGCATACACCTGCCCTCTAGGGCTCTGCAATGATCATACACCCTTACCCCACCACCTAGATACTTAAGAACTGCATAGGGGAAACTGAGGCACCCCCACAATATTCAGAGGAAACATTAAGAACAGGCCCACTTTGTCACAGCAGGACACACAGCTCACCCGGCTTCCCCCTTCCTGGGTCTGACCTCGGAGCATTCAGCCTCCTCTGCCCCTCCGTGCGCTTCCCACAGCGAGTCCGCCCAGGTGGGGTCCTGGGGAAGCCAGAGGGTCCTGCCCCCCAACTCCGCAGTCAGACAGGACTCTCAGCCAGCCAGTAAAACAGAAGGTTTATTAGATGACAGGAACATGGTCTAACACAGAGCTTGTAGGTGCAGAGAACAGGACCCCTCAGCCAGGTCCATTTTGGGTGGCAGGGAGCCAGACAACCACGTCTGCCCTTCACTCCATGTCCCAGCCAGCCCCAAACTGACTCCTCCTCTCCCCCTCCTCCTCTGGGCTTTGTCCCTTTCCCGGGCCAGGAGGTCACCTGATCCCTTTGTTCTCCAACCCTTCCGCTCTCACCTTCCATCAGTGGCCAGGAGACAGAGTGTCGGCCATTTACGTACACTGACCCTTTGCTCTGCAACAGTTACACCCCCTTATCCCACCCCCTAGAGACTTAAGAAATGCCTAGGGGAAACTGAGGCACCCCTACAGTATTCAGAGGAAACATTAAGAACAGTCCCGCTTCGTCACACTCCCTGCCCAGCAATGACAGGGGACTCCATAGCCCCCCCGCCCCTGCACCCCAGGGTCTCCCCCACCCCGTGACGCTCCCTCTGCCCCCAGCACTGCATGTGGAGCTGCGAGGCCGGCTGCTACTGCACCAGCGGCAGGGTGCTGAACGCCAATGGCTCGGCCTGCGTGGAGAGGCAGGACTGCACCTGCCTGGACCTGCTCACCCAGGAGAGGTATCTGCCGGGGGAGACCGTGGCCCACCAGGACGGCTGCAACAACTGGTGAGCGAGACTGGCAGGTGGGGCGCGTTATGGGGGGCAGCGGTTGTCAAGAGCCGCCCGTTGGTCCGTGACACAAAGCCCTGCTATGCCCAGTGCATTGGGTCGGGGCAGGAGGTCCTAGTGGGGCAGTGAAACCAGGAACAGGGGGTGGCTGTGGGGCAGGAGATGTGGAGGGGAGGTGTGCCCAGTGGGGCAGAGCTGCCACGCCCCAGAGATGACTGCATTGCGGCGGTGGGTGAGCGCTGCTGCTCAGCGCTGCTCCTGGGGCGAGGGTACCGAGGCGCGGTCTCTGTACTGTGGGGGGCGGGGGGGGGCTGTCTCCCGGTGGAGGTGGGCATGCTGGAGGCACTGGCGGTCCGTTGTGGGTCCCCCCTGACTCCGTCCCAACCCTTGGCGCCCCCTCCCCCCCCACCATGCCGCGGTCTCACTGCCCCTCCACTCCCTCCCCAGCACCTGCACCAGGGGGATGCTGCTCTGCACCAGCCTGCCCTGCCCTGGTGAGTACCCGGCCGGCCGCTGGGGGGTCGCCGGGGGTGGAGAGGGGCCCACGGGGTAATGGGGCCCCCAGGGGTGTGATGGGGGATGCAGAGGGGCCTAGGGTGGGATGGAGAATGGGTGCCCTGGGGGATGCCATGGGAGCGGGGTGGGGTCTAGGTGGGGGGCCCTGGGGTGGGAAAGGGGGAGGAGAGGGTCCCAGGCCACACACTGATTGGGTAGCAGGGTTGGAGGGGACGTGGCCCCTCCTGTGACCCCCTTCCCCCTGCTCACCTCCCTGCTAAAGGGGGGGGCAGGGGAGAAGGTGGAGGGTGGCAAGAGGAGAAGGGGGCAAGGAGTTGGCGGATGGTGAGAGGAGAAGGCAGGGGGCAGCCAGGGGAGAAGGGGGGCAGGGAGGTGGGGGTGGTGAGAGGAGAAGGTGGGGGGTAGGTAGGAGGGGGCCTAGGCTGCTGGGAGAGACCCCCTGAGCACCCCCTGCTCTGTGCCCCTCTCTCCAGTGGCCGGAGGCTGGTGTGACTGGTCCCCATGGACCCCCTGCTCCCGGACCTGCGGAAGTGAGGTGGTGACGCGGTACCGCGGCTGCGCCTGCCCCACACCTCAGCATGGGGGGGCCGATTGTGCCGGGGCGCAGGAGCGTCACGGGGACACCGGCACCCAGCTCCAGCACAAGGAGTGCCCCTCGGCTGCCTTCTGCCCCGGTACGGCCCCGAGCCCGGCCCCTCCCCCCGCCGGGTACGGCCCCGAGTCCGGCCGGCGGCCCCTCCCCCCACCGGGTACAGTCAGCGGCCCCTCCCCCCGCCGGGTACGGCCCCGAGTCCGGCCGGCGGCCCCTCCCCCCGCCGGGTACGGCCCCGAGCCCAGCCGGCAGCCCCTCCCCCCACCGGGTACAGTCAGCGGCCCCTCCCCCCGCCGGGTACGGCCCCAAGTCCGGCCGGCGGCCCCTCCCCCCGCCGGGTACGGCCCCGAGCCCGGCCGGCGGCCCCTCCCCCCGCCAGGTACGGCGGGAGCCCAGCCAGAGTCCCCTCCCCCCGCTGGGTACACCCCGAGCCAGGCCGGCAGCCCCTCCCCACACCCGGTATGGCCTCAGAGCCCACTTCTCCTGCCTGGGTACATCCCCAGTCTCCTCCCCTCCCAGGTATGGCCCCAGCGTCTGCTCCCCCCTGCCTGGGTACTGCCCCAGAGCCCACTCTGCCCCCACAGGTACCGCCCCAGTGCCAGCTGCCATTGCCCTGGTATGGACCCTATCTGGAGCCGACACTGGGTCCCCCACCCAGATATAGCCCCAACCTCGAGACATTCTCCATCCCTCCGGTATCCCAACCCCAGGCAGGGTCCCTGTGTTACTCTGGCCCGCAGCCCTGCCCACCCTGGGGGTTTACGGCAGGCCTAGGGGCTCCAGGCCCAGCCAGCCGAGGCTCGGGGAGCCGGGCTCACCTCTCTGGGGGTGGTTTGCAGTGGACGGTGGCTGGAGTTCCTGGGGGCCATGGTCGGCCTGCACCGCCTGCGCCGGGGAGTCGGCACGGAGCCGGGAGTGCAGCAGCCCCCCCGCCCGCTTCGGGGGCTTGCCCTGCCCCGGAGAAGCCCGGCAGAGCCGCGCCTGCCACGATGGAGACACCGTGTGTGAAGGTGAGAGACCGGCCCAGGCGCCGACCCCCCGAGGGGGCACTGCGCTGGGGCACGACGCCCAGCGGGGCCTTGCCGTGCAGAGCTGCGCCCAGCCCCAGTGTTCTGCCGTGGGAAATGGGGCCAAGTCCCCCTGGGAGCCATCGCTGGGCCTGGCATGGCCGCCCGGCCTCTGTGTGATCTTGCTCCCATCCCACCACACCCCCTCAGAGCCCCCCAGCCTCTGCCCCTTCCCGGGGTCACCCGGCCTGGCCCCGCACCTTGGCCCCCTTCACCCGGCCCGGCCCCCTCGCTGTCAGGCCCGTGGCCCACATGGTGGCAGCCCGGCTGCGGTGGAGTGGAAGCAGTGGCCAGGGCAGGGGCCGGGCCCAGGGGCTGACCGGGCCGCAGGACCTGCGGGGCAGGGCGCAGGGTAGCAGGGGCAGGCTGGGTGGAGCCGGACGGGTCGCTGCGCTTGTGGCTGAAGATCCAGCAGCGCTCACGGTGCCGCGATGCCACCCACGCCAGGGGCAGGGAGCGGCTGGGGACGAGGTGGGAATGCTACCCTGGCAGCCCAGCTGCTCCTTGGAGACCCGGCTGGTGGCCACCCCCACAGTCCTGCCAGCCTCATCCTCACCCCTGCCCATCTGCTGCCCTGGGCAGGGCTGATGGTGTCATGGAGTCACAGGTTGTACCCACTCATGGCCCCATGTGGTCCCTGGGGGGAACCCCCTTCAGGCCCCTCAGGGAGTCCCATCACTGTGGACCCCTGGGGCCTCCACTCCCAGAGGGAGCAATGCCCCCCCCCAAGGTCCCCATCCCCAGAGGGAGCAGTGCCCCCCGATCTCCCCACTCCTAGAGGGAATAATGCCACCCTGTTCTCTAGACTGGAGCGACTCTCAGCCAGCGTAAATCAGGAGGGTTTAGTGAGCGTCTGAACCCAGCCCAGGAAACTCTCCAGGCCGCAGGCTTGGCCTCCCTCAGCACAGCACATCTAGGTCTGTCCTGCATCCAGGGGGCTCTGCCTGCTCCCTCTCTCCAGTCCCGAGCCCGCCCCCTTCCCAGCTGGGCATCTGATATCACCTCCCCCAAGTCCCACCTCTGTCAATTGTCTTCTATCCAGGTAAACCTGGTCTCCTGGGCCCCCTCTCCCCTCCTCTGTCCTCTGGCCCCTCTGGCTGGAACCGGCTGGTCGGGTCACCGGGGTCCCCTCTCCGCAGCCCACTGTCCTGCCACCGTCCAGAACCGGCTGTGACTCCCAAACTGGGCTTCCCGGTCACCCGTCGCTGGGTCTCCATTCTCCAGGCCGTTCGCTGGCCCCCTGTAACAACAAACTCCCTCTCCCACCACCTTGTTAAACCAATAACACCCAGGGAAACTGAGTCCCGCCCCCCTCTGCATGCAAACCATTGGAAAAATCAAGAGAACCCCCCACGTCGTCACAGATGGCTAGAGTGGCCTGTGTGGCTGCCTGATTTCCTTGCCGCTCCCTGTACAACCCGGGCATTGGCCGTGCTTCCCCCAGCACCGTGCCCGGCAGTGGCAGCCCTGGAGGGCAGTGTGGCCCGCGCCGTGCCGGGCGCTGCCGGGTTTGCGGGTGGGGGTGACCCCAGCTCTCTCCCCACAGGCTGCGGCGGGGGGCAGGTGGCTTTCGCCTGTGGCAAACCTTGCCCACGCTCCTGTGAGGACCTGCAGGCGGACGCGGCCTGCCTGGACAGCCCCCAGTGCCAGCCCTCGTGCGGCTGCCCCGCTGGCCAGCTCCTCCAGGACGGGGCGTGTGTGAGCCTGGCACAGTGCTCCTGCAAGTACCGCAATGGCTCCCTGGGTGAGTGCGGGCCCGGGGCTGGCGGGGACGGTGCACCCAGGAAACCTCCACGGCCCGGGGGAGGGAGGGGCTGCAAGGAGGGTACAGGGGGCTAGGCGAGGGAGGGCACGGGGGAGCAGTGCAGGGGTAGTGGGGGGGTGCGTCTGTGGCTCTACGGGAGGGTGACGCCCCCGCCCGTCTCCCCGCAGAGGCTCCGGAGCAGCAGCCCCTCTCGTCCTGGGCTGGCCCCGTGCCCTGGGAGTACGCGCAGCCTGGGCAGACGGTGTACGGGCCCTGCCAGAACTGGTGAGTGCTGGGCTCCGCGGGCACTCGGGGCCCCCTCCCCTAGGCAGCCTGGGGGCCGGAACGGGGATGGCGCTGCCCACATCCGTCCTGGGTAGCGGAGTCCAAACCCCCATCCCCGGGGGGCTGCGGGTGGCTCTGGGAGCTGGGAGCTGCTGGGCCTCAGGGCGGTCTAAGGGGCAGGTGCCACTGGCAAACCCCCTCACCGCAACCCACCCCCTCTCCAGGGCCCTGCCTGGCATCTGGCCAGAGATGGCTGAGTGAGCCAAGGAGACGGACCCTCCCCCAGGCCTTGCGGAGCTGCAGCCTCTGTCCGGGGCAGCCCAGGGCGGCTGGGCAGGTCCTTGGGCTCTGGGGCAGTGCCCGGGGCGGAGGGGAGGCCTGGGTGGCTCATTGGAGCTGGGCTCTGGGGCAGTGCCCAGGGGGAGGGGAGGCCTGGGTGGCTCATTGGAGCTGGGCTCTGGGGCAGTGCCCAGGGGGAGGGGAGGCCTGGGTGGCTCATCGGGGCTGGGCTCTGGGACAGTGCCCAGGGGGAGGGGAGGCCTGGGTGGCTCATTGGAGCTGGGCTCTGGGGCAGTGCCCAGGGGGAGGGGAGGCCTGGGTGGCTCATCGGGGCTGGGCTCTGGGGAAGTGCCTGGGGGCTGGGGGGAGGCCTGGGTGGCTCATCGGGGCTGGGCTCTGGGGAAGTGCCTGGGGGCTGGGGGGAGGCCTGGGTGGCTCATCGGGGCTGGGCTCTGGGACAGTGCCCAGGGGGAGGGGAGGCCTGGGTGGCTCATCGGGGCTGGGCTCTGGGACAGTGCCCAGGGGAAGGGGAGGCCTGGGTGGCTCATCGGAGCTGGGCTCTGGGACAGTGCCCAGGGGGAGGGGAGGCCTGGGTGGCTCATCGGAGCTGGGCTCTGGGGCAGTGCCCAGGGGGAGGAGGCCTGGGTGGCTCATCGAGCTGGCTCTGGGACAGTCCAGGGGGAGGGAGGCTGGGTGTCATCGGAGCTGGGCTCTGGGACAGTGCCCAGGGGGAGGGGAGGCCTGGGTGGCTCATCGGAGCTGGGCTCTGGGGCAGTGCCAGGCTTTTCTCTCCCAGCCTGTGCACCGGGCATGCAGGGCTCTAGTCTGTGGCTGCCCAGGGCTGGGACAGGGGTGTTGGATGCAGGTGCGGTTGTGGGCTGCGTGGCCAGTGGGCAGCCCCCCCGGGCGGTAACGCGCTCTCCCCTCCCCGCAGCACCTGTGAGGACGGGCACCTGCAGTGCCGCGCTGACCCTGCGTGCCGGCTGGACGGCGGCTGGGGGGCCTGGGGGCCGTGGTCGCCCTGTCCCCAGCGCTGCCAGGAGGGCACCCAGTTCCGCTTCCGAGAGTGCGATAACCCGGCCCCCCAACACGGGGGCAGGGGCTGCACCGGGGACAGCCAGCAGCAGCGAGCCTGCCACCAGGGCGAGCCGCCCTGCCAAGGTGAGAGCCGGGGCATGGGGCACTGCAGGGGGGCATATTGGGGGTGCTGACCCCCATGCCTCAGTGCAGTGGGGGACGGTGTTACAGGGCACATCCCGGCTGCGCCCAGGCCCTTTCCCTGCACAGCAGGGTCACGGTGGCACCTACAGACCCTGACCAAGCCGGGGCCTGTCTCCGTCTGGGACGTCAGAGCTCTGCCCCGGGAGCAGAGGCCTGGCGCGGGGGCAGCGGGAGGGCCGTGGGCGGACAAGTACCGGCGGGGGACAGACGGTGCTGGTGGTGGGGGCCCATGGTACCCAGTGTCTGTGCCCTGCCCCCCGCAGAGGAGGCGCCGTGGAGCGACTGGTCCCCGTGGGCCCCGTGCAGCGTGTCCTGTGGCGGGGGAGAGCAGATCCGCAAGCGCCGATGTCGCCAGCCGGCCTGCCAGGGGCTGGCCGTGCAGAGCAAGACCTGCCACACCCAGGTCTGCCTCGGTGAGTGACCCCTGGGGAGTAACCGGCCCCCCCCGGGGAATAACTGCCCCCCCCCGGGAGTAGCTGCCCCCATCTCCTGCCCCCCCCTCGGGGAGTAACTGCCCCCGTCTCCTCCCCCGCCCAGGGAGTAACTGCCCCGTCCCCTCTTCCACCCAGGGAGTAACGGCCCCAATCCCCGCCTTGGGGATTAACTGCCCCCTATTGTGAGAACTCCCCCACTGCCCTCCTTCCCTGACTGGCTCCCGCTCCTCGGGGAGTAACCCCCCACTGCCCTGTCTCAGTGAGTAGCCCCCAAAGATAGGCGCCCCCCGCATCTGCTGAAGAGCAGGGTGAGGCGGCCGGTGGGAGGAGGGCTGGGGCTGGCTCTGCAGCAGCGGGAGCGGGACAGGACACCCCCCTCCCAGGCCCCAAGCACAGGGAGCTCAGGCCTGTCTGTCGCCCTCCCCGCAGAGGTGGGCTGCCCGGCAGGGCGCCTGTACCGGGAGTGCCTGCAGGAGGAGGGCTGCCCGTACAGCTGTGCCCACCTCACCCGCCAGATGGACTGCTTCTCCGACGGCTGTGAGGAGGGCTGCCACTGCCCAGCGGGCACCTACCAGCACGACGGAGCTTGCGTCCAGGTCAGGCGCCCGCCGGCCGTTTCCTCGCTCTGCAGTGGGGCAGAGAGCAGCATGGCATGGGCAGCCCCGCTCAGCTTCCTGCCCATGGCACTTGAGCTAAGCCACGCCCCAGTGCATGGTGGGTGGGGGGATACGTGAGCTAAGCCACGCCCCAGTGCATTGTGGGTGGGGGGATACGTGAGCGAAGCCACGCCCCAGTGCATTAGGGGGGATACGTGAGCTCAACCATGCCCCTGTGAATTGTGGGTGAGGGGATACGTGAGCTAAGCCACACCCCAGTGCATTGTGGGTGCAGGGATACATGGGCTAAGCCATACCCCAGTGCATTGTGGGGGGGATACGTGAGCTCAACCATGCCCCAGTGAGTTGTGGGTGCGGGGATACGTGAGCTAAGCCACACCCCAGTGCATTGTGGGTGCAGGGATACATGGGCTAAGCCATGCCCCAGTGCATTGTGGGGGGGATACGTGCGCTCAACTATGCCCCAGTGCATTGTGGGTGGGGGGATACGTGAGCTAAGCCACACCCCAGTGCATTGTGCAGGGGGATACGTGAGCTAAGCCACACCCCAGTGCATTGTGGGTGCAGGGATACATGGGCTAAGCCATACCCCAGTGCATTGTGGGGGGGATACGTGAGCTCAACCATGCCCCAGTGAGTTGTGGGTGGGGGATACGTGAGCTAAGCCACGCCCCAGTGCATTGTGCGGGGGGATACGTGAGCTAAGCCACACCCCAGTGCATTGTGGGGGGGGATACGTGAGCTCAACTATGCCCCAGTGCATTGTGGGTGGGGGGATACGTGAGCTAAGCCACACCCCAGTGCATTGTGGGTGGGGGATACGTGAGCTAAGCCACGCCCCAGTGCATTGTGGGTGCGGGGATACATGGCGTCATGGAGTCCCTGGGCGATGCTCTGGAACTGCTCCCCATGAAGCCAGGCAGGACTCTGGGGAAGTCTCCTTCCTGTGAGCAGCCTGTCTGCAGGACACACAGCTCACCAGGCTTCCACCTTCTGGGTCTGACCTCGGAGCATTCAGCCTCCTCTGCCTCTCCGTGCGCGTCCCACAGCGAGTCCGCCCAGGCGGGATCCTGGGGAAGCCAGAGGGTCCTGCCCCCCAACTCCGCAGTCAGACGGGACTCTCAGCCAGCCAGTAAAACAGAAGGTTTATTAGACAACAGGAACATGGTCTAACACAGAGCTTGTAGGTGCAGAGAACAGGACCCCTCAGCTGGGTCCATTTTGGGGGGGCAGGGAGCCAGACAACCCTGTCTGCACTTCACTCTATGTCCCAGCCAGCCCCAAACTGAAACTCTCCCCAGCCCCCCCTCCTCTGGGCTTTGTCCCTTTCCGGGGCCAGGAGGTCACCGGATTCCTTTGTTCTCCAACCCTTCAGCTCTCACCTTGCAGGGGGGAAGGGCCCAGGCTATCAGTTGCCAGGAAACAGGGTGTCGGCCATTCTCTGTGTCCAGGCCCCTGCACACCCCTGCCCTCTAGGGCTCTGCAACAATCATACACCCTTACCCCACCCCCTAGAGACTTAAGAACTGCCTAGGGGAAACTGAGGCACCCCCACACTATTCAGAGGAAACATTAAGAACAGTCCCACTTCGTCACAGCTGGCGAGGCCATCCCCAGCTGTGGGCACACAGGGTGGGATGCACCAGGCCAATGGCCCTTCGAGCCCAGAGCCCTGCAGCATGGGGATGGCTCTCTGGGGTGGCTGCGGCTGCTCTCAGGTGCCCGTCCACCAGCATTAGCCCGTGGCAGGGCAGAGGCCCAGTCCCTGTGTTCTCCATGCCGGAGGGGCGCCTACCCCCGAAGCGACCACCGCCGTTTTTGCCTCCCATGCAGGAGTGCCCCTGCCTGGTCACCGAGGAGACCCTGCAGAAGCTCCAGAACCATTCGGCAAACGCCAGCGCCCTCGCGGCTGTGCTCACCTCCCAGGGCCGCTGGGTCTCTCTGGGCCAGGAGGTGCAGCCCCGCGACACCATCCGCTCCGCCTGCAGCACCTGGTGAGTCTGCCTGCGCGACGGCCCCACCCCGGCTGCGGGGCTGTGTCTGCCATTGCGGCTCTGGCTCTGCAGGGGGGGCTGGACCGGGCCTAGCCGGCGCTCCTGGGCACCCAGTGTCTGGGTGTGGCCCTCTTCCCTCCTCTCGCCCCCAGCGCTGGTTTGAGAGCTGCTCCTCCCAGATCAGTCAGAGCAAGGAAACCCCGCTCCACGGGGGGCTGAGCCGAACCCCACGCGCCTCCCCCAGGACTGGGATGGGGAACAGGGTGGCCCGTGGCTGGGAGCGTGGCCCGTGGCTGGCAGCACAGCCAGCCTGATCCCACAGAGCCACCTACACCCGGGGCCTGTGACAATGTGCTGAGCAGCCAGCGAGAGCTGGGAACAGGCCCCAGGAGGGCGACCAGCTGAGCTCTCCGGGTGCATCCCTCTCCCCAGGGACCGGCTGAGTCCCGGCCTGGCGGCTGCGTGGGACCTACAAACCCCATTGCAGAATGTGGGGCCGCGCAGGGCTTGTGCTTCTGGAACCTGGCTGGCTTAGAAGGGAATTTACAGGGTCTCAATGCTGGGAGCTACCAGCCTAACCCCATCCACCCAGCGCTTGTTCTGGGGCCATGTACAGTTCTGGGATGTGAGCGCTGTGTGTGGGGCGGCCCTAGAGAGTGGGCTGGGCCAGAGCTCGGCAAGGCCCCACTACCGCCTTTCTGGACTTGAGCCATCCCGGGAACATCTGCTGCTCTGCCCGGGCTGTGTCCTGAACTGCCCCTTCCTTGGCTGCGGGGCCTTACTGCTCTGCCTCCCCGGCTCTGCAGTGGGCCCATCCACCCATGGGCTGCGTTCGGGACCTGCGTCTCTGCTACACCCTCCCCTGCCAGGAGCTGCCCCTCCTGATTGTTCGGACCCTGCCCGTGCCGGGCCGTTCTGACCTCTCCTGGCCGTTCCCTTCTAGCACCTGCCACAATGGCCAGCTGAATTGCTCCTTCACCCGGTGCCCCCTGGATGGCGGCTTCACGCCCTGGAGCCCCTGGACACCCTGCTCCGTGAGCTGCGGGGGGTTGGGGCACATGACCAGGGCACGGGGCTGCACCAGCCCCGCTCCTGCCAACGGAGGGAAGGACTGCGTGGGCCCTCGGACTGACATCAAGTACTGCCAGACACCAGACTGCCCCGGTGAGTGGGCATTGGGGGCTCTGCAGACCCGCTCTCCCCTGTGCCCCCGGATTCCTCGTGGGGGCGGGCGAGACGGGCAGGGCTGGCTGTGTCCAGCTGCCCCTCCATGCCACTGGCAGTTAGCTCGCTCCACGAGTTCCCTGGGGGTTAGCACTGGCCCGGCAGATCCCTCGCTGCTGCTGGCTCTGGATGGACCAGCTCCAGCTGGCACTGGCTTACCCTCCTGGAGGCTCTGGCCTGTGAATGTTGGGCACTGCCCAGAGGGGTCCCGACGTGGGCGCATTAGAGCCCCCACCTGGCGAGCAAGCAGCTCTGAGGCCGGGGAGGCACTGTCCGCTCTGCTGCCATGCCGAGGCGCTCAGCAGGCCTGCCCGTAGAGCACAGCTCCCTTCTTTCTTCTGCCCTCCCCAGTGGCGCCTGGTCCCACGAAGGAGCCTGCCCCTGCCCGTAGAGCACAGCAAGGGCCACACGGGCCCCTTGGCTTTTCAGGCACGGCTCGCAGGCGCCCAGTGCTGGAGAACCCGCCGCGTCCGCGGGCCGGCTGGGCCCAGGGTCACTCCCTCCCCCAGGCAGAACTCACGCTGTTTCCAGGAGGCAGCGTCGGACTCAGCTCCAGCTGATGGCTGTCGTTAGCCATGAACATCCCCCCACCGACTTCACCTGTGCCTCCCACTGGGCCCCGGGCCCTCGGCTCGCAGACATCACCTCCCCTGGGGTTCTCATGGCCGTGAGCCGGGCCCTCGCCACCCTTCTCTGGCTGCGCCGGTGAGCAGAGGGGCTGGTGCTGCTGGCAGAGCTCCTGCGGGCCGGCCCAGCCTGGCAGTGGGCATGCGAGGAAGCTGGCAGCCCCGTAACTCTCCCTTCTTTCTTCTGCCCTCCCCAGTGGCGCCTGGTCCCACGAAGGAGCCTGTCTCCAGTGTGCCAGGTGAGGGGAGAGGCAGGGGCTCCCAGGGGCCTGCTCGGGGCGGGCGGGCAGGGCTGTTACAAACACGGGGGTCAGAGCTGGATCCTTGCCTGAGGGCCCTGCTTCCCCAGGAAGGGGAGAGTGCACCAGGCTCCACCGCCTGGCGAGGCTGCAGCCCGTCTGCTGACCCTGCAGGCGGAAGGGGCACAAGTCACCTGGCACCCCTCACCCGCAGCCTGCGTCGAGTGGACGGACCCCATGCTGGGCTCCAGGTCTGGGAGGGCAGTGGGGTCTAGTGGTTCAAGTGGGGGGGTGGGGGAATCAAGGACTCCTGGGTTCTACCCCAGCTGAGGGGGCAGTGGGTTCTAGCGGTTAGAGCAGTGAAGTGGGAATCAGGACTCCTGGGTTCTACCCCAGACCTGCCATTGGCTCTCTGTGACCTTGGGTAAGTCCCTTCCCCTCTGGGCCTCAGTTTCCCCCTGTAGCAGGGCTGCGTTCCTGCTCCCCCAAGGGGTGGGGTCTGGAAGCGGTTTGAGGCCACGAGCAGTGAGTTAACCCCTGCTGCCCCCTTCCCCTACACTCCAGGCTATGAGGAGGGCTTCAGCCTCTGGTCCCCCTGGAGCCCCTGCTCCAAAACCTGCACCGATCCCGAGTTCCCAGCCAGGAAAACCCGGACCCGGGTCTGTGGGGGAGGAGCCAACTGCACCGGGGAGTCGTTCCAGGAGCGGGCGTGTAACCTGCCCCAGTGCACAGGTGAGGCATCCAGACCGGGCGTGTAACCTGCCCCGGTGCACAGTGAGACACCGGGCGGGGGGCCAAGGGATCCGAGCCGCCCCCTGACCCCAGGGGCAGGACAGGGCTGCAGTGCACCGGCCTGGCTGGGTGTGGGGTGCGGGTGCACCTCAGCCCCGGTCCATGCTCTGCCCAGCTAGGAGAGTCCCTCGAAGGGCCACGAGTGACGGGCGAGGAGCTGGGGCACCGACCAGCAGCCCCGGGTTGCAGGCCAGCACCAGAGCAGCGTGGGATCCCTGGGGCTGGGCAGCTGGGCAGAGAACAGGGGCTGCCTCCAGGGTGACAAGTGCACCATCGTCCCAAGTGCCCTGAACTCCTCTGCAGGGACCCCCCCAGCTCGCCCTGTCCAGCCCCCACAGGATCACGCACAGATCACCCTGAGCTCTCCCTCCCTGCCCCCCAGCTTACCCTGCCTTCTGGCTCAGCCCATCCAAACCCCCCAGCTCACCCCACCCCAGGCCCCCGCTCACCCAGCCCGAGCTCCCTCCTTCCCTGCTGCGGAGCGACCCCCGGGTGGACTCACCGCATCTCTGCTCCGTGCCCCGCAGATGCGCCCCCGTGCCTGGGTGAGGAGTGCGCTGGCAGGAACTGCAGCTGGACCCCGTGGGCGCCATGGAGCGAGTGTTCCCGCAGCTGCGGCGTGGGCCAGCAGGGACGTCTGCGCACCTACCACCCCCCCGGCGAGCGGGGGCTCTGGTGCCAGGGCATCCTGACCGCAAACACCGAGCAGCGCTTCTGCAACCTGCAGGCCTGCAAAGGTAGGGCCGTGGGCACGGGGGACGCTGGCGTCGCTGCCCCAGGCCGGCTGCCTCGCCCAGGGGCGCACTGGCCCTCCGAGCCCCTCAGTGCCCCATGTCGCGCCCCTCGGCTGTACCTCACATGGAATGGTGGAGCCAGGAGATTAACCCCTCCCTGCCCGCTGGCTGTGACACGCTGTCACGGAGTGTGGGGGAGTCCGGGCCCTGCACCCCTCTTCCTGGGATTCACCGTGACTCTCAGCCAGCCGGTAAAACGGAAGGTTTATTGGACAACAGGAACACAGTCCAAAACACAGCCTGTGGGTACCCCCAGGACCCCTCAGCCAAGTCCTTCTGGGGGGCAGGGAGCTTAGGCCCCAGCCTTGGGGTTCCCTGCGTTTGACCACCCAGCCCCAAACTGAAACTCCCTCCAGCCCCCCCTCCTCTGGGCTTTGTCCCTTTCCCAGGCCAGGAGGTCACCTGATTCCTTTGTTCTCCAACCCTTCAGCTCTCACCTTGCAGGGGAGAAGGGCCCAGGCCATCAGTGGCCAGGAAACAGGGTGTCGGCCATTCTCTGTGTCCAGACCCCTGCACACACCTGCCCTCTAGGGCTCTGCAATGATCATACACCCTTACCCCACCCCCTAGATACTTAAGAACTGCCTAGGGGAAACTGAGGCACCCCCACACTATTCAGAGGAAACATTAAGAACAGTCCCACTTCGTCACACACGTCCACAGCCCCAGGCAGAGTGGGCACCCAGAGCACTCCCGCCTTGCTGATGGTGCCACACGTGGACACTGCCACCAGCTCTTCCCCTCTGGGATGCACCCGCAGCCAGTGCCCAGCCCCAGGGGAGGGTTTGGCCCAGGGCAGCCTGGCGTGAGCTGGGAGGGTCGGCCGGGCCTCGTGGTGAGGCCTGGGCAGAGCCCTGTGCCCGCGGCTGGGGGCCGGGCTGCGTCTGGCATTAACGGCTGTTCTCCCCTCCCCCGTCTCTCCCCCCACCATGCCTGTCGGCGTCTCCGCGAGCCAGTGGCCGGAGCCTGGTCCAAGTGGAGCCCGTGGTCGTGGTGCGACCGCACCTGCGGGGGGGGGCGCTCCGTGCGCACTCGTACCTGCACCAGCCCCCCGCCCAAGAACGGAGGGTCCCACTGCCCAGGGGAGAAGTACCAGGGGCGCGTCTGCAACCCCCGGCCCTGCGGTAGGGAGTGCGGGGGGCTGGGGAAGGGGCGCTCCAGGCCTTCTGCACTGGGAGGCTGGTGCCTGGCTGGACAGGGGCCATGGAGGGAGGGGCCCTGGGAGCTGGGAAGGAGGCTCCCCGTCCCTCCAATGCCCGTCATAGGCAGAGTGAGCAGGGTGCATGGCCTGCCACCCGGCGCTCCCGGCGCTGAGCCGCCAGGCCCAGGAGACACTTGGCGCTGGCCGAGTACAGCTGGGGGCACGGCCTGGGGGCATGCAGGGCCAGTGCAGGGTAGTGGGATCTCAGGTGGGAAGCCCCACACACCTGGCTGGTGCACTTAGGGGGCTCGCCCTGCCCTGCCCCCTGCTGCCCAGCACTGCCAGCTGGCACATGGCACCTGGCCTGGCACACCCCATGGTAGCCCCAGAGCTGGGCTGTGCAGCCAGGCTCCACTCCCAGAGCAGGGAAGGGGCAGGTGCTGTGCTTCACACTGCAGCCCCCAAAGGTGGGGGCACCAGAGGGCACTCGGGGTGGGGGGTGGGGAGCAATACCAGGGGAGGGACCCCCGAGCTCGAAGAGGACTATGGAGCGTTCGGCATTGTTAGGGGCAGAGACACTACGTGACTGGTCTCCGCCCAATCCCGCCCTGCCATCGGGATCAGACCGGGGGCCTCTCCCACTTCCTGTCACCCAGATCAGACCCGGGGCCCCTCCCCTGCCCTACCACCCAGATCAAACCTGGGGCCCCTCTAGCCCTGCCCCTCCCCTTCCTGCCACCCGGGTCAGACCCGGGGCCCCTCTAGCCCTGCCCCTCCCCCCGGCTCTCATTGCCCAGCCCTGCCCAGGTGAGGGGCTGTATCTGTGGGGCTGCAGGGAGGGGTCACAGCCCTGGGATAACCAGTCCCCATTGCACCCCAGAGGAGGGATGCCCGCCTGCCATGGCCATGGTGGACTGCGCCAACAGATGCCCACGCCATTGCTGGGACCTGCAGGAGGGCATCACGTGCCAGGACGGGGAGGCCTGCGAGCCCGGCTGCCGCTGCCCAGACGGTGGGTGCCCTGTGCAGGAGGCTGGGGCAAGAGGGCACTCTGGGGGGCTGGGGGACCGCTGCCTTGGTGTTATTCACCCCCTGGGACTCCTCCTCTGCAGGGCTGGCCAAAGCCCATCCTCTCAAGAACCCCGGGGTCCCCAAGGGCCTGCAGAGCCGGGGGCCCTTTGCCAGGGTGCCAAGTCTCCAGATGGGACCTAGGACTCGGCTCCTGCGTGCCGAAAGCAGGGGTCACGGCGACTCTGGGGGGTCTATGGCACCCCGGAGAAGTCCTGGTGGTGCCCAGCAGAGCCCTCCCGCCGTGCCCGGGGCAGGGTCTCCGGCGTGACCGTGTCCCCCGTCCCCGCGCAGGGACCCTGGAGCAGGACGGCGCCTGCGTCTCCCCGCAGCACTGCGAGTGCACCGATGCCCAGGGGCACAGCTGGGTGCCAGGCAGCCTGCGGCACGACGGCTGCAACAACTGCACCTGCTCCGAGGGGCGGCTGCTCTGCACCCACCGCACCTGCCCCCCCAGCCAGTGCGACTGGAGCCACTGGTCCAGCTGGTCCCAGTGCAGCGTCACCTGTGGGGACGGGCTGCAAACCCGGTTCAGGTGAGGGGCCCCGCCCAGGGCTTCCCTGCTCGCGGGACAGGAGACCCCAGGCTGCGGGAGCTCCAGCCCCAGCCTACCCCAGCAGGGGGCGCTGTGGGGAGCGGGGCAGAGCGCTGGCTGGGGGGGAGATCTCAGCAGGGGGCGCTGTGGGAAGGGGTGAGAGCGCTGGCCGGGGGGGGCTCCCGGCAGGGAGTGCTGGGGGGAGGGGGCGGGAGTGCTGTCTTGGGGGGGGGCTCCCAGGAGGGGGTGCTGTGGGGTGGGGGGGCTGCTGGCTGGGGGCACCGTGGGGTTGGGGCAGGGTGCTGGCTGGGGGGGAGCTCCCAGCAGGGGGTGCTGTGGGGTGGGGGTGGGGTGCTGGGGGTAGGGGAAATACCAGCAGGGGGCACCGGGGGGGTGGGGCAGGGTGCTCCCAGCAAGGGGGTGCTGGGGGGTAGCAGGGGGTGCTGGGGGGCGGGGCTGGGGCTGCTGGCTGGGGGCGCTCCAGTGCTGAGTGCCATTCCCCTGGGCGCCCAGGGCACGGCCAGCCCCTGCCCCCATGGGCTTGCTGGGCCCGTCTCACGCTCTCCCCTCTCCCTTCCTTTCCAGGACGGCCACGTCGGGCTCCTGGGCCAGGGAGTGCCAGAAGGAGCAGCTGCAGACCCGGCCCTGCCCCCAGGGGCCCTGCCCCCCGCTGTGCCCACACCAGGGCTGGGAGAGACGCCTGGGGGACACCTGGCTGCTGGGCGAGTGCCAGCAATGGTCAGTGCCCCGGGGGGGCAGCCGTACCAGCCGTGCGCCCTCCTGGCAAGGGGCCCGAGTGTTCGCTGGGACTCAGTGGGAGCCGGGGCACCGGGGCTCCGAGCTGGGTGGCCGTGCGCCAGTCCCTGCCCACGGGTACAGTGGGGCTGACCCTGCCCTGCCTCCCCAAGGGGCGATTCCTGAGGGTGTGGGCGTTTGGGCTGGGCATGAGAACTCAGCGCCACCCGGGGGACCCCACCCCATCCGCCCTGACCATCTGTCTGCCCCTTCCCTCTAGTATCTGCACCCCGGAGGGCATCTACTGCCAGGACATCGCATGTGCGGGTGAGTGCCCCTCCCGGAGCTCCTGGCACCCTGCCCCCTACTCCCTCCCGCCGAGGGGAACCCCCCTCCCCCGTGCTAACCCTGCCCGTCTCCCCCAGTGCACGGCTCCTGGACGCCCTGGTCTCCCTGGTCCGACTGCCCCGTGACCTGTGGCAACGGCACCCACGTCCGCACCAGGGCCTGCATCAACCCGCCTCCACGCAACAATGGCTCGGACTGCGCCGGCCCCGAGGCCGAGGCCCAGGGCTGCGCTGCCCGGCCCTGCCCAGGTAAGTGGCGCCCGCCTGGGCTGGGGAGGGGACCCGGAGCCCGCGCCCCTGCTGACCCTGTCCCCTCCCGCAGCGGCCGAGCGATGCGACTGGTCGGCCTGGAGCCCCTGCTCACGCACCTGTGGTACCGGTCTGGCCATGCGGACGGGGACATGCGCCTGCCCCAGCCCCGAGGGTCCCGGCACCCCCTGCAATGCCAGCGCCCGCCAGGAGGTGGAGCCCTGCTACCTGCGGCCCTGTGAAGGTAGGGGCATCCCCTGGGGACGGCGGGGGTGGTGTCCAGCCCCGAAGGAGCGTGCGCTCAGCCTGCTGTGGTACCCCCGTCTGGCCTGCTCGGGGCGGGGTGCCCTGCATGAACAGGAGCTCGTGGGAGTGTCGGATCCACGGGGTCGGGGCTGGCCTTGGAGGAGCCCCCGCAGTGCGCCCGACCCCCCAGGGTCCCCTCCAGGGCCAGCCGTGCGGCCTCCCTGCCTCTGAGACGCAGCTCCAGCCCTCCTGCTTCCCCCCATGCCTCAGCCTGCTCAGCGACGCCCCCCCCCCCCCGTCTCTTAACCTGCTCTCAGAGCAAATTTCGTCCCTTCCCCCCCGGGCAGCTAGGCACAGTATAGGGGAAACTGAGGCACACATCGGGCTCTTCTTCCCTGCCCCCAGAGCACTTCCTGGCTGAGGGGGCAACTGAGGCAGGGGCTGAGGGAAGGGGGCCTGGCCAGAGTCAGTTAGGAGCCAGGACCAGACCCAGCTGTCCTGGCTCTCCTGGACTCACGGCCCCTTCTCTGGCTCCCCACCGGGAGGGTCCGGCAGCAGCTGCCGTGCTCCGGTCCCAGGCCAGTGCCCAGCCCCCCATGGCCACTGGGGGCTGGGCGGGGCTCGAGGGCACGTGCCAGGCTGCCATGCTGTGCCCCTCTCCTCTGCCCCAGGCGACTGCTCCTGGAGCCCCTGGACGCCATGGACCCAGTGCTCCTGCAGCTTCCTGGTGCAACAGCGCTACCGGAACCAGCTGGGCCCGGGCCCCCAGGGGCGCTGTGCGTGGGGCTGGACGGCCAGTTCCGCACCTGCAACGCCTCCCAGTGCTCGGGTGAGGGCGGGGCCGGGGCACGACTGGCTGGGCAGGGACCCTGGGGGGCCAGCCGCGGGGGCGGGGGGGAGCTGGGGCAGGGGCCCTGGGAGGGAGCCTGGTGTGGGGAGCTGGGGCAAGGACAATGCAAGGGAGCCCGGTGGGGCGGGGCGGGGTGGGGTGGGCTGGGCTGGGGCAGGGACCCTGGGAGGGAGCCCGGTGTGGGGAGCCGGGGCAGGGACAATGGAAGGGAGCCCGGTGGGGCGGGGCGGGGTGGGGTGGGCTGGGCTGGGGCAGGGACCCTGGCGGTGGAGCCCAGCAGGAATTCTGCTCTCATGCGCCCGTGGTTGGTGCTCCTCCCCTGCCCCGGTCAGAGAGCGCCTCCTGCAGGATGGACCCTGCCCTCCCCACTCCCGAGCCCAGGGGACTCCCCACTCCAGCACTGTCCTCACCCCCACCCCCCCGGGACTGCCCTTTCTGAGGCTGCAGTGTCTCCCATAGAGGGGAGAGCACCCCCTGGGGGCACCCAGAGCCATTTGTTCACCCCTCCTCATGGTGGGTCCCCTCTGGCCCCTCGCCCTGCCCTGAGCCCCCCCCGCCGGGTACCTGGCCGTGGGGCCATCGGACACCCGGGTAGCTGTGATGCTGCAGGCCAGGCGGGAAGCCTCGTCCCCTCCCGGCTGGCAAGCCCTGTGCTGGGGGTGACCCTGTGCCCCTGCCCCGCAGAGGCCAGCTGTGAGCCTCCCTTCGAGTTCCGGGAGTGCGGGTTCCCCTGCGCCAGCCTGTGCTCCACGCTGCAGCGCCAGGAGCTGTGCACAGACATCCCGCTGTGCCTGCCCGGCTGCTACTGCCCGCAGGTGAGGGGTGCGGGGGCCAGGGGCGTGTTGGAGGGTGCGGGGGGCTCTCAGCAGGAGAGGGGCGTGGAGGGGCAGGGGCGTCTTGGGAGGTGCGGGGGGCTCTCAGCAGGAGAGGGGCGTGGAGGGGCAGGGGCATGTTGCGGGGTGTGGGGGGCTCTCAGCAGGAGAGGGACGTGGGGGGCAGGGGCGTGTTGGAGGGTGCGGGGGACTCTCAGCAGGAGAGGGGCACGGAAGGGCAGGGACACATTGGGGGGCTCTCAGCAGGTGAGGGGCGCAGAGGGGCAGGGACACATTGGGGGCTCTCAATAGGTGGGGGGCAGGGGCGTGTTGGGGGGTGCGGGGGACTCTCAGCAGGAGAGGGGCACGGAGGGACAGGGGTACATTGGGGGGCTCTCAGCAGGAGAGGGCAGGGGGAGTGATCCCAGCCAGCCCTGCCTGGCAGGCGCTGGTAACTGGAGGGACTCACTGCTGCAGGACAATGTCGCAGTCTTCAGAGGAGGCATAGCTGGTCCTGAGCAAGGGGGTGGCCCGTACTGGGGCTCTCGGCCCTCCAGCTGCAGGGCGCGCCTAGCCCAGCTGGTCAGCAGGCACGTCCCCGTGGCAGGCTCCTGCCTCTCAAAGGCATGAGCGTGGGGAAGGGCCCTGGGCAGCTTTCTGGGCCAGCAGGGCCAGTGCTTGGCCCCCACGCAGTAGATCCCCGATTGCCATGGCGGAGCTGCAGGGAGGCAGTGAGGCCTCGGCAGGGGCAGCTCCCTGCTCCTCACAGCCCTGCCAGTGCCCAGATACCTAGGGGCGAGGAACAGACCCCGAGGGGGGTAGGGCACTGGGTACGGATCGTGGGGAGGGGCACTGAGGGAACGACAGGGGGCAGGGCACAGACCCCGGGGGGGCAGGGCACTGGGTACGGATTGTGGGGAGGGGCACTGAGGGAACGACGGGGGGCAGGGCACAGACCCTGGGGGGGCAGGGCACTGGGTACAGATCATGGGGAGGGGCACTGAGGGAACGATGGGGGGCAGGGCACAGACCCCGAGGGAGGCAGGGCACTGGGTACGGATTGTGGGGAGGGGCACTGAGGGAAGACGGGGGGCGGGCACAGACCCCGGGGGGCAGGGCACTGGGTCGGATCGTGGGGAGGGGCACTGAGGGAGACGGGGGCAGGGACGACCCCGAGGGGGCAGGGCACAGACCCCGAGGGGGGCAGGGCACTGGGTACGGATCGTGGGGAGGGGCACTGAGGGAACGACGGGGGGCAGGGCACAGACCCCGAGGGGGGCAGGGCACTGGGTACGAATCGTGGGGAGGGGCACTGAGGGAACGACGGGGGGCAGGGCACAGACCCCGGGGGGGCAGGGTACTGGGTTCGGTTTGGAGGGAGGGGGGATGGGCACTGGGGGAGCAACGAGGGGCAGGGCAGAGATCCCGAGGGGGGCAGGGTTCGTGGGAAGGCACGGGGGCATCTAGTGAGACAGTCGGGGCCGGGTGCCCCCCGGCAGTGGGCTGGACCCAGCTGGGTGTGGGCACTGGGGGCAGCCCCTCCCTGGGGTATCTACCGCTGCGCTGGGCAGAGCCTGGGGCAATGGGCTGGGGCACCTGCTCCTCAGGGCAGCCCGGCTGGACCCGGGCTTTGCCCCCTCTCACCCTTGCTCCTGTGCCCCGGCAGGGCCTGGTGGAGCAGAGGGGAGCCTGCATGCCCCCCGCACAGTGTGGCTGCCTCCACCTGCGCCCGGGCGAGGGGCCCGTGTACCTGGCGGCAGGGGACACCGTGCTCGTCGGCTGCAAAGAGTGGTGAGTGCCTGGGGCAGCGGGGCCGGACCGCGGGGGGCCTGGGGGCATGGCATGTTCCCCGGCCTGGCAGGGGGGACCAGGCCAGCCCAGGGCGGGTGGCTGCTCTGTGCAGCAGGGGGTCGCCAGGCGGGGCCGGTGGGGCCAGCAGCAGGACGTGGGCGCGATGGGCACTAACCAGCTGGTTTGTCTCTGCAGCGTGTGCCAGGAGGGGGCGCTGCAGTGCAGCAGCCAGAGCTGCCAGGGTAAGTACCCTCCCCCGCCCACCCACGGGCATCAGGGGGGCGCCAGGAGCAACCTCCCCAGGGGTAGATCTGTGGGGGTGGCACTGTCGGCCCGAGACAGGACTGAGCCGCATGGACCCTGGACGGCTCCGGGCCCCGCTCGCTCCGTCCCCTGGCACCAGGGCAGGGCCCTTCTGAGATCTCTGGAGTGGGGGAGCCAGCCTGCCCCCCTGTCGAATCCACCCCCTGCCCCCCAGCCAGCCTGCCCCCCATACCCACCCCCTGCACCTGCCAGCCTGCCACCCCCAGCCAGCCCTACCCCCGATACCCACCCCCTGCTCCCCCAGGCAGCCTGCCCCTGCACCCCGATACCCACCCCCTGTACCTGCCAGCCAGCCTGCCCCTCAGCCAGCCCTATCCCCGAAAATCACCCCCTGCCACCCCAGCCAGCCTGCCCCTGCACCCCGATACCCACCCCCTGTACCTGCCAGCCTGCCCCTTCCCCCCTATACCCACCCCCGTACCTGCCAGCCTGCCACCCCCAGCTAGCCTGGACCCCCGGTATCCTCCCCCTGCCACCCAGCCAGCCTGCTACCCCCAGCTAGCCCCTATCCCCGATACCCACCCCCTGCCCTCCAGACAACCTGCCCCTGCACTGCAATACCCACCCCCTGCACCTCCCAGCCAGCCTGCCCCCCAGCCAGCCTCTACCCCGATACCCACCCCCTGCCCCTGCCAGCCTGCCCCTGCACCCCGATACCCACCCCCTGCACCTCCCAGCCAGCCTGCCAGCCCCAGCCAGCCCCTATCCCCGATATCATCCCCTGCCCCCCCAGCCAGCCTGCCCCTGCACCCCTATACCCAACCCCTGTACCAGCCAGCCCCTATCCCCGATACCCAACCCCTGCCCCCCAGACAGCCTGCCACCCCCAGCCACCCGTATCCCCACCCTCTGCACCTCCCAGCCAGCCTGCCACCCCCAGCCACCCCTATCCCCAATACCCACCCCGTGCACCTCCCAGCCAGCCTGCCACCCCTAGCCACCCCATCCCCGATACCCGCTCCCTTCCCCCCGCACGCCAGCCTGCCCCCATGTCGATACCCACCCCTGCACCTCCCAGCCAGCCTGCCCCCCAGTCAGCCACTATCCCCCGCCTGCCACCCCAGCCAGCCTGCCCCAGCACCCCTATACCCAACCTCTGTACCAGCCAGCCCCTATCCCCGATACCCAACCCCTGCCCCCCAGACAGCCTCCACCCCAGCCACCCATATCCCCACCCTCTGCACCTCCCAGCCAGCCTCCACCCCCACCACCCCTATCCCCAATACCCACCCCGTGCACCTCCCAGCCAGCCTCCACCCCTAGCCACCCCATCCCCGATACCCGCTCCCTTCCCCCCGCACGCCAGCCTGCCCCCATGTCGATACCCACCCCCTGCACCTCCCAGCCAGCCTGCCCCCCAGCCAGCCACTATCCCCCGCCTGCCACCCCAGCCAGCCTGCCCCAGCACCCCTATACCCAACCCCTGTACCTGCCAGCCTGCACCTCCCAGCCAGCCTGTCCCTGCACCCCCATCCCCTGGCTCTCCAGCCAACCTTCCCCTGCACCCCTATACCCAACCCCTGTACCAGCCAGCCCCTATCCCCGATACCCACCCCCTGCCCCTCCAGCCAGCCTGCCCCTGCACCCCTATACCCAACCCCGTACCAGCCAGCCCCTATCCCCGATACCCACCCTCTGCCCCCCCAGCCAGCCTGTCCTACCCTTCCAGGGGCACATGGCCTCTGCCCATGGCCTAGCTGCCCCTTCCGCTGATGGAGGCCTGGGCCAGTCTGGGTCTGCGTCCCTGCCAGCTCCTCTGCCCAGCCCCGCTCCCCAGGGTATCGGTGCCCCTCCTCCCAGCCCTGCTCCCCCGGGTGTCGGTGCCCCTCTACTTAGCCCCCTCCCCTGGGTGTCGGTGCCCCTCTACTTAGCCCCCTCCCCTGGGTGTCGGTGCCCTGGGCAGGGCAGCGGGAGCTGGGCAGACGGAGGGAAACTCCGCACCGTGGCCCTCTCTGCAGACGCTGACCCTGTTGCCCGTCCCGTGGTGGCGTCAGTGGGGCTCACGGGCCCCGCCTGTGGCTTTTGCCCCGCCAGGCCTGCTGCCCCTCAGCGAGTGGTCGGCCTGGACGCCCTGCACCTCCTGCCTGCCCCTCTCAGCTCTCCGCCCTGGCACCCTCTCCGTGCTCCTGGCGCAGCATGGCGGCTGGCAGGACAGTGGGCACCCCCAGCCAGACGTCGGCCCCCTGGCCTCGGTGCAGCATCGCTACAGGCTGTGCCTGGACCCCCAGACCGGCCTGCCCTGGGCCGGCGAGGCAGCGCTGTGCTCAGCCGAGTTGCAGCAGGAGCAGCTCTGCCCCAACCCCCACCTCTGCGAAGGTAACTGGGGCAGGGGGCTGCAGCCGGGGCGCACGGGGCACGGCTGGACGGGGTCACTGCTCGGATGGGAGACGCCCACCTGCTGCGGGGAATGGAGGGGGCTAGCCCCTCCGTCAGCACTGGCCCCGGTGCCCCAGGGTGCTGGGCTGCAGGGAGCGGGGCGGGGGCTGGGCAGGGGATGCTGGGCCACGGGGAGTGGGGCAGGGGCTTGGCAGGGGGCGCCAGGCTGCAGGGAGCAGGGCAGGGACTTGGAAGGGGGTGCTGGGCCACGGGGAGTGGGGCAGGGGCTTGGCAGGGGGCGCCAGGCTGCAGGGAGCGGGGCAGGGACTTGGAAGGGGGTGCTGGGCTGTAGGGACGGGGGGACTCAGGTGGGGGGCGCTCTACCCTCTGTCAGTGCTGGCCCCACATGCCCATCTCAGGGTGTTTAGCTGGGGCTCTGGGAGCCTCCCTCCTCCCCCCGACCTGGCTCCCTCGATCCCCTGCCCCCCAACTGGGTCCCCTCCTGCACTGCTGAGCCTGCTGCTGCCAAACAGCTGTCCTACCCCAGCAGTGGCTGCATTTCAGTGGCGGGTGGATGCGCCCAGGGGCGGAGGGTGTCCGGGACATGGAGCGAGCAGGGGCTGGCATCCCTGCTGCCCCACGGGCAGGGTGAGGAGTGTGGGGCCGGGAAGGGCCCGTGGGAGGGGGGTGCTGTATGCCCAGTGCTGCAGCTCTGGCTCTGGCTCTCAGATCTCTGCCTGTGGAGCGAGTGGGGCCCCTGGGGCCCGTGCCGGGAGCCCTGCAGCGGTGGCTTCCGGCTGCGCCGGCGCTACGTCCGGGACCCGGCCGAGGACAGGCAGTGCTGGGGAGCCCGGGTCCAGTCGGAGAGCTGCAACACGGCCGCCTGCCCAGGTAACCCGGCGCGGGGCCCCACCGCCCACCCGCGCCCGGCGCGGGGCCCCGCCGGGGACCCGCCACCCACCCACTCCCGGCGCGGGGCCCACCGCCCACCCGCTCCCGGCGCGGGGCCCCGCCGCCCACCCGCTCCCGGCGCGGGGCCCCGCCGCCCACCCGCGCCCAGCCGGGGACCCGCCGCCCACCCGCTCCCGGCGCGGGGCCCCCGCCGCCCACCCGCTCCCGGCGCGGGGCCCCACCAGCCACCCGCTCCCGGCACGGGGCCCCCGCCGCCCACCCGCTCCCGGCGCAGGGCCCCCGCCGCCCACCCGCGCCCAGCCGGGACCCGCCGCCCACCCGCTCCCGGCGCAGGGCCCCACCAGCCACCCGCTCCCGGCGCGGGGCCCCACCAGCCACCCGCTCCCGGCCGGGGCCCCGCCGCCCACCCGCTCCCCGGCCGGGGCCCCCGCCGCCCACCCGCTCCCGGCCCAGGGCCCCCGCCGCCCACCCGCTCCCGGGCCGGGGCCCCGCCGCCCACCCGCTCCCGGCCGGGGACCCGCCGCCCGCCCGCGCCCGGCGCGGGGCCCCACCAGCCACCCGCTCCCGGCCCAGGGCCCCCGCCGCCCACCCGCTCCCGGCCGGGGACCCGCCGCCCACCCGCTCCCGGCGCGGGGCCCCGCCGCCCACCCGCTCCCAGCGCGGGGCCCCACCAGCCACCCGCTCCCGGCGCGGGGCCCCGCCGCCCGCCCGCACCCGGAGCGGGGTCCCACCAGCCACCGGCTCCCGGCGCAGGGCCCCGCCGCCCACCCGCTCCCGGCGCGGGGCCCCGCCGGGGACCCGCCACCCACCCACTCCCGGCGCGGGGCCCCGCCGCCCACCCGCTCCCGGCGCGGGGCCCCGCCGCCCACCCGCTCCCGGCGCGGGGCCCCGCCGCCCACCCGCGCCCCGCCGGGGACCCGCCGCCCACCCGCTCCCGGCGCGGGCCCCCGCCGCCCACCCGCTCCCGGCGCGGGGCCCCACCAGCCACCCGCTCCCGGCGCGGGGCCCCCGCCGCCCACCCGCTCCCGGCGCGGGGCCCCCGCCGCCCACCCGCGCCCAGCCGGGGACCCGCCGCCCACCCGCTCCCGGCGCAGGGCCCCCGCCGCCCACCCCGCTCCGGCGCGGGGCCCCACCAGCCACCCGCTCCCGGCGCGGGAGCCCCGCCCGCCCGCGCCCGGCGCGGGCCCCACCAGCCACCCGCTCCCGGCGCGGGGCCCCACCAGCCACCAGCTCCCGGCGCGGGGCCCCGCCGCCCGCCCGCACCCAGAGCAGGGCCCCACCAGCCACCGGCTCCCGGCGCAGGGCCCCGCCGCCCACCCGCTCCCAGCCGGGGCCCCGCCGCCCGCCCGCTCCCGGCGCGGGGCCCCGCCGCCCGCCCGCTCCCGGCGCGGGGCCCCGCCGCCCGCCCGCGCCCGGCGCGGGGCCCCACCAGCCACCCGCTCCCGGCGCGGGGCCCCGCCGCCCACCCGCGCCCGGCGCAGGGCCCCGCCGCCCACCCGCTCCCAGCGCAGGGCCCCGCCGCCCACCCATGCCCGGAGCAGGGCCCCGCCACCCACCCGCTCCCAGCGCAGGGCCCCGCCGCCCACCCGTGCCCGGCGTAGGGCCCCACCCACCTGCACCCGGAGCAGGGTCCCACCCACCTGCTCCCGGCACAGGGCCCCGCCATCCATCCACGCCCAGCACAGGGCCCTCCCACCCACCCATCCTTGGCACAGAGCCCTACTATCCATCCGCACCCGGCACAGGGCCTTGCTGCCCACCCATGCCCGGAGCAGGGCCCTGCCATCCATCCGTGCCCGGCACAGGGCCTTGCCTCCCCCTCAGGACCATCCCCGGCACAGGCCCTGCCAGGCATTGTGAGGGTTCCCAGTCCCCCGTTCATGGTCGCCCCGTGGCAAGCAGGACCCTTGGACTGGGCTGTTGGGAGCTGGGGGGATGGGAGCTCCCCGCTCGAGAGCTGCGCCCGGTCTAGCTTTCCTGCCGCGCCCTGGGGGAGGGGATGCCCAGCGGGGCGGGGAGCTCCAGACCCGGCCGGGTGTGGCTGGGAACCTGCCCGCCGGGCATCTGACGGACTCCGGCTCTGCCCCTCCTGGCCATGCCCCCAAGTGGGGCTGGCTCCAGGGCAGGAATGGGGGCTCCCTGACTGCCCGTCTGTGCCCCCAGGGGAGGAGTGCGAAGATCGGGGCAAGGAGCATGCCCCGGCCTGCGCCAACCGCTGCCCCCGCACCTGTGCTGACCTGTGGGACCACGTGGAGTGTCTGCAGGGGGAGTGCAAGCCAGGTACCCGCCCCCGCTTACCCCCAGCTGTACCCACCCCCCAGCACTCGCCCAGCCCCTCGTCCTCCTGCCCCACATTACCCAGCCCCACGGCACTCACTCAGCCCCCTCGTCCCCCCATCCACCCAGCCCCCCCAGCACTCACCCAGCCCCCTTGTCCTCCTGCCCCAAGTTACCCAGCCCCACGGCGATCACTCAGCCCCCTTGTCCCCCCCTATCCACCCAGCCCCACGGCACTCAGCCCCCTTGACCCCCCATCCACCCAGCCCTGCAGCACTCACCCAGCTCCCTTGTCCTCCTGCCCCAAGTTACCCAGCCCCACGGCAATCACTCAGCCCCCTTGTCCTCCCCCATCCACCCAGTCCCACAGCACTCACCCAGCCCCTCGTCCTCCTGCCCCACATTATCCAGCCCCATGGCACTCACTCAGCCCCCTCTTCTCCCCCATCCACCCAGCCCCACAGCACTCACCCAGCCCCCTTGTACTCCTGCCCCACATTATCCAGGCCCATGGCACTCACTCAGCCCCTTTGTCCCCCCCATCCACCCAGTCCCACAGCACTCACCCAGCCCACTTGTCCTCCTGCCCACATTACCCAGCCCCATGGCACTCACTCAGCCCCCTCATCCCCCCCATCCACCCAGCCCCCTCATCCTCCTGCCCCACATTATCCAGCCCCACGGCACTCACTCAGCCCCCTCGTCCTTCTGCCCCTCATTACCCAGCCCCACGGCGCTCACTCAGCCCCCTCATTCCTCTGCCCCATCTGTACCTAGCCCCACGGTGATCAGCCAGTATCCCTTGTTCCCCCATCCTTACCCAATCCCACAGCACTTGCTCAGCTCTTCTCCCCCCATCCATAACCAGCCCCACAGCTCCCACTCAGGCCCCCCAGCCCATCCTGCCATCCAACTGAACCCCACATCCTGTTCAGCCCCCACCTCTCCCTTCCTGCAGTCTCAGTCCCAAACTCGGGGTGCCTGGTCCCAACCCCTGACCTCCTGCTCCTCCGCTAGGCTGCCGGTGCCCCGAGGGGCAGCTGCTGCAGGACGGCGTGTGCGTGCCAATCCTGGCCTGCCGCTGCGGGCTGCCCACAGCCAACGGCACGCGGGAGCTCTGGCCGGGGCAGGCGGCCGAGCTGGACTGTCACAACTGGTAAGGAGCGGGCAGCCGAATGGGGGCCCGGATCCTCCCCCCGAGCTCCGGAGGGGCTGGCCGGGCGCCTCGCTCTGGGAGGGGACCCTGGCCCGGGGAAGGGCTAGCGTGGCCCAAAGGGAGCCGTGCAGGAGACACCGCCAAGGGACGTCTAATCCCAGCAGGCCACAAAGGGGTCTCCAGAGCCAGGCCGGGCTGGCCACCCGGGTGCGTCGACCCACTGCCATGGGTTTGTCGATGGGGTTGGCAGTGACCGTGGCACCCAGCGGGAGTGGGCTGCCAACAGGGGAGGGCGCAGAGCCGGGAGCGGTGGCCCTGCGGAGGGTGGGAACATTCTCCAGGAAGCCCGAGGGCCGGCACGTAGGAGCAATGTGAGGAATGTCTGCCCCGAGCTGGGGGCCTGGCAGCCGGCAGTGCCAGGAGAGAGCTGGGCGGGTGCCCATCACCAGCGGGATGTGGGCTGGGCGCTGCTGGGCAGTTGCTGAGGGGCTGAGCCCGGCCATTGGGCAGGGGCAGATCGTGTGTGCGGGTGTGTGTCTGTGACCCCCCCCGAGCCGTCTCTCTGCCTGCAGCACGTGTGCGAACGGCATCTTCGCCTGCCCCGATCCGGAGTGCCCCTCCTACGGGCCCTGGGCGGAGTGGAGCCCCTGCTCCGTCACCTGCGGGGGAGGCAGCGCCCTCCGGCACCGCCCCTGCCAGGAGAGCCCCGCCGGGGCCCCCTGTACCCCCGACGGCATGGAGGAGATCACGGAGTGCAATCTGCAGCCCTGCCCGGGTGAGTGCCGGCCCCACGGCCCTGCCCCGGTGAATGCCAAACCTACTGACCTGCCCCAGTGAGTGCCGGCCCCCCGTCCCTGCCCGGGTGAGTGCCGGCCCCACAGCCCTGCCCGGGTGAGTGCCGGCCCCACGGCCCTGCCCGGGTGAGTGCTGGCCCCACGGCCCTGCCCGGGTGAGTGCCGGCCCCCCGGCCCTGCCCGGGTGAGTGCCAAACCCACGGCCCTGCCCGGGTGAGTGCCGGCCCCCACGGCCCTGCCCCGGTGAGTGCTGGTCCCACGGCCCTGCCCCGGTGAATGCCGGCCCCACGGCCCTGCCCCGGTGAATGCCAAACCTACTGACCTGCCCCAGTGAGTGCCGGCCCCACGGCCCTGCCCGGGTGAGTGCCAGCCCCACGGCCCTGCCCGGGTGAGTGCCGGCCCCCACGGCCCTGCCCCGGTGAGTGCTGGCCCCACGGCCCTGCCCCGGTGAATGCCAAACCTACTGCCCTGCCCGGGTGAGTGCCGGCCCCACGGCCCTGCCCGGGTGAGCGCCGGCCCCACGGCCATCTGGGGCCCTTCAGCAGCTGCTGCCCTTGTTGCCTGTTGTATCCCCCAGGAGTGAGCACCTCCCCGGTGCCCCGGGATCCCACCCCGGTCGCTGCCTTCCCTGAGCTTGCTCCCCCTGCCGAGCCCTGGCGGGGGTGAGCCCTGTGCCCGGCCTGACCCTGCCCTGCCCCCGCAGCCGGCTGCCAGCTGAGCCCGTGGTCGGCGTGGAGCCCCTGCAGCGCCAGCTGTGGGGGGGGCGTGTCGGAGCGGAGCCGGAGCCTGCTGTCCCCAGGGGAGGGCCGGGGGGAGCACTGCCCTGCCCCCCTGCTGCTGCACCGCGCCTGCCAGACCCACAACTGCACGCCAGGTACAGGCTGGGGGCGGGGGGGAGGGGCATCCAGCATGGAGCGCGGGAATGGGGGGAGAGCGGCGCTCCCTAGAGCCTGCAGCCTGCCCCCAACATGTGAGCCTGCAGGGGCTGAGGGCATAGACCCCCTAGGGGGGCCTGGAGGAGAGCCCCTGTCAGCATAGGGTCTGGCAGAGGGGAGCCCCCGTCTGTACGTGGGCGCAGCGCGTCTGGGGCAGGGGAGCCCCCGTCTGTACGTGGACACGGTGTGTCTGGCAGAGGGGAGCCCCCATCTGTACGTGGACACGGCGTGTCTGGCAGAGGGGAGCCCCCGTCTGTAATGGATGCAGCGCGTCTGGGGCAGGGGAGCCCCCGTTTGTTCGTGGATGCGGCGTGTCTGGGGCAGGGGAGCCCCACGTCTGTACGTGGACACGGCGTGTCTGGCTGAGGGGAGCCCCCGTCTGTACGTGGGTGCGGTAGGGGAGACCCTCAGGCTGTGGACTCCCCTGCCTGTGGTCTATGGGTCCCCCTCGGGCTGGGGGGCTCGTGGCTCCCCAGCGTGACCTGCCCCCCCTTGCTGTGTGCAGAGTGCCCGGGCACCCAGGTGTACAGCAGCTGCGCCAATGCCTGTCCCCGCACCTGCTCCGACCTGCGCCCCGGGACCGAGTGCCTGCGGGAGGAGTGCCAGCCCGGCTGTGCCTGCCCTCCTGGCCAGGTGGGTCTCTGCCCCCAATGTCAGCCCCACTGCTGCTTCCTGGGTCTGAGACATCAGCACTGCCTGCTCCGCGGGGCCCCGGGCTGGGCTCTGGCCTCTTCCTGCTGCTCCCCTCCCCTGGCCCCCTGGCCCGGGCACACCCTGCCTGGCACTGAGCCGGGGCAGGGCAGAGAGTCTCCTACCACTGGCGCCAGGGCTGGGCTGGCAGGGAGGAAGGAGCTGGTCCTGTCTGGCACCGAACAGACGGAGGCCATGAGTTGCCATTCGAGGGCACACACCGCCTGTGACAGCAGCTGCGCCCCGGGCCCCTGGCTGCGGGGCCTGGACAGAGTCTGCTGGGGATGGACAAGGGCCAGCTCCCTGGGACCCCGGGTTCCTCCTCCCCAGGTTGTGGGGCAGAGTCCCTGGCCTGGTCTCTGGGGGCACAGGGGGTTCCATGGCCCGGTCTCTGAGGTGGGGGACAGGGGGTTTCCCGGCCCGGTCTCTGAGGTGGGGGACAGGGGGTTTCCCGGGCCCGGTCTCTGGGGGGGGACAGGGGGTTCCCCAGCCCAGTCTCTGGGGGGGGGGGGGGGGGGGGGACAGGGGGGTTCCCCAGCCTGGGTGTCGGGTGGGGCAGGGGGTTTCCCGACCCCGGTCTCTGGGGGACAGGGGGTTCCCGGGCCCGGTCTCTGAGGGGGGACAGGGGTTTCCCGGCCCCGGTCTCTGAGGGGGGGTGCAGAGGGTTCCCTGACCCGGTCTCTGAGGGGGGGACAGGGGGTTCCTGGGCCCGGTCTCTGAGGGGGGACAGGGGGTTCCCCAGCCTGGGTGTTGGGTGGGGCAGGGGGTTTCCCGGCCCCGGTCTCTGAGGGGGGACAGGGGTTTCCCAGCCGCGGTCTCTGAGGGGGGGTGCAGAGGGTTCCCTGACCCGGTCTCTGAGTGGGGGACAGGGGGTTCCCGGGCCCGGTCTCTGAGGGGGGAACAGGGGGTTCCCCGGCCGGTCTCGGGGGGCAAGTGGCAGCTGCTTCGTTGCTGCAGGTGCTGCAGGGCGGGGGGTGCGTGCCCCCGGAGGAATGCCGCTGTTCGTTGGTCCCTGCACCTGCTGTGCCCTGGGCCTCCAACCTGTCGCAGGAGGAGCGGGCGAGAGAGTACCCGGCCGGCAGCACCATCTTCCACCAGTGCAACAGCTGGTCAGTGCCGAGCCGGGGCATGGGGGCTGGAGAGCCCTGAGCTCTACCCGGGGCAGCCGCCTTCCCCTCCTGCTCTGCAGGCTGGTGTGGGCGGTGCAGGTAGTGCTGGGGGTCAGGCTGCCCCACATGGACAGTGTCGGGGGAGCACTGCCTCCTGTAGACAATGCCGGGGGGGGTTGCAGCGAGGGTGGGGGGTCTGCCCCACACAGATGGTGCTGGGCCTGGTCCCGTGCGACCCAGGGCTCCCGGGTGGCTCTGCTCCAGGGCTGTGGGGCAGGCACTGTACTCTGCCCTGGGATGGCAGCACGGAGCCGGGGGGCTGGCTGTGGGCACAGAACGGCCACTGTGGGACAGGGGGCTGGGGGGCCGTGAGCCATGGCGGCTTGGCCCTGGCAGGACCAGAACTCCCCCTCACCAGGGAGGGGGCTGGCCGGTGGGACTGACCTTGCTCCAGGTGCATAGCGCTTAGCCCCCATGGCACGAAACCCCCAAGCAGGGAAGGAGCCGTGTGTACAGCTTAGAGTGGGGCTCGGAGCCAGGACTCCTGGGTTCTATCCCGGCTTTGGGAGGGGAGTAGGGTCTAGTGGGATAAAGCATGAGGTTGAGAGCCAGGACTCCTGGGTTCCGTCGCCATCTCTGCCACTGACCTGCTGGGTGGGGGCTGGTAGGCCCCTTCCTCTCCTCAGTTTCCTCCCCAGCTGTGTGGGGATGATGGCTGGGGCTGAGCCGAGTGCTGGGGGTGCAGGGCTCGGTGCCTGGGGTGGGCAAGTCTGGCGCGGCAGCCAGGAGCCGGCTCCCATCTCACGCCCTCGCCCTGTTTGCAGTGTCTGTCGCAGAGGCGCCTTCAGCTGCTCCCAGCGGGACTGCAACGGTAAGAGACCCCCGGCCAAGCCCCACCCACCCCACTCCCGGCCTGCAGGCAGATCAGCAGGGAGCATGGTGTGCCGCCCGCTGCCCCCCGGGCCCTGCCCCCCGGGCCCTGCCCCCCGGCAGCGAGACGGCCCAGCTGAGTCTGGCGGGCGCGGGTCGCTGGGAGGCAGCGTTGGTGGGGCAGGTGCTGTGGGGCGGAAGGTCTCTGCTCCTCCAGCACCCATGGAGCCCACGCAGTGAGGGCAGCCCACCCCTCCGAGCACGGGGGAAGTGGCAGCTGTTAGTGCAACAGACAAGTACCCACATCTCAGCCCCCAAATGCCCTGGGGTTGGTGCTGGTCCCCCCACAGAATGCCCCGTGGGCTCGGCCCTGACTCCCCCCCCCCACATTCTCCCCACAGTGGACTGCCTCTGGTCCGCGTGGTCAGCCTGGTCGGCGTGCTCAGTGACGTGTGGGCCGGGCGTGCGGGTCTCCCAGAGACACCAGCTCCAACAGCGCCTGTACGACGGGGCCGAGTGCCTGGGCCCCCCGACGCGCCGGACGCCCTGCTCCCTGCCCGACTGCGGTGAGCCCCCCGGCCTGGCCCGGCCTGGCCGGCTGGGACGGCTGGGGTGGGGGTGGGTGACGGGTTGAGCCGGGGCCCCGGGGAGCAGGGTCCCCGTGTGCTGCTGGGCCTTATGCTGTGGGGGGTACAGGGGAGCCGCCCCCCTGGGCCCCACAGTGGCTACTGACCAGGGCTTCCCCCCCACTAGCTTCAGGGTGGCAGGGATGGGGGTGGCGGGCACACGGGGCTGCAGGGGCCCATGGCTCTGCCCTTGTGCAGCAGGCAGGGAAGGGGGCATGCCCGACGAGGCGGGCCCATCGCTCTGCGCCAGGGAGGGCGGGTTAGGGGGCCTTTGGCCTGACGTGTCTACGCTGCTGCTGCAGCCTGCCCCACAGGGGAGAGTTGGCACGGCCCTGGCCCCACGGCGCCCTGCGAGCGAACCTGCCAGCAGATCTACGAGGAGCCCCGCCACAACTGCAGTGCGGGGGCCGTGCCAGGCTGCGTCTGCGAGGCCGGGCGGTACCGGGACAGCAGTGGGCACTGTGTCACCGCCGCCCACTGCGAGTGTGAGCACGGGGGCCAGCTGCGCCCGGTGAGTGTGCAGGGGCTGCCGCTCCACCCCCACCCCCACGGCACGGGATGGACCAGGGAGACCTGCCCAGCCAGGGGACCTGCCGTGCTGCCAGGCCCAGGGCAGCTTCACCCGGGACGGAACGGATCCTGGGGTCTGCCCTTCATGATCCCACTGGGTCAGGGCAGCCAGAGCCTGGGGTCTGCCCCACACGGTCCCATGGCTTGGGGCAGGCGGAGCCTGGGGACTGTCCTGCTGGGTTGGGGGAGCCGGAGCCCCATGCGGCCCCCGCTGGGTGAGGGCAGCCAGAGCCTGGGGTCCGTCCCCCACGGCCCTGCTGGTTCCAACGTTTCTTCTCTCTCCCCCAGCCCGGAGCCGAGTGGCAGGAGGGCTGTGAGAGCTGCCGCTGCCTGAACGGGAGGGCCGTGTGCACGGCTGGCTGCCCCCCTCTCGTCTGCCTCGAGGTACGGCTCAGCTCGGCTCGGCCTGGCTCGGCCCGTCGATCCCGCTGCTGCTGCGGAGCCACCTCGGGCTGGCCGCACGTCTGCTCCCGTCCCCCAGGAAGGGCCACAATGCCCCTTGGGGCGCACACGGGCAGCCTGCCCACCCACAGCCTCACACTCCCCCTTCCAACCAGACCAGCCTGTGCACCCGCTGCCTGGGACTGGCCACGGAGACAAGCCCTGGTCCTCCTCCCTCCCCCCGGCCTCTCCCAGCAGCCCCTGGAGCACAGCAGGAGGAGCTGGTGGAGGGCAGGTTGGGGGGCTCAGAGGGCCCAGTGCTGGGAGATCCCTCCCAAGCTGGACTCAGCTCAGTGAAGAGCGACTCTGAGCCCAGGCCAGATGGCCCCAGGCCGGCTCCTACACAGGGGACACTGAAGGCCGGACCAGGGACAGAGCCAGAGCCACCCACGGCCATGGAGACGGGTGACGGGCTGTGGGCCGGGAGAGGCCCGGGCTCAGCCGTCCTGCGCCAGCGAGCCACCAGCCCTGGCCTGGCGCCTGGCACCCTGGCTGCCCATCACTCACGTTCACTCTCTGTCCCCAGGGGGAAGTGAAGGTGCAGGAGCCCGGCAGCTGCTGCCCCGTGTGCCGGAGAGAATCATTCGGTATGGAGTCACCCATGGCAGGGAGCCGCCGGGGCCCTCTTGGCACTGGGAGTCTCTGGGGTGGCCCTGGGGGCGGGGGGGTGCTGCCGGGGGAGCACTAGGGGGCACTCTCCTCTCTGTTGGTGCTGACTCCGGTGCCCCCGCACGGCCCTCAGGGTACCGTGTGCGCCATTTTTCGGAGGAGGCATTACATTGTAGCCCTGACCCTCACCCTGATTCTTCAGACCCACAGGTGCCATCCCGTTAGCCCGGCATCCTGGCCCAGTCGGCCCCCACGTCCCCTCAGGACTGTGCTGGGGCTACTGCCCTGGGCTGGTGGTTGTTGCGCTGAGCTGTTAGCCAGCTGCCGGGGGCCACCCCAGAGGAAGCTGCATGCTGGGGCTGGGCGGGATCCTTTGGCGTGGGAGGGCTCGCAAGACGGGAGCTGTGGTGACTCCCCTCGCTCCTTTGCAGAGGAGCCGTCGTCCGCGTGCCAACGCTACACCGAGGTGCGGAACATCACCAAGGGGCGCTGCACCCTGCACGGCGTGGAGGTGAGCTACTGCAGCGGCCGCTGCGCCTCCCGCACCAACGTCACCTCCGAGGTGAGTGAGAGCCAGAGAGCCTGGCACCTGGCCGGGATTGTGGGCAGAGTGCTGCCCCCAGGCCGAGCACTTCGCCAGCGTCCCAGGCCTGGCCGAGCTGAGCCCGCCACCTGGCAAGCTGAGCCGCAGGTTCCTGACCCTGGAGACCGCACAGGGCTGTGTGATCTGGCCTCGCTGCAGATCTGGCCTCTCCCACGCAGGGCGGTGGAGGTGGGCCGGGAGCTCCTTTCAGACGGAGCGGTGAGGCTGTCGTTTGCTATAATGAGCCAGTGGCCTCTGAATCCCGTTGCCCCAAGTCCTGTGCACCGGCACCTCTGTCCATTGCAAAAAGGGACTGGAACCGGGGATCGGCCAAGACGGGGCAGCCACAAGGGCCCTTTTCCACGCTGAAAATGGCAGATCGTGCTCTGCTGGCCCCTGGGCTGGTTTCCCTTTCTCAGCCTGCCTGGGCAATGGTTTAGTGCTGGCGAACCCCAGAGCCCCGCAAAGGCTGTGTGTGGCTGGCAGTCGCCTGTTCTGACAACCTTCCGTTCCTTCCCGGCGCTTTGCGTGCCTCTGTCAGAAGCGCTCCAGTTCTGGGGCTGGGACACAACGTCAGCCGGGGCTCCCTTCTCTCCAGTGCTCACGAGATCCACCGCATCAGATTGCAACCCGCGAGCCCGTTTGTCACTCCGCCGAAACCAAACATCCACTGCCGTGCCCACCCCACAGGAGCTTTCACAGCGGAAATTCCCTGGAGCCCTGGGGTCTCCAAGCAGGGCTCCCCCATGCCCCTTTTCCTAGCTGTAAAGCCAGCACGGCATGGCACGATTAGCGTGGAGACAGGACAATGTGGTCCCTGCCGACCAACTGCCTGCAGGTCGTTTGTTTCGCCTGGACTGCGTCTCGCCAGGAGTCCTGGCAGGCTGAAGTGGCACAGACGGCTCCTGCTGTTAGCCAGAATTAAAGCCACCCGGATATCAGCTCGCCCGCCCTCGCGGCTAGCCAGACTGCTCACAGGCCAGCGCCCCAGCTTCCAACCCGCTCCCCAGTCACTGTCTCCAGCTCCAGCCTGGTGGGGCACGTTTAGATCGCACTTTCCCCAGCATTACTGGCATGTCTGGTCTAATAGCTGTTATTGTTCCCATGCGTTTCACAGCACCTCCCATCATTGTGTGTCTGCCCCACTCTGAGCAAACTGGGGGCTGATCCTCGTACGGCCAAGCTTTGCCCCTTCAGCCTGGCCACCCCTAGATTCCCGAATGAGCTAAATCCACCAGGCTAAATCCAGCTGAGCATTGATAAATAGATCCATCGCCAGTATCCTGGAAGGCCTGCTTGGTCTCTGGGTGTGCCGAGAACACGGCTTCCCTGATTCTCTCCAGCTCAGGTGAGGTCTCTTCTCACCCTCATCTTCTAGGCCTGAGCTGGGCCCTGGCTGGCTCTGAGCTACATAGCCAGGGCCTGTCCCAGGTCTGGTACCAGTCTCTGCTCAGGTGGTCAGTTCTTCAGCACCATCACAGCTGGGCCACCCAAGCTGACTGCTCGTAACCCCCCATCTGTTCATCTCTGCAGCCGTTCACTTGGGCCAAGACGCTGCCCTGAGCCCAGGGAGCCTCCCACGGCTAGTGTGTCATTGAGCTGGGATGAGCTGAGCTCTCTCTCCCCCTCCCCGCGGGTTACCAGGGGCTCAGGAAAGGCTTACCCAGGTTCTCTGGCTGGCCCAGTTCCACGCCCAGGTAGCTGGGTCCACCGTGGCCTTGCGACTCCTGGAATCCCCTCAGCTCCTGACGTCCCGGCTGCACCTCATCTCTGTTGGCGAGTTCCCATGGCCGAAGCTTTCCTGGCCTCCCCTGTTGCCGGGGAAACCTCTGGGCTCTGGCAGCGGGGTGCTGGGCACTCACTGGGAATTAGCAGGTGGGCTCCCCGCTGCGCCCCGGCCTTGTGCAGCTGTCGCCCTACCAGAGACTTTATCTCCGACCACAGTTCCGCTCCGTGGGAAAGCTCCAGCTGCGGGTTTGCTTCCCCCTGGAAAGGCTCCAGTTCTCCCTTTAGAGTCTGTATGTGCTGGGAGCGCCCTGGGTCAACAGGAAAACCAGCTCACGCTGTCTCCTCTGTCCCACAGCTCACCCCAGGGTGTGCCCTCTGGCCCCAGCGGGGAGCCCGTGCTCAGGGCCATGCCAGGTTGTGTGCATTAGGAGAAATGCGTGGTACGAATGAGGTCTAGTCACTGGTGCAGCCGGTTTATTTACAGTGGATGTACAAAAGCCTGTTTCCTTGAACACAGTAGGAACAAGCAACAGGCAGGTTCCTGGCCGCAAAGTCCCCAAACCCGCCCCTCTAGCGAGCTCTGTGCCCAAAGAGCTCTGTCCCTCCAGTCCCTCTGCAGGCCGCATGAACCACTGGTCCTCCCGCTGTCTGCTGTCTGCCTCTCTCCCCCACACCCAGAGCTCCTCAGACGTTCCCCTGCCCTTGTGTTTGCAGGCAGGGAACTCTTCAGCCCGCGTGGTTTAACTTCTCATCAGGCTTTGCCATAAGGTCTGTTGCCCTGCATGGTGGCTTCTGGTGTTTCCACCTGGCACACATAAAAGGGGTTTAATTGCTCCTTCCATTACGCCAGGAAGAAGCAGGGTTAGCCTGCCCATTGGCTTTAACCTGGTAGATCATAGACCTGGTGGTAGCCAACATAACAGGAGCTAGCATGCAGCTGGGTCTCCATGACCCCCGTTCTGGGCCCTTCTCGCCTACCAGCAGCCCCGCCATTAGCCCGGTCCGGGATCCTTTCCCTGTCTGCCCCCCGCTGGCCCAGGCCTGCCAGGGCCGCCAAGCTCCCCTTGATCCCCTGCTGTGGCCTGTGCCCTGCCGCCCAGCCGTGCTTTTCTCCCGCAGGAGCCGTACCTGCAGACGCTGTGTACCTGCTGCAGCTACCACCTGGACCCAGTGAGCCCCGTGCGCATCCTCAGCCTGCCGTGCGAGGACGGGGAGGTGGAGCCGGTGGTGCTGCCCATCATCCACAGCTGTGAATGCAGCCCCTGCCAGGGTGAGCGAAGCGAGCGTACGCAGGCCCCGCTCAGGACGTGCTGCTCTGGGGGCCCCGCGCCTGGCCTGGCTGGGCGTGGGGCACTCACTCTGCACTCTCAGCTGAACTGGGCAGGGGGCTGCACCTGGGAGTGGTGATCAGCTGACCTGGCCCCGGGACGTGGGCTGGAGCGGGCGCCAGGGGCCGGGCCTTGGAGCACATGGGGGGCCGGGGAGACTCCAAGAGCACAAATGGAGGTGTCAGCATAGCTTGGGACTAGGGCAGGGACTGGGCTCAGGGGCCAGCTGGATATGGAGCAAGTGTCTGGGCCAGCGGCACGGCTGGTCTGGTAGCATAGGGGCAGCAGGGCTCCTGTTCCGAGGTCTCACACTGCCTCCTGGGCCAGTGGTCCCAGAACACACTGCCAGGGGAATGACCCTGTGTGTCCCAGCCTCACCCCACTGCACGGCACGGCCATGGGTATCGCACGCACAGCAGTGCCCTGGGTCCCAGCATCACCCCACTGCACGGCACGGCCATGGGTATCGCATGCACAGCAGTGCCCCTGGGTCCCAGCATCACCCCACTGCACGGCACGGCCATGGGTATCACACACACAGCAGTGCCCCTGGGTCCCAGCCTCACCCCACTGCACGGCACGGCCATGGGTATCACACACACAGCAGTGCCCTGGGTCCCAGCATCACCCCACTGCACGGCACGGCCATGGGTATCACACACACAGCAGTGCCCCTGGGTCCCAGCATCACCCCACTGCACGGCACGGCCATGGGTATCGCACGCACAGCCTCACTCTCCGTGCCTGGTGCAGGAGCCTATGACTACAGCACGTGCGTGGCATTACCAGCCTTTGCCCTGCCCTGGGCAGGGACTTGCGTTCTCTGAACAGCCCCTTCCGTAATCTGGGGTTTCTCTTCTTTTTGCCAGGTGGGGACTTTTCCGAGCGCTGATGGCCCGTGGCCGGGCGGGATGGTGTCTGACTGGGGCCCCCGCGCTGTGCCGGCGGCCGAGGACGGCGAGATGGCAGCGTGTGTCCTAGCTGCAGGCTCCCCAGACTCCCCGCACTGCCCGCCGGGCTTGTCCTGCTGTAGCTCAGTAATAAAGTGAACAGAGCTGGTTCCAAAGGCGACTCCTCCAGCTGTTGCAGTGGGGGGGCAACTGCTCCCCCCGCCCAAAGGGGGCTGCTGGGCATGGTCCGGAGCACTAAGGCTCACCCGTAGCATGGCCCACGACATGGCCCCGCACTCGTGGGGTCTGAGCTTGGCCTGGTTTTGTTCTCTTTTCGCCAGCGGTGGGGCTGATGCTCCCCCAGCTCCATGGGGTGGCTAATAGGGTCATAGGCACTGACTCCATGGGTGCTTCAGGGCTGGAGTACCCACGGAGAAAAATTGGTGGGTGCTGAGCACCCACCAGCAGCCAAGCTCCCCTCCCACCTTACCTCACCTCCGCCTCCTCCCGTGAGCGCGCCGTGTCCCCGCTTCTCCTCCCAGCGCTTGCTGCCGCAAAACAGCTGTTTCGTGGCGTAACAAGCTCTGGGAGGGAGCAGGGAGGAGCTGGAAAACGCTGCGCTCAGGGGAGGAGGCGGGGCCAGGGCAAGGATTTGGGGAAGGAGTCTAATAGGGGTAGGGAGGGGGTGGAGTTGTGGCATGGACTTTGGGGAGGGGTTGGAATGGGGGTGGGGCAGGGGCGGAACAGGGGTGGAGTCAGGGGGCCGAGCACCCGTCGGCCTATGAATGGGCTTAGAGGAACCTTCCTCCCTGGCGCTGCAGCCCTGCTGCCGGGGCTGGCTCGGCCCGTGGGAGAACCGGGTCCCTGCTGGAGAGATGTGCACAAGAACAGGGCCGTAACCCCAGGCCACAGGAGCTGGCCGGGATGCGCTGCCAGACCCAGTATTACCGATGTGCCCACAGGACGGACCCCGCGAGGCTGATTTCCCTGTCACGGAGCCACCGCGGCTGGTCTGGGCCCAGCCTGGAACCAGTCCCTTGGGCGTGGGCCACGCCCTGGGACCTCAGCAGCCTCCATGACGCCAAGTCTGGGCCTTAGCAATCCCCGTCTCTTGTCTCTCTCCGCGGCCCCCCACGATCCCTCTTTCTCTCTCTGTGACCCCAGCGATTCCTGTCTCTCACCACAGCCCCCAGCGATCCCTGTCTCTCTCCGCAGCCCCCGCGATCCCTGTCTCTCTCTCTCCGTGGCTCCCCGCGATCCCCGTCTCTCCATGAGGCCCTGCAGCGCGTCCCGCCCAGCCCGAGTCCTGCGGGAAGCCCTGTTGGGCCCTGCCGGGCACAGGGCTCCTGGGTTGGGTTTGTTCGGCGCCTGGCCCTGGCCTCAGGACATTGTTCCTGCTGCACTGGGGTGGGAGGGCTCAGACCTGGGCCATCCTGGCGCAGCCACCCAGCCCCACTGGTCTGCAACGTCGGCTCTGGCTCCATCAGGCCCAGCAGAGAGCTACCGAGTCTCTCCAAACGCCACCGCTCCTGGCATGCCAGGCTGGGCTCGCATGTTCCACCGGCTGCAGCAGCCTGTGGTGCCGTGGCACTGGGGCAGCCGTGGGGGCCCCGTTATTTTTTCTGGCTCCTCCATTGCTATGGGTTGGTTTCAGCCCCTCCTTCAATGCCCCATCCACGCCACTGCCACTAGGTACCACACACAGCTTGTGTCTCCTGCGCTGCCCAAGAGCAGCGTGGCACCCTGCTGCACCCAGTGGGCAGCCGTGTGAAGCACAGAGGGAAACCGAGGCAGGCGTCAGCATCATGAAGCTATTGCAGAAAATTCCCCCTTCGTCACAGCCCCTCCCCACGGCAGTGACTGGGGCGGCTGGGTATTGCCACTGCACGTGGGTTCCTGGAGAGTGGGGCTGGGGCTGGGGCTGGGTGCAGCCTCCCAGGCCAATAACCCAGCGTGACCGGTCCGCGCGCTGCAGCGCCGGCCTCCAAACAGGCCTGCTGGAGCTGGCCCAGCCTGGTCCCCGCGGCTCCGGGGCTGGCTGCGCTCCCCCCCAACACGGGCCCAGCGCTGCCCCACACGGCCCCCTGGGCTCGGCCTCTCCGGGGGGGTCCCACACGGTGCCCCGGGGCCTCCGGAGCACGGAGCGGGGCCACCCCTGGCCGCCTGCAGTGACACGAGCCGGGTGGGGACCGGGCGGGGATAGGGGTCCCTGGAGTCTCGCACCATCCTCGGGAGAGGGTCACTTGGGGGGGTCCCGGGTGTCTCGCACCATCCTCGGGAGGGGGTCACTGGGGGGGTGTCACGGAGTCCCTGGGCGAAGCTCTGGAACTGCTCCCAGTGAAGCCAGTCAGGACTCTGGGGAAGTCGCCTTCCTGTGAGCAGCCTGTCAGGACACACAGCTCACCCGGCTCCCACCTTCCTGGGTCTGACCTCGGAGCATTCAGCATCCTCTGCCCCTCCGTGAGCTTCCCACAGCGAGTCCGCCCAGGCGGGGTCCTGGGGAAGCCAGAGGGTCCTGCCCCCCAACTCCGCAGTCAGACGGGACTCTCAGCCGGCCAGTAAAACAGAAGGTTTATTAGACGACAGGAACATGGTCTAAAACAGAGCTTGCAGGTGCAGAGAACAGGACCCCTCAGCTGGGTCCATTTTGGGGGGCAGTGAGCCAGACAACCACGTCTGCCCTTCACTCCATGTCTCAGACAGCCCCAAACTGAAACTCCCTCCAGCCCCTCCTCCTCTGTGCTTTCCCCTTTCCCAGGCCGGGAGGGCACCTGATTCCTTTGTTCTCCAACCCTTCAGCTCTCACCTTGCAGGGGGGAAGGGCCCAGGCCATCAGTTGCCAGGAAACAGGGTGTCGGCCATTCTCTGTGTCCAGACCCCTGCACACACCTGCCCTCTAGGGCTCTGCAATGATCATACACCCTTACCCCACCACCTAGACACCCAAGAACTGCCCAGGGGAAACCGAGGCACCCCCACACCACTCGGAGGAAACATCAAGAACAGTCCCACTTCGTCACATCTCTCCCCCCTTCGAGATCGAACTGAGCGGGGTCACTCTACCCGGTGACCTGGGGAAGTTCGAAGCTACCAACGTTCCCATGGATGCCCCAGCATCTCTCCCATTCCTTGGTGGGAGTTACACCAGGCCCTTCCAGTTTCACGCCCTCCCTTAGGACGGGGGTGGTCAATAGCACTCACAGGCCGCATGTGGGAAGGTTTATGCGGCCCGTGCCCTTTGGCCAGCCCAAAACCCCAGGGGGTCAAACTGGGATTGGGTCTTCTCCCCAATAAGCTGGCCAAACACAGCCACTTGGTTATAGGACTGTTTAACTTTCTTAACAGCTTTCACTTCATCTGAGACCTTCTCAAAGCTCTCCACACTGGGTCTTTCAACAGGACAGTCAGTGGATCCATTCACAACAGAAAATTTCTGGCTGTTAGGAACTGAAACTTTCTTGATTAAATCACTTTCACACCCTTCAGTTGCAGTAAACTGCTTGCAAAGACTCCATGAGGATTCCTTTCCCCGAGGGCTTTTCTATGCAACAATTCACCCCTCCCAGAAATTCTGCTCTTACCCTCTTCACCGAGGGCTTGCTCTAGAGGAACACTTTCCTGAGCAACAACAGACTCTTTCTGGGTCTCCCTTACATCCAGAATTACCTCTGGCCCATCAGGCGGATTCCTACACAATCCCCTTTCAGGCAAACTTACAGACTTCCTAGATAAAAGGTCAGAAGCATTCTCCTTCCCTTTGCCACACACAAGTTCAGGAATCTTTTCCTTCTTGCTACAGGTTTCCACACCCTCAGTAGGTAACACAATCACATCTCCTTCATGCTCTCCTTGTGCCCTGGCTAGGATCTCACCCTGATTAGACAGAGTTGCTCCACCCTTTCCCAACAACACACTAGCAACAGGCAAAATACAGGTTTCAGAGAAATACAAGCACCAGAATTGTCTGGTCTCTGGGATTTTGCATAGACACTAACTGGATGCGACCTAGTTACAGGGCCATTCTCCTGAGCAGACACAAACTTAGGACCATTCCCTTCCTGGGCTTTAGCTGAATCGAGAACAAACTCTGAGACAATTGCACGACCCTCAACCATCACAGGCTGAAAGGCCCCTTCTGTCTGCTCCACAGATGAAGAAGAGCTGGACACACTTTCTCCTTGACCAGACACACAGCTTGGGATCTCATTCCCTTTGTCCCAGCACACAAGGCTGGTCACAGACAACTGCTTGGAGATCAGGGTAGCTCCCTCCATAGGCAAGTCAATACCCCTGACAGACACAGACACATTTCCTTCACTGTCTCAATTCTCCACCCAGCTAACAGGTAAGGTCCAGGGACTCTCATCTTCCACTCTCCTCGCCTTCCCACCCTGCTGACTGGACAAAGCCATCAGCTCACAAGGCTGCCTAGGCTCATCCAAACTTTCCTTACCAAGCACCTTGCCACTCCCCACAGATCCCCTGCCCTGCCTGTGTCTCCCCCCACTCAGCTGGGGTCTTATCTCCCCCCTTGCTCAGCACTGCCCTTGCTGTCCCAGTGGGGGCAGGCAGGGAGCTTGCTGCTTTCCTCACAGCATCAGAGCCAGCGTGAGCCCCTTCTCCAGTGTGCAAGGGGGCAGGGAGCATCTCTCTGTCCCACCCAGCCCCAGGGGGCTGGTTACAGGCAGGCAGGTAGCCTGAGCCTTGCCGCTCCTCCCCCATGCCAGCCTGGTCATCTGCATTTTCACTGACCATTTCCCTCTCCACCGATTGGTTCCCTGGATTCAAATTCAAACCCTTGGCCATTACAGGAGCAGGGCCTGGATCCTGTCCCAAGGAGACACAGTCACCCCACAACAGGGTCTCGCAGCTGGTGTCCCGGAGAACCCCAACGACCAGCCAGCCTCACCCCTCCTGGGTCTGCACAGGGATCTGGGCCATAGGCAGGGCGAGGGGCTTCGTCCCTGGGACCCTCACCCAGCTCACACAGCCCCTCAGCATCTGAGGCTGCACCACCCAGGGCCTGACACCAGTTCTCTCTGTCGCAGGATCTCGCCACCCCAGGAATGTCTCCCCATTGACCATCACCTTCCGCTCCCACTGGATGTCCGAGGGGCCTGGCCCCAGGAAACTCCACACAGACATATAGGCTGGGACCAGGAGTGGGAGCCTGTCCACCTCCCCACCCATCTGGCTGACGGAGTCTGTGGTCTTGGGACCCAGCAAGGGAGCTAGACACCGGGGCTTTTCCGCAGGGTCCCCTTGGTTCAAATCGCCATCCTGCTCAAAGGCAGTGAGGTGGGCATCCACACCCCCACCCCTTAACCAGGGGCAGCAATTTAGTCTCGAGGTTCCCTGCGGAACTGGCATCCCGGGATCTATCCCCACTCACCCCAGGGAGGTTCCCTAGGCCTCTCCGCTCCCACACCGCCAGTTCATGCTGCTGCTGCTTCTGCAGCTTTTTCTCAGGCTCTTGCTGTCTCTCACAGTCCTCTTGCTCTCTCAGACTCAGCTCCAACCCCTTCCTTCTCGATCCCCCAATGGGGAACCCGATCGTAAAGACCCTCGTCTGGTCGGGGACAGGAGTCTTGGCGATGCCTGGCTCCCGCTCCAGCTGCTCCCAGATCCTGCTATAGCCCCATTTGGGGTCAGGAATCTGTCCCTTAGAGCGGTCATCCTCCTCCAGCTGCACGATTAACTCTGCTTTGGTGAACTTTCCAACGCTCAACCCTTTCTTCCTGCACAGGGTTACAATGTCCTTCTTAAGGAGACGGTGACAGGCCATCACTCCACTCTTCCCAAGTTGTTGTGAACTCACAGGCCTGTGTGCTCTCAGCTCCCCACGGTTTCCAGGGAGAACCCCTAGTGTGCCAGCCCTTCTCGAGGTCACCTCCTCTTTGCCAGGGTCGAGCTGCAGACTCCTCCGCCCCTGGGACCGCTCGCTGCAATCCCACGGGGGACCCTGTTACTGCAAAAGTCCTTCTCTCTGGTCACACACTCCCAGGGGCCCCCTGAAACCGTCTCTCTCTGAATCTTCAGCACGCCTGGTCCCCATCAATCCCCCTTCGTTTTACTGCTCCCCAGTCACTTACTGCAGGAAGCGCCGTCCACGGGGTGCAGTACATCCCACCTCTGCCACCAGTTGTCACGGAGTCCCTGGGCGATGCTCTGGAACTGCTCCCCATGAAGCCAGTCAGGACCCTGGGGCAGTCGCCTTTCTGTGAGCAGCCTGTCTTCAGGACACACAGCTCACCCAGCTTCCACCTTCCTGGGTCTGACCTCGGAGCCTTCAGCATCCTCTGCCCCTCCGTGCGCAATGATCATACACCCTTACCCCACCACCTAGACACCCAAGAACTGCCCAGGGGAAACCGAGGCACCCCCACACCACTCGGAGGAAACATCAAGAACAGTCGTCACATCGGGTCCCTGGTGTCTCGCACCATCCTCGGGGGGGTCACTGGGGGGGGTCACTGGGGTCTTGCACCATCCTCGGGGGGGTCACTGGGGGGTCCCTGGTGTCTCGCACCATCCTCAGAGGGGTCACTGGGGGGTCACTGGGGTCTCACACCCACCTCTGCGGGGGGGGGGAAGCGAAACGCGGCGTCTTCCCCCCCACCTCCCCCCGGCAGAGGCGGGGTCCCGATCCCGGCTGTGCCCGGGTCTCTCCGGGAGCCTGGACCCGGGGCCGGGCCGGCTACGGCTCTCGGGCCGCCGGGCTCTGGCGCGTTACTGAGGCCGGGGGCGGCTCGGCCCCCCCGCCGCGGGGAGCGGGCCCGGCCGGACCGGGCGGCCCGTGGGCCAGGGCGCCTGGCGGGGGAGGGGCGGCCGCGGGCTCGGAGCGCGGGGGAGGCGGGGCGGGCCTGGGGAGAGCGCCCGGCCCGGGCAGGCAGGGGGCGGGGCCCGAGAGGGGGCGGAGCCGCGTGAGCCCGTATGCAGATCTGTGTGCGAGCAGAGCACTGTGGGAGCGGGAGCCGGCTGCCGAGCGGGGCCCGAGTTCGGCAGCGGGGCTCGGCGGGGAGAAGGGTGGGGCCCGGGGACACCCCGGGGCAGGTGGCGGCAGCGGGGGCCGGCGCGGGCGGGGCCGGCGGGCGTGTCTTGGCGGGCCCCACCGTGGGTTGAGAGTGCGGGGCGAGCGAGGGCGGGCGGCGGCCGGGGCGGCCCAAGTCATACTTACCTGGCAGGGGAGACACCATGATCAGGAAGGTGGTTTTCCCAGGGCGAGGCTCATCCATTGCACTGCGGGTGTGCTGACCCCTGCGATTTCCCCAAATGCGGGAAACTCGACTGCATAATTTGTGGTAGTGGGGGACTGCGTTCGCGCTCTCCCCTGGCGTGCGGTGAAAGACAGAGAAACCCGCTCAGCGGCCGCTGTTCGTACCCCCCGTGCGCTGCCTTGGGTCGGTCCCCGGGGGGAGCTGTGTTTTTTCGCTCTACGGGGCGCAGTCTGGCTGCTTTGCCTCTTTCCCTGCTTGTAGCTCGTTGCCTCTTCTTCCTTCTCGGGTTCTTCTTTCTCTGAGGGGAGAACGGCCTCCCAAACACTCTTATCTCACCTGGTTCTTTCCCACCGTCGTCTGGGGATCACTGGTGTGTATCGCACCATTCTGGGGGGTTGACCTGCCAATGTGGCAGGGGAGTTTCGTTTGGAGACCTGAGAGCCTGTCACCTGAGCCCGGAGGGGGAGGTGACGCCTCTGCCCCTGAATGTGGACAGAGGCTGCAGGAGGGGGCCAGCTGAGGTGGGTTAGTTTCAGTTTGGGGCTGGGTGGAGGAACACAGGGAACCCCAGGGCTGGGGTCTAAGCTCCCTGCTCCCCCAGAAGGACTTGACTGAGGGGTCCTGGTTGTACCACAAGCTCTGTTGTGGACTGTGTTCCTGTCGTCCAATAAACCTTCTGTTTTACTGGCTGGCTGAGAGTCTCAGTGAATCCCAGGAAGAGGGGTGCAGGGCCTGGACTCCCCCACACTCCGTGACAACTGGTGGTAGCGGTAGGATCTACAGCACCCCGTGGACGGCGCTTCCTGCAGTAAGTGACTGGGGAACAGTAAAACGAAGGGGGATTGACGGGGACCAGGCGTGCTGAAGATTCAGAGAGAGACGGTTCGGGGGGCGGTTAACCCCTAGGAGTGTGTGACCAGAGAGAAGGATTTTGCAGTAACAGGATCCCCCGCGGGATTGCAGCGAGCGGTCCCAGGGACGGAGGAGTCTGCAGCTCGACCCTGGCAAAGAGGTGGTGACCTCAAGAAGGACTGGCAGACAAGGGGTTTTTCCTGGAAACCGTGGAAAGCTGCCCAGGCCTGCAAGTGGCCAGCAGGGAGATGTACGCTAAAGGCCTTAAGAGCGACCTGGTGGAGCTGTGCAGGCAGAGGGGGCTGCACATCGGGCAGTCTACCAAGGAACAGCTGATTGCCCAGTTGCAGGAAAGGGATCGCTTGGATGACCCGATCCCTGTCCCAGAGGGAAGCCGCCCGGCGGGACTCAGCGTGGGCCCTGGGGCCTGACCGGGCTGGGAGGGGTCAGACTGCTGCCAAGGACATCCCGAGACCCTTCCAACCTAGGCCTGGGGAAGGGGTTGGGGGAAGCCCAGCGAATACGGAGGGCACCCTGACCCCGGCAGCCAGCAGGGGATCCTCCCGGCAGAGCTCCCCATCCCTGGAGTGGATGCAACTGGAATGGGAGAGGGAGATGAAAATGAGGGAGCTGGAGGATCATGAAAAACAATTTAAGCATGAGGAGAAACAATGTCAACATGAGCAGGAGCAGAAGGAGAGGGAACGTCAGGAGAAGGAGAAACAAAGACAGCATGAACTGGAGCTGGCCAGGCTGAGGAGCAGTGGGGCCCCAGCTGCGGTGAGTGAGGGGGGACCCAAGACTACAAGGAGCTTTGATAAGTGCTTCCTGGCCCAGCGGAAGGGGGGGGAGGACATAGATAGCTTCCTGACGACCTTTGAGAATGCCTGTGAGATGCATAGGGTTGACCCTGCAGACAGGCTCCAGTTTCTCACCCCCTTACTGGACCCCAAAGCCATGGAGGCGTACAGCCGAATGACAGGGGCGGAGGCAGGGGACTATGAACTGTTCAAACAGGCCCTGCTCCGTGAGTTTGGGCTGACCCAAATGTACCGGAGATGTACCGGAGAAGGTTCCGGAGTCAGCGTAAAACGCCTGAGGTCACCTACCTACAACTGGCCAACCGGATGCAGGGGTATGCCCGCAAGTGGACAGCTGGGGCCCAAGCTAAAGAGGACCTGCTTGACCTAATCGTACTGGAGCAACTGTATGAACAGTGCCCTTCCGACCTGAGGCTGTGGTTGGTGGACAAAAAGCTAGAGAACCCCCAGCACACAGGGCAGCTGGCCGACGAGTTTGTGAACAGTCGGTCAGGGGGTAGCTGGGAGCAGTCCCAAAAGAACAGGCCCCCCACCGATGCAGAGAGAGAGTCACCATGGGACCTCCCAGCGGGGAAATAGGGAGAACCCCCTCCAAAGGGGAACGTCTGGCATCGGGACCCTCCGACCCGCTTGAGGGGACCAATGTGACCTGAGCTGCTATCACTGTGGCCAGAGAGGCCACGTACGGACCCAGTGCCCCAGGCTCAGGGACAGACTGAACAGACCCAACCTACCCAGGGTTAACTGGGTAGGGACCCAGCTGGACGAGTGGCAGACGACCCAAGCAAGGGGGGCTACCAGTTTACCACCTGCTCAGGAGGGAAGAGTACCCCAGGCCAGCTTCGCCAGAGGGCTGGAGACTCTGGACTCAGGGTGCTCAGTTTACAGGGTGGGCGCGGGGTTGTCCCTCCGGAGAGAGTGCCTTGTTCCCCTGGAGGTGGATGGGAGGAAGATCAATGGATACTGGGATACGGGCGCGGAGGTGACGCTGGCCCGGCCCGAGGTGGTAGCCCCAGATCGGGTGGTGCCCAACACCTACCTGACCCTGACAGGGGTGGGCGGGACCCCATTCAAGGTGCCTGTAGCAAGGGTACACCTGAAATGGGGGGCCAATGAGGGCCCCAAGGATGTGGGGGTACACCATCATTTGCCCACTGAGGTTTTGGTGGGGGGAGACCTAGAGGACTGGCCAAGCAACCCCCAGACCGCCCTGGTTGTGACCTGTAGCCAGAGCCAGTGAGGGGCACTGCGCCCTGACCTTGGGGAGGGTACCACACCGGAGGCGCAGGACCCTACCCTGGTGGGGAGGGAGCGCCGAGGGGCACGGCTCAGAGAGGCTGTGGCCTCAGACCCGGCCAATGAGAGGGAACCGGGCCCCATCCCTTCCCCAGCCGCTGAGTTCCAGGCCGAGTTGAGAAAAGATCCCTCCTTGCGGAAGCTCAGGGACCTGGCTGACCTCGGTGTGGTACGGACCATGAGGAGAGGTTGCCAGGAGAGGTTCCTGTGGGAGAAGGGGTTCCTGTACCGAGAATGGGCTCCCACAAGGGAAGTAGAGTCCTGTGGGATCAGGAGGCAGCTGGTGGTCCCCCAGAAGTATCGCCGCAGGCTCCTGTACCTGGCCCATGACATCCCCCTCGCAGGGCACCAGGGAATCCGGCGCACCCGGCAGAGGTTGCTACAGAACTTTTACTGGCCCGGGGTCTTTACCACGGTCCGGCAGTATTGCCAGTCCTGTTACCCCTGTCAGAGGGTGGGGAAGGCCCGGGACAAGGGGAAAGCTCCTTTGAAACCTTTGCCCATCATAGAGGAGTCTTTCCAGAAGGTGGCCATGGACATCGTGGGACCTCTCAGCAAGACGACCCGGTCGGGGAAGAAATACATTCTGGGGGTGGTAGATTTTCCCACCCACTATCCCGAGGCAGTGCCCTTAGCTTCCATTGAAGCAGACACCGTGGCCGATGCGCTGCTGACCATTTTCAGCCGAGTGGGGTTCCCCAAGGAAGTCTTGACAGACCAAGGATCCAACTTCATGTCGGCCCTGCTCCGGTGCTTGTGGGAGAAATGTGGGGTCCGGCACGACTGGGCCTCAGCTTATCACCCCCAGTCCAACGGGCTGGTGGAGAGGTTCAATGGGACGCTAAAGATGATGCTGAAAATCTTTATGAACCAGCACCCACAGGACTGGTACAAGTACTTACCTCACCTGCTGTTCACGTACAGGGAGGTGCCCCAGGAGTCTACCGGATTTTCGCCTTTCGAACTGTTATATGGAAGGAGGCTGAGGGGCCCCCTGGACCTGATGAGAGACGAGTGGGAGGGGAAGGCCACTCCCGATGGAGAGTCAGTGGTGGAGTATGTCCTGATCTTCCGAGAGATGCTGGCTGAACTCATGGGCCTGGCCAGGGAGAATCTGGCCAGAGCCCAGAGGAAGCAGAAGGTCTGGTATGACCGCACGGCG